GGGCAACTGAAGGAGAGCGGAGTGCAGCTGCAGGGCGACAGCGACAAGATGCTGCTCGTCGCCACGACCCGGGAGGTGCTCGGTCGAGCACGCTACACCGGACGAGTCCTCTGCACCGACCTTCGTCCCTGCTCGATGCGGTCGCCGTCGACCGAGGCGGTGGCTCTGCGGACGATCGTCTCGGCGACGAAATCGACCCCCGACCGGTGGCACGCGAGGCTCGCGCACGTCGGCGTCGACACGATCAAGAGCTCGGCGAAGCATGAAGTTGCTACTGGGCTCGACATCAAGCCGTCGATCGGAGCGGACCCGCCGTGTGTCTCGTGCGTCGAAGGAAAGCTGGCGCGGCACACCTTCCCCGACAAGGTCTCGGACGTCGAGGATGCACTGGCTGTCATGCACATTGACTTGTGCGGGCCATTTCGGGTTGCTGCCAAGGATGGCAGCTTGTACTTCCTGATGCTGAAGGATCGCCACACTCGATTCGTATGGGTGATGCCGGTCGCTAAGAAGAGCGACGTGCTGCCGGAGTTTCAGCAGTGGCTGGTGCTGGTAGAGCGGCAGATGAAGAAGTCGGTGCTGATGCTCCGCTCAGACCGAGGAGGGGAGTTCCTCGGAAGGAGTTCACCAACTTCGTTGACGGGAAGCGCATCGTCCACGACCTGACATGCCCTTACACTCCGCAGTAGAACGGCATGGCTGAGCGGGAGATGCGCACGGACGTCGAATCCGTGAGGACGATGCTGCTGCACATGGGCGTGTAGCACCACTGGTGGCACCTCGCTCTACGACAAGCTGTCTGGGTGCGCAACTGCTTGGAGCGGTCGACGACGCCGCCGGGGACGACGTGGTACCAGCTGCTGACCAGGAAGAAGCCCGACCTCACGCTGGCGCGGGTGTGGGGCTGCATGGTGCAGTTCATGGTTCGCGAGCAACAGCGCGGTGGGAAGCTGGCACCGAAGGCTCGATAGGGGCTTCACCTGGGAGTGTCGCCGGAGAGCAAGGGCTGGGAAGTGCTGGACTTGACCGACAACAAGGTCGTCAAGTCGGTCAAGGTGATCTTCTACGAGACGTTGTCGCTGGAGGTGTGGAAGGCGAAGTATGGGCCGGCGTCGGGGCGGACGCAGGCACACCCGCCAACGGACACCTCGACGGCGACGGTCCCGCTGCTCGCCGAGGTCGACGAGCCTGCTGATGAGGATGTCGTGGAAGTCCTTCCTCCTCCCCCTGTTCTTGCTCCTCCCACCCCCGTCGCAGATCGGCCTGCGTCGACACCTGTGTTGGCCACCGGCGATGAGGGGAGCCTTAAGGCGTCGCCTGTGGCGCCGGCCAGTGACATCGCCGGCGGACGACAAGGAGCTAAGCTCGTCGACCAGGACAAGAAGCTGTCGACGACAGGGGAGCAGCAGACAGGGGAGCCGGTCGAACAGGAGGCAGCAGCAGGGGTGCAGTCGACAGGGGAGCTGTCGAAGCCAGCAGGAGGTGAACAGTCGGTCGAAGGGTCGAAGCAGCTCGTCAACGACCAGGGTGTCGACGACGAAGGGGAGCTGTCAGCAGGAGAGGATTCCACCGACAGCGATGTTGTGGAGGTTCCGGTCGAGAAGCCTGATCTACGACGCTCAGGTCGAACACGAAGGCCACCAAAGTGGCTGAGCTATCACGCCTGTCTGCCACCGGCTGCCTTCACCACGGTGTACGACTACGCCGACGATGACCTGCTGTACGACGACGCCGAAGATGACGTCGACCTGCCCGAGCTCGACCCGGATGTTATCGCCGACCCCGAGCACCGCTGGGACATCGCAACGATGACGGTGAAGGAGGCGCTGGCGAGCTGGAAGGGCGAAGCGGTGAAGGCCGCCATGGACGAGGAGATCCGTAGCCTCATTGGCATGGGCACTTGGGAGCTGGTCGAACGCCCACGCGGGGTGAACATCATGAAGAACCGGTGGGTGCTGACGACCAAGTACCGCATCGACGACACCGTCGAGCGCGAGAAGGCGAGGCTGGTCGTGAAGGGCTTCACGCAGGTGTACGGCGCCGACTACGACGAGACGTACTTGCCGGTGAGCAGCTACGTCACGCAGAGGATCTTCCTCAGCATTGTCGCCGTCCTCGACCTCAACCTGATGCAGCTCGACATGAAGAACGCCTTCCTGCAGAGCAAGCTCGACCGGGTGCTATACATGTACCAGCCGGACTTCTTCGACGATGGGACCGGCCGGGTGTGTAAGCTACTGAAGAGCCTTTACGGGCTGAAGCAGTCGCCGTTGCTGTGGTACAGGGCTCTCGACGGTGTGCTGCTGGGCGCTGGCTGGAAGAAGAGCCAGGTCGACACGGTGCTCTACTTCAAGGCCGGCGACGACGGAGTGACCTGCTGGGTGCTGGTCTACGTCGACGACCTGCTCACCGCTAGCAGCAGCACCGCGGTGCTGAAGGAGCTGAAGGAGCTGCTGGAGGCCGCTTTCGAGCTGCGCGAGATCTCGCCGGTCGTGAAGTTCCTTGGGCTGAAGATCGTGCGTGACAGGCCGGAGAGGAAGTTGTGGCTGCACCAGCAGAACTACGCCGACAAGCTGCGTAGGTGCTTCATTGACGAGGAGCAAGGCGGGCGCATCCCGAAGACGCCGGTCTCGGTTGACGCCTACGCGGAGCTGACATTCGACGACGAGGAGGCGCAGGAGCGCGAGGAGGAGGAGTACCGACAGAAGGTTGGCTCGCTGCAGTTCGTGGCGACGACGACGAGGCCGGACATCGCCTTCGCTTGCAGCAAGCTGGGGAGCGGCCTCACGGTGAGGAGCGACCAGCACTGGCGCGAGGTCGACCGCTGCCTCTCCTACCTTGCCAACACCCGCGACACCGCCCTGGAGTTCGGCGGTGGACCAGATTCGCTGGAGCTGATCGGCTACGTGGACGCCGACGACGCGGGCGACAAACAGAACCGGACGAGCACGGGAGGCTACGTGTTCGTCTACGGAGGGGCCGCTGTCTCTTGGTCGAGCTCGCGCATCAAGTGCGCGACATTGTCGTCAACCGAGTCGGAGTACGTGGCGGCCACGGATGCAGGCAAGGAGGGACGCCGACTCCGGTTCCTCCTTGCGGAGTTCCAGCAGCTCGACGCTAGGAAGCCGACTGTCCTTCGGGTGGACAACAAGTCAGCCATCACTGTCGCGGAGGGCTTGGGGATGACGGGCAACCTCAACCACATGGAGCGACGCTACGCCTGGCTGCAGCACATGGTGAGGCGCGGGAAGTTCATGCTGAAGTACATCCCGACCACCGAGCAGCCGGCCGATATCCTGACGAAGGCGCTTCATTTTCCGGCTTTCAACCGGTGCTCTGTTGCCATCGGCCAAGTGCGTCTAGCCGACGTCGGCGACGGGGACGATGATGTGCAGCAGTAGGTTCCGTGCCCTTCTGTACGGCTAGTGCGGTGACGGCGTGCTGTGTGTGGGGTGCACGCCGAGGACGAGTTTTCTCCGTAGAGTACTGCCGTATGGGTGGGGGCCCAAGCGTGAGCGCGGCAGGGGAGTGTTAACGGGAATGGAGTGTTGGCCTCGCCCTCGCTTGGGCAACGCCGACGACTTGGTCGGATGTACGGGAGAAGCAGCCGACCGTTCACAGTGAGGGAGCTGCTCGACGGGCTTCGTCGAGCTGCAGGGAATCACTGTGGTGTTGCCGTCGACCAGGGAGCTCGACGGCCTTCTTCTGCGGGGCAGGACGACGAAGTGGTCGTCGACCTGCACAGGTCTGTCACGGGGCTGGAGCCGTCGACCAGGGAGCTCGATAGCTGCAGCTAACTGGGCTGGTCAACGGGTTGGCCGTCGACCAGGAGGAGCAGTTCGACCGGGAGGCCGACAGAGCAGTCCCTCGACCTGACATGTGAACGGCAGTCGACGAGGGGAGCTCGGCAACAGTAGCTGACAGTGCTGGTCGACGGAGGGGTCCGTCGATCAGGGTGCTGCTCGACAGGAGCTGTGGTCGACCAGAGCACTTGGTGGTCGACCAGAGCACTTGGTGGTCGACCAGAGGCACTTGGTGGTCGACCAGAGCACTTGGTGGTTGACCAGGTCGACCAGGTAACCTGCTCGGCGAGTTCTGCGGAGGCACGCGAACGTCGTCGAGGTCGCGGTGACGAAGGCGACTTCGGGCTGGTATCCCGAAGTCGATGTGGCTCGTCAGGCGCAGACAACAGCCGACGGATGCACAACGATGCAAGTCGGGCCAATCGTCTGCGCGCACCTGCGCGCATGCGCACTGCTACCAGCTACGGGTGCAACGCTGGACAGTTGTTCTGCTGCATCGTTGGCACGCCGTCGACCTGCTGTGTTGGCAGGTCGCCTTTCTGCAGTGCTGGCGCGGCCCCTCTACGCAACGCTGGCAGGCGGTCGACCATGCTGTGCTGGCGGTCGACCAGGCTAGCTGCAGAGTTACTAGGTGCTTGATGTAGTCAATTCTGTCATTGCTTGTTCAATCATTCTGGAATGCAATATATGCCTAGTGAAACTCTTGCCGATTTCTCCTGTGAATGTGCAAGCGCCAAGGAACTAAGCAAAGCTACAATCACTCCTAGTAGTTCGTGCCAACCCCAGCTCACTACCTTGTAGAGTCTCTCTCCGCAACGACGACACTGGTCGTCGCTTCGCCAACTCGTCCACCCAAACCGCAATTATTCGCAACAAGATTCATCCCATTGACTTCCCAGCTTCTCCCAAGCAACTCGGGCGACTCGATCTGCAAGACTTCTAAGTTCAATCAACAGCGGAGTCATCTGCGCCACTCACGGCACATTCCCTAGAAGCAGCAGATTTCAAGTATATAAGGAGCTACTACTGCCGCTCATCTTATCACCGAATCCAAACATCATCATCCTCTTATCTTAGAAGCTGATTAACAGCCCTAGATCGAACGATTCAGCCCTGTCCTATACAGAAGCAAAAATTGTGTTTTTCGGCCAGACACCCGCTAAGGCCACATTCCTCATCGTCTTCATCGCTTCTGCGATGCTCCTTTCCACCCCTGCACGCGTCTCCGCCGCTGGAGGTCCCGCCAACGCAACTGCGCCCGCCAACGTGACTGCTAAGGCGGCTGCGCGTGCAAACGCGACCAAGTCTGGAAATGCTACTAAAGTCGCCAACAGCGCGGTGGGAGTGGCGACGGCAAGGCTGAGCAAGGGCGCAGGCAAAGGAAAGAACTCCACATGCGCCTATTACAGAAACTACAACGCCAACCCCTACTTCGGCAAGGGGCTCACCTCGAAGTTTCTTGACGCGCTCTTTGGCAAGCGATGCGGCGCGTGCTTCAAGGTGATATGCACGAACGACACGAAGCGCTGCCGCAGCGGCAAGGCCACCGTCACCGTCCGCGTCGTCGGCGCGACGAAGACGGAGGAGAAGCAAGTTTCCCTCTCTGCCGTCTCATGGGCCAAAATCGTGCAGGGTTCGGACGCCGCCCCTGTTAACATCACGTACATGCGCACCAACTGCCATTCGACCGCCGGATCCGCGGTGCGCGTGCGCAACAACTCTACCGCGGAGAAATTCAACATTCAGATGGTCAAACTTGCCGGCCCCGGCACGCTTATCGCGGTCGAGCTTAGCGTGGATGGCAAGAAGTGGGTGAAGCTGACCCGCGACGGCAACAGGGTGATCTGGGGAATTGCGGGCAAAGAGGCGAAGGAGGTTTTGGGCGCGAAGAAGGCTATGAGCGTTCGCCTCACTGCAGGACACACCTTCGAGAAAATCACCCTCGAGAATGGCATTCCCGCCGCCTGGAAGCCTCAAACGCTCTACTCCTTCAAGATCAACTTCAAGAAGCTCATGGCTGAGGCCAAGGAGACGTCGCTGTGAAGAATATTCAAGGCGCCGCCTCGGAAGCATCTGTGGTCGTCGAATAAAAACCCATAAGAGGCGGATTCGGTTGCAGGGAGGCGCCGGCAGTTGGGAGACGAGGGATGAAGGAGGGAAGGTGAGGCTCGGTCAAGTGGTTTTTTAGCTTACAGGTTTAATAGCTGAATGCTAGTGGTGGGAGGGGAGTGGGTTAGGGACTGCGTTAGCATGGGAGTGGGTTCAGGGAGGGGAGTAAGAAATGCTCTTTCAGTATACTATTGAGTTTTTTTCTAGCCTTTTATGCTGGTGGTAGATTGATCCATATGTCATGTCATTGTGAGTCTGCCGCCCAACCTTGATATCACTCTGCCATGAGGGGGTTAATATAGTGTCAGGTGTGGCTGACATGGAAGATTGTCTGATTTAATGGGTTATAACTCTGGATGTATATCCAAGCAAAGTGTTCCGCAGCTCCATTTCAAGGTCTACAGCTCAATGGCGGTGCTAGGGCGGCGCTGCACGAGTACACTCCAGGACAGGCGGTCCGCTACGCCACCCCGCTTGTGCAGTGTAGAGCAGGAAGTGAGTCGTTGCTACTTACATGCATCAGGTCGAAATTGAACCCCAACGCACCTCGAATACAAGAACCTACCTAGACCGTACTGTATTAGATCAGACCGGACTAACTCGAACCTGTAGTTTTGGAGTGAAAGGCGCTGGTGTGGTTGGTAGTTGTCGTGGAAATCACGGAATTGCCAAGAATGTCATAGGCGTCGGTTGGTGAATCGCCGCGATTTACTCCCAAGAAAATCAGCACGTTCTCGATGAACGCTCTAGGATTAGTGACGCCTCGTAGTGTCTCTGCTTATGCCTTGAGATTTACGACGGATACAAAAAGCGTCAACAGTCCAGACTCTTTTTCTGAACCAGTAGAGGTTTCTTCGTACTACCACGCGTCAATTGCCGTCTGTCCTTCTGGCCCGTGTTCCACTCAGATGGCGTCACGGTTGCCAATTCTAGCAGCGATGGCTTTCCTCTTCTTCGGCCAAGTCGCAGGCGGATTCTTACCCTTTCCCTTGCCGATTCCTGTTCCTGGTGTCGGCTCGGGTGGAACGGTATGCACGTGGAATCAATTCGTCGGGGAGATGAAGCAACTGCGGAAAGCCTTAACAAAACGACCGAGGAAGTACCGGGTCATGGCTCTCGTACTGAAACGAGCGATTAAGGAGCTCGGTATGTGTTTCAGTCAGGTTTCACGATTTCCATATGCGGACCTAATCTCCCGTTTGCTGCTTTGTGCTTGTTATCCAAGTCAACCGCGGGAAGCAGTTGATATTAGCTCGTCCTTCAATTCTCCTCTCCACTGCTTTTCCGCCCTATGCAGAGGGCGACACGTCAGCACCTGGAGTTCCAACAACCACATTTCTCATCCCCACGAACCGTGGCATTGTATTGGCGGGTTTAAATCCCCAGAATTTGTGGGGTCTAATCACTGGCTCTAAGAAGGTCGGAGATATAGTTAAGGTAAATACAATCCCAGGTTCCTATAGCTACTCTACGTTCATGTCAAACCCAAAAGGTTCCGGAATACAGACAATGCATTCTAGGAAGAAAATAGCAAGATATGAGGGGTCTGATGGGCTTGCAGGTTGGACCGGGACAGGGACGGCCCTGGGTGTAGTCGGGTTGGGCAGACGTGCTGAGATAATAACAAAGGATGTGTATAAAGGGCAGTGCGTTGTTGCACAAGGTGTGAGTAGAGTTCTTCAACCAGACAAGTAATTCAGGAGGGCATTGTGCCTCACTTTGCATCTTGTACGGTATACACAATGACTCCAACCAAGATATTCAAGTCAAATGTGTTCTGTAATTTGTGATGTTAGATGTGAAACATTGACGAGATTCGATAATTTGTAACACAACTCGGCTGGGAAGAGCCTGACCATTCGTTCCCCGAGTTCGCTGCTGCCGATTTCCTTCGCGACATTGCGGGTTTGATCTACACCACGAGCCGCCAGATTGCTTCCCTCCCTTTCTCCACTCCCCTTGATTTCGCAGCTTTCCTTCAGACCTGCAAATCCCAAGGCTTGACCTCTTTCATCTTGCTCCTGATATCTTTCAGTGTCCCGCGTTCGCTCAGTCGCTATTACTAGATTTTAGCCTATTATTTTATGGTCCCTTATTTTTACAATATAGAGTGTAAGTTACCGCGATGTCAGCTTCGACACCCTGGCATTGTTATTTCTCGTTCGTCGTTGGGCTTCACCCAGGGCTGTCCTGAAATGTCGCACTCAACCCTCGCGACTCGCAACTAATTTTTAGGGCTCGAAGCGTTGCGTATGCATAGAGGTCTCTTGAGTGCTGTCATATGCATATTTATTAACTAGAGTTCTCCTTAGCAATTTGATGTCTGGTCCTGCTACAGCGGTCAGCCTTGCGACAATGGCTCCCAGCCATGGCGGGTTCGCGTCCTCGGTAGTAGCAGACCCGGAACTCGCCGGAAGAGTCCAGCAAATGACTGCCGGCGTGGCGGACCAGATAGTTAAGGACTCCGCCATTCGCGCGAGCTACGCGGAAATGCGATTGGTTGTCCTGGAAAATACGCTGGGGTCCGTGAAGGACCAAGCAGCTACTATGCTTGAGAGAATGCAGCTTAAAGCCAACGCTAAGGTGAGATATCTCGTATAATGTTTCCTGGTATGCTAAGAGGCCGCAGCCCAAGTTGCACAAGTATGATTGATTTCCTTTTTGGTTAACTATTGTCAGAATGAAACTAGGATTGTTGCTGAAGGATCGGAACACGAGTAAGCAACACGAACCATCTCAGTACATAACCTCGAAACGTGGTGTGAGCCTGAAACGCAGTCTGTCAATGTGACATGAGCGTGAAGCATCAAGGATCCATTTTGAAATCCTCAGAAAGTGACATTAGCATAAAACTTCAGGTTCCTGGCTGTAAGCTCGACAAAGCATGGCCAGCTAACAAGGAGTCGTTTTGTAAAATTCCCCTGAACGCTCTTGGCTGTAAGCAGCGACGCATGCATAGCTAGATTGGAATATGCAATGAATGAAGCATGAGCAAATGACAGCACTCAAGAGCAAATTCTAGTTTGAGCTTGCCATCTTGCAGTATGCATGCAGAAATGGTAGTTCTGTTTTGTTTTTTCGAGTCTTGTTTTTTGTTTGTTTGATTTTTTTTTTCCCTTTCCCTGTTTTCATTCTATTATGCACCAAACAGCAGGAGAAGAAGCTGTTTAAGGTGCTGCCGAATCATTAACGTTTGTCAACATAACACCAACTCCCCCCCCCCCTGTCTGAATATCGCTTTCCTCCCCAACTTCTATCAGACCAAGCAGCTGCAGCAGGAGCTGGTGGCGAAAAAGAAGCAGGCAGTGGAGCAGAGGAGCACTATGATTGAAGCGCCTCAAAAAGAGATTCCCAAACTGGATTTCCCTTTGCTCCCCCTTTCCTCTCCAACTATTCGCTGTCATCAGACCAAGCAGCTGGAGCAGGAGCTGGAGGAGAAGAAGAAGCAGGCAGAGGAGCTGGAGGCCAGACTGAGGACACTGGAAGCACAGTCCGCAGCAGCAGCTGGAGGCGTTACTACTACCCTTCCTCTTGCCACCGCCACCACCACCGCCGCTGCTGCTGTTGCTTCTGCTATCCCGATCGCCCCACTTTCCACCCGGCCTGCACCGTCCCCTATCAAGCTGCTTCACTCCACAAGCTTCGGAGCCACAGGCACCTCTGGCTTGGCCCTGCGTCTCCCTTCCTTCTACTCCCTCGGAGCCCCTCTCTCCCCAACCGGACGGGGAGGCTCGACGTTTGGTTCGGGGGCCGGCAGGCTCGGGGCGGGGGTTTTGGGTTCGGCAGGGGGAGGAGGAGGCATGGGCGGGAGTATAGGCAGAGGGCACAAGATGGTAATCCATAATAACAGCCTCAAAGTACCAACTGACATGGCATCCTCTAACGTCTCTTCTCCCATGCTGGGTCAGGGCATAAGAGATGGACATGGGACAGGAAGAGGGGCGGGTTCTGGGAAGGGTCATGGGATGGGGTCTGGGATGGGGCCTGGGGTGGGATCTATGGGCCCTCCTGGGTTGGGTTCTGGAGGGGCGTTGGCGTTAGGGTTTGGTCGGGGGGGGATTACTCCCGCTGTGGCTGCTCTCTCCGGAATGGCGCCCACTCCTGCTGCTGTGGCTTCAAACGGAGCTCCTCTTGCTCCCCATGAGGCGTTTCCGAGCAGTCGCAGCGATGGCGGTGCGGGCGGCGGCGGTGGGTTTGGTGGAGATGCTTCGACGCGGGTTGCTCTGTTCACGTGTCAGGACGACGGGTGGGCAGGCAGGGACGGATCCGGCCAGTATGGTTCTGGTGCTGGTGCTGGTGCTGGTGGTAATGAGGCCTGGTTGGGAGATGCAGCAGTGACAGTGCCTGTGGAAGCAATAGACAACACCACGTACCTCACTTGGGCTGCTCAGCGCCAGCACACTCGCAGCTACAGCCTCCATCTCGTAGGCAGTGGTGCACCTCCTCCTCCCCCCTCTCCCCTTGCTCCTCCTCTTCTCCCACCCCCTCTTCCCCCTCCTCTCCCTCCTCCGAGCTCTATCCAATGGCCTTCTGCAACGATCCCTTCCTCTGGCACGTCTGGTACTATTCCTGGTGCCACTCCTGCTGCTTCTTCTGCTGCCGTTTCTGGCGTTCGGGCAGCTGCAGTGGCGGCAGGGGCGAGGGTACTAGGCTCCTCTGGTTCTCTTCTCCCCGGGGCTAGGTCTGGCCCTTCGTCCCCTGCTGTGGTTCCCCACCCTCGTGCTCTCGGGTTTGTGACTGTTGACGACGCCCCTCTGGATGCTTTCAATGCTGCTCCTCCCCAGCAACAGGTGCCAGTTCAAAATCTGGTTCCTTCCCACCCTCGCGCGCTTGGCTTTGAAGCTGCCGAAGATGCCACTCGGAAAGCACTGGAGCAGTCGTTTCAGAGGGAAACAGTGGCTCAGAGTGACGCCTTTCAAAGAGAGGCGCTTCAAGGAGAGGGGGAGGGTTATGCGAGGGAAACGGCGTTTGGATCAGAAGTGGGGTTTGATGGGCAAGCAGCGTCTCAGACGGGGGGTTTTCAAAGGGAGGGTCCTCACCCTCGCTTGCTTGGTTCTGTGCTTGTAGCTGATGCTTCGCTGACGGCAGCAGGGAGTGGGGAGGGGGATGCTGGCTGGTACAGGGCGGCAGCAGCAGCATCGGCAACAGCATCGGCAGCAGCATCGGCATTAGCTTCGGAATCAGCAGTGCCAGCTGCCATCCCAGGCTCTTCTCCAGTAGCAGTATGGCACAGCAATGGTAGTCGTTCAGTAGGGCCCAGAGACGCGGTTGCTGCTGCTGCGGTAGAGGCAACAGCTAACGCAGCAGGAGTGGCTGTGGCGCCAGTAGAAGGGGCAGCAGAAGCAGCAGGAGTGGCACGGGCAGCTGTGGTTTCACAAGGTAGAGAAGGAATGGGTGCTGTGGCAGGAGATAATGGAGCTGCTGTGCTGAAGGCAAGGGCGGTTGAAGCAGCAGGCGAAGCAGGAGCAGGAGACGCAGGAATAGTGGGAGGAGCAGGAGGAGTGGGAGCAGCATTGATGGCACCAGCGGCACCAGCAGCAGCAACAGCAGCAGCAGCCGCAGCAGAAAGAGCAGCAGGGAGGATCTCAGGACCAGAAACGACCTTGGATGCTGCTCCTGTTACTGGGAGTACCGCTGCTGTTGCTAATGGCACTGCTGCTTCTACCATTGGTCAGGCTTCTGCTGCTGCTGCTGGTGCAGCTGCTGCAGCTGGTGCTGTTGCGAGTGGTAACACAGATCCTGCTGCTGCTGCTGCTGGGAGTGCTGTTCAAGCGCAAAAAAAATCCCCGAAGAAATCAAACCAAGCAAAAACACAAGCTGTTTCTGTCGAAGGCAATGGCGTGAAAGAGGGGAAGAAGGGAGGTTCAGGTGAAGGAGTAGAGGGTGCGGACGGCAGTGGGGAGGAGGATGGGGAGGGGAATGACGTTGATCCCACAGAACTGCTGCTTGTGGCAGCTGCAGTGCAGGGTTTGTCTGGTGGAGTGGAGAAAAGAGGGGGAGGAGCAGAGGGAGAGGGCAGAATGGAGGAGGAAGGAAAAGGTGAGCCTGGGGAGGTGAGTGAGGTGGATGAGGGGGAGGAGGAGCAGCAGAAGGAGGAAGAGGAAGAGGAGGAGCAGAAGGAGTAGGAGGAGGAAGAGGAGGAGGTGGAGGAGGGAAAGGAGGAAGAGGAGGAGGAAGAGGAGGAGGAAGAGGCGGAGGACGAGGAGGGGGACGAGGAGCGAGGGGAGGAGGATGGACAAGTGGGTTATGGAAACAGTGAGGAGGAGAGAGCAGGGGGAGAATCGGTGAAGGGGTTGGAGGGAGAAGAGAGAGGGGAGGAGAGAGAGGAGGGGGAGGAGGATGGAGAGGAGGGAGAGGAGGAGGGAGAAGAGGGAGAGGAGGAGGGAGAAGAGGGAGAGGGTGAGAGAGAAGAGGGAGAGGAGAAAGAGGAGTCAGAGGAGGAGAGAGAAGGGGGAGGGGGACCAGAATCCGCGGCAGAGGAGGAGACAAGCAAACAGGAGGAGAAGCAAGGTGGTGAGCTGCTGGAACTACTGCTGAAGGGTGTTGCTGAGATAAGCAAACAGGAGAAGGAGAAGAAGAAGGAGGAGAAGCAGGAGAAGGAGGAGGGGGAGGAGGAGAAGGAGGGGAAACAGGCGAAGTGGCGACACCAGAGAAGGAAGCAGAGAAGCTCAGCAGTAGTGAGACCGGAAGCGGACACGACAGCTGCAGCAGTAGAAGCGAGAGAAGTAGAAGCAAGAGGCTCGAAAGGGCGAACAGCAGAAGCGAGAGCAGCAGTGGCAGCATCGGCTGGAGCAGCCCACGAAGGAAGTGAGGAGAGAGGAATTGAGGTAGAGGCCTCAGGAGGACACAGGGCAGTCAGGCGACAACCTGTGAAGCAGCCTGTGAAGAGGAAACGCACAGACTCGGTGGGGGGTTTCGGTGATAGCGATTCAAAGGCACCTCAGAAAAAGTTGGGGCAGGAACAGCAACAGGTTGGAGGTATCGGAGATGGTAATCTAGGGGTCTCTAGGGAGCTCAAAGTGGGGCGCTTTTCAGCAAAACGAGTTTCGAGTCCCTCAGGTTACCAGGGTGATGGTGATGCTGGTTACCACACTGGTGTTGGTAACCCTAACCTGAAAAGCCCGGGCCAGGACAGGGAAAAGCAAAAAGGAGGGGAAGGGGCAAGTGTAGTGAAAGGGAAAGGGAAGGGATCGGAGGTGGGGGTTTCTGTTAAGGTGTCATTTCAAAAGCCGGCGGAAGGAGCAGCAGAAGCAGAGACTATGGACAATACAGCAGCCAGAGCGGCAGGTGAAGCTGCTGCAGCAGTGCCTGCAGCACGAGGGCTGGGAGGCAAAGCCAACTTGGTCAACCAAAGAGGGGGTTTAATCAAGGGGGGCTTTAATAGGGCTGGACAGGGGGGAGATGGGGGGGGGAGGGGAACACGAGGGGGGAGGGTGGGGGCAAGAATTGACCGGGTCAAGGCAGGAAGAGGGAGGGGACGGGGGAAAGGGCGGGGTGGTGAGGGTGGTGTTGGTGCTGCTGCTGCTGTGGCTGGTGCTGGCAAGGTGGCGAGTCTAAAACAAAAGGGGAAGGCCAGTGCTTTGGCTGAGTCAAAAGGTAAAGAGCTGGCAGCTGCTGATAACCCAAGAGGAAGCTCAAGAGGGAAGGGAGTGACTGCCGGTTTCAAAAGGAAGAGGGGTGGAATGGGTTCAAAGGAGACTGGAATGCAGAGGGACAAGGAGGGAGATGTGACGGCGGTGGTGCGTACCTCTGAGGCGCCTCGGAAAACGCAGGAGGAGGAGGAAAGGGAGGCGCTTGTTTTGAGGATATTGCGTGGTCAGGGAAGCATAAGAGAGGGAGGGAGTTTGGCGACGCGGCAAGTGAGTGTAGTGAAAGGGGAAAAGGGTGCGATTGGGAAGAAACGAGGCACAGGCAGTGATGGGGATGGAGAAGTGGAGGTAACGGGGAGCCCAGGTGGGAAGGAGAAGGAAACAGATGTGGAGTTGCCAGGGGAGGAAATGGAGGAAGGGGAGGAAAGGGAGGAAGTGGTGGAAAGAGAGGAAGGGGAGAACAGGGAGGAAAGGGAGGAAGGGGAGGAAAGGGGGGAAGGGGATGAGAGGGAGGAAGGGGGGCCTGAAGGGGTTAACAAGAAGGTAGGGGTCCAGAAGGAAGTGGGGGACAGGGGGAGACAGCAGCTGGGGCAAGGTTTGGGGCTAGGGACAGGGCATGGGGAGAGGCATGGGGAGGGGTCAGGTGCGAGGCAAGGAGAAGGGGATACGCCAGCAGCGAAGAGGCAGAAAGCAGTGAGAGGAGGAGGGGAGGCGGCGAGAGAGTTTGCATTTGGAGGAGTAACTGATCTTCCAGGAGGTATTGTAGAAGGAGAGGGGGCACCGGCAGATGGAGTGGGGAAGCGGGAGGTCAAGGAGAAAGAGGAGGGAAGAATGGAGGGAGAAGAAGAGGAGAAGGCAAGTGTAGTAGCGAGAGAACAAGATGCAGAGAGTGGAGAGAACACGGTGAGTATGACATTTCTTCCTGCTGTTATCAAGGCAAATACTGGCAGCGCAGAAGGAACAGGGGCGGGAGTAGGGGCAGGGGCAGGGGCAGGAGCAAGAGCAGGAGCAGGAGCAGGAGCAGGAGCAGGAGCAGGAGCAGGAGCAAGAGCAGGAGCAGGAGCAGGAGCAGGAGCAGGAGCAGGAACAGGAGCAGGAGCAGGAGCAGGAGCAGCAGGAGGAGGGGCAGGAGCAGATACAAGGGAGGTGGTAAAGAAAGGAGGGGGAAAGGGAGGAGGAAGAGAGCATGCAAGTGGTGAGGGCGGTGCAGAGAAGCGTGATGGCTGCAAGGAGTTGAAGGGAGTGGGAAGAGGAAAGAATCTGGTTCAAGGTGAGGTGGGGGGTGCAGAGGGGCAAGCAGATGGGCATGTGGATGGGGAAGGGGATGGGCATAGGGATGGGAATAGGGATGCACATGTGGATGGGCATGGGGATGGGCGAAAACTAGAGGAAGAGCATGATTGGGAGGAGGAGGATGAGGATCATGGTTGGGGGTATGAGGAGGAGGAGGAAGGCGGAGAAGAAGAGAAAGAGAATCATGAAGGGGAGGATGATGGTGTTGAGGTGATGATTGTGGGAGATGGAGATAGGACATTGGGGCAGAAAGCGGCAAGGAAGGTGGGGCAGGAAGCAGGGAAGGGGACGGTAAGAGAAGAAGCACAGACTGGGCTAATGGCTCTCGGGCAGCTGGGAAAGTTTCTCACAAATTCCATTGCTGCTGCTTCTACTGTAGGGAGTGCAGCTGCTGCTACTGCTGGTCCTGGCATGGAATCTACAGGTGCTGCTAGTGTTGCTTCAGGTAATGGCGGGATGCTGGCCAGAGCTGCTGCTAACGAGAATACTGGAGGAGAGAGCCGAAGAGGAGGTAGGGGCGGAAGCAGTGGGAGGGCGTTGAGTAGGGGGCGAGGGCGGGGGGGTGGTGGGATTGACCGAGGGGGAAGGGGAGGAGGCGGACGAATGGGGAGAGGAGGGAGAGGGGAGAGAGGGGGGCGTGTTGGAGGGGGGGGTGGCAGAAGAGGCAAGGGAGTGGTCAGTGGTGCAGGGATCGAGGCTGTGAGAGACTTGGGTGAGTTGGGGAACGGTGGGGAAGCGGGGGGCGGAGCGGGAAGGGGGACAGCAACCGAAGGAGGGGCAGGGGTGGGAGCGTCCGGAGGAGCAAGGGCAGCGGATGGGGTAGGGAGCAAGGAAGGGGGCGGGCATTCAGGAGGAGGGGAGAAGGCAGCTGGTGAGAGTGGGTCTGATGCAGGAGGAGCTGCGCAAGAGGCAGGGATAGGCACCCGGTACAGCCAACGCCTGGGAGGCAGGCAGGTGGGCTTTGAGGAATGGGTGGGACTGCGGTTCCAAAGAAATCATTGCAATGTGCTATCTCATGCACCGTTCTGTTCTCTCCCATTTGTTCCTTTCCTGCTCTGTTATGTTTTCTCCTTTAATTTCGCGTCCCAATCTCCATCCTGCTGTGTTGCACTGTTACGCATTCCAGGTTTCAGGCAGGTGGAGCCGGAAGTATGATGGATAAACCACACTAGTGGTTTATGAGTTTGTGTGTTATTTGTTATGCATTGAGCACGATATACTATCCTAGAAATCCTTGTGTGGGCCAATAAGCTGGTAAAATCAGGTGAAGCAACGTATGGAAGCTATCATGCGCATGGGTTGGTCAGAAGTTAATATAGCTAAATTTGTTTTTAGGGATTTTACGCACAAATCCCACTTAAGGCCAATAGACGAAATGAAGGTCTTTCTATAAGCGGGGTAAGTTGTGTTGAATGGTCCAATCAGTCACCATCGCAGGAAATCTCATCGTAAAGGTAGGTCAGCTGATTTCGTTCCTGACCTTCCCAATCGACACGGCGGTCCAGTCACAGCGTCGCGACTCGCGTCTCGTGCCGTGATGATGGCTGGATTCTCGAGGGGGATTGGTCGTCACTTCTAACGACGAAGTGCACACTCCTTCGCGAACAGCGTCAAACGTGTTCTGTTCAGACTGAGCAGAAATTTCAAATGGAAAAGATAGGACAACGCCGTTGACTAGCAAGTGTGCTGGCAAAGGTTGGGTTGTTGCTGGGGCGTGTTCCTTCCAGCGCTGTGTCAGCCTTGGAAATTAGGAGAGCGGAAACGGATAGCGCGAACGGCGGACTGGCTTGAAACAGCCAGAATTCACGATTGGACACCAAGACGACGGACGACAGCGACTAGCCAATGGAGCACCAGCATTACGTGGGCGCAGCAGCACACAAGAAAGTGAGTGCGCATGGTCTGGTTGGGTTGGGGGAGGAAACGGGAGGCTGCCCAGAATGTCCAACTTTTTCGGATATGACGTCACGTCGGTCCGTCAGTGAACGGACCATCCGTCACCCAACCTTCGAATCCGCCCCACTCCCGTTTCCGTTTCCCATCACCCTTCCCAGCCCAGTCCGTCAAATCTGGTTTGACGGCGCATGTTCAGCATTTCCTGTTATCCGCCGCCCCCCTCTCCTCCCCCCCCTCCCCCACTTCCCATGTGTCATTTCTTTGCGCTGCCCTGATTCCCCACTGCCCCCAGCCTAACGCCTACATTTACCCGCCGGCCGACCATCGCGAAGTTATCTTCTTGGCGTTTCACGTTTCTTTTCTCCCCTCCTCCTTTTTCCCCTCCCCGCCCCCAAATTTCTGCTCGCCACCGAAATTCCCCGCCACCCACCCACCTCACGCATCCTCCCCTCCTTTCCCTCCCCCCCCCCACCCAGCAGCACTCCGCTTCGCGTTCTTCGATCTCCACTTTTCGCAACGCGTCGCGTGTTCGCGTGACATTTGGTCAACCTCACCCTGACCTGACCTTCCAGTCAACTGCACGGAAGAAACGAGCCAAGCCCGATTGACTGCTCCTGCTCCTTTGCTGCTACTGCAGCAGCAGCTATTTCGCTTGACTGGGCAATATATTGCCAGAAATACGTCCGCCTCGCAATCAATAATTTGTTTCTGTTGCAAGTCTTTCAGCACGTCGTCTCGTCCCTTAGCCAATTGAACACGCGCCCGCTGTTGTGATTGGACTTCACCAACGTGACGCAGACATTATTCCCGTCCCCGCAGCTAGAGCAGCTGCTCCGTTCGCGAGGCGATTGACTAATAGAGAAATTAGAGAAGCCGTTCGCGACTCACTGATTTAGGGCGAGGTGACTTTCCAGTCGACTGATAATCTTCCGTCGAATTGGCTCCATGGTTGATTCACTTCGTTCCTCTTCCTCTCACAGACACTCATCGCCTACAAGCGCCTTTTCCTTCCACCGCACAGCACCCATTACAACCGGCTCCAACGACGTGACTCCGACGATGACTTCCTGCCTCCGACGCAACTCGCAAGAGAACGCCTGGACGCAGCAACAACCGCAGACGCCATCGCAAGCGTCGCATCCGCCGTCGCATTCGTCGCAAACGGATCGCACGGCAGCGAAAACAGTCGCACGCGGTGCTCCGCGACCGTTCGCGACGACTATGCGATCGTCCGCGTGGCCCCACTCCCCGCCTCTCAAGGCAAAAACGACGAATCACCTGTCTGCAGCCGATTTTCTCCAACTGCTGAGTCCCAACGTCGCAATCTCCACCCTTGGATCAAATCCCGCCGCTTCACGAGGGCCGTACACGTGTCGCAAGTGCGAGCAGCGCTACCCCTCGCTGCACGCGCTCAGTCTTCATCACAAGAACGCCCACGCGTCGCCAGGCTTCGAAGGCGCCGTTGGTATCGCCGTTGAAGGCGCCGCTGATTGCGGCGTCCGAGGCGCCAGTTCAGCGAATATACGCAAGGCCAGATATGAAACCCTTTCCCCAGCAGCGACAGCGGCGACAGCGCTTGCGACGACAGCGAAGGCGAAGGCGACGATGGCGACATCGGCGGCAACGACCGCGACGGCGACGGCTGCGAAAGCCAGCGCACTGAAGGCAACTGCGATGCGACTAGCGACACGCGAAGATGGAGGTGTTGCGAGCCGCTCCACTGAGAGGCACTCGAATATCGTCGATGCGCTCCGAGCACGTAAGCGAGCAGCCATAAAGTCCCGGCTACCAGCTGCGCAGGCTGCGCCGCCGGCTGCGGCGACGGCTGCGGCGACGGTAGCGCCGACGGCTGCGACGACGGTTGTGGCGGCGGGAGCGGTTGCGACGGAAGCAGCACCGGCGGGGATTCCGCGATGCGGAAAGCGAGCTCGCGACAATCACAACGTGAAGGTTCCTGGAGCTTTCGCGTACGCCGTCAACCCTTCTTCTCGCGCCGCTAAAAGAGTCGCGCGTCGGTTCTACGCCTTAATCGACGCCGCAACTGCCGCCGCAACAGACGCCGACGAATTCGCTGAAGCTCCCATACTGGAATCGTCGTTTGTGGAACGTGCGCTCCTGCCACGTGTCACAAGCCCCGCGGCTTGCACCGCGGATATCGCCGTCGACGCAGCAGCAGCTCTGGTGGAGCTTAAAACCACAAGTAACGCATCAGCTCCTACCTCTCCCTCCGTTCCTTCCCATCCCTCCTCTCTCTCTCCCTCCTTTTCCACGGCTCCTCCCTCCCCCGTTTCTCTCGCCTCCACCGTTTCCCGCACGGTTTCTGCCACTGCTCAAGCTCCCCCCACTAGTTCACCCCCTGCTGCTTCCGCCTCCGCCGCCGCCCCTGCTAGGGGGCGCGCAGACTTTCTTGTGTCGTCGTCGCCCGCGTCTCCCGCCACGTCAGCAGTCACGGGAACCCGCCGCGTTGCTGCGGCCGCGTCGCACGCGCGGTGCAATGTCGGAAGGTTCCCTGTGTCCGCTCAGCCTGAGAGAATCGACACTTCTGCCACGCACTCTCTCAACTCCGCAGCTGCGCCGCTCGCGCTTCAGCTCTCAGCCGCCGCGGATGCCCTCCGGGCCTCTGCTTCGGCAACCAGACCTGCAGGCTTGGCAACAGCTGCAGCTGGTGGCGCAGGTTCGGAAGCAGCGGGAGGGGGGGAGACCGAGCTACGGAGCTCTCTAATTGCGGTTCTGCTGGACCGATTGAGTCAGCTGGCAACAATGTTACCACAAACACCAGCGTTTAAGTTTCAAGTGGAGCAGACGCAACAAGAGCAACAGATGCAGCAGCAGCAGGATGAGACAATCCCAGAGGCCCAGGGATTGCCAGAAACTACGTTGCAGCTTCAGCCTCCAGGTCTCGCGGATGCTTCTTCCGATAATTACACTGCGAATAGCACTGACAATTTTGCAGAAAATAGCTCCATGCATCGTGGCGGGGAGTGGGTGCGAGCCGCCTCTAGCTCTTCAGCCGCCTTTCCCTCGTCGGGGAGTGAGACTCGCGGCAATCTCGAGAGTCACGGAAGTATGGATTATGGGCTAGATTTGGAACTGCGTCTATGAGCAGGAACGCGTATGGTCACTTCAGTGTAGCATTGACAGTAGCCTAGAGTTGTTATGGATCACGCCCACAAGTTTCTGCTCTGTCTTGGGCCGCTGTGAAAGAGGAACCAGGGCTCTTGGCGTGAGCTGCAGGCTGAGATGAGGTTGTGTTCATCCGGTCTGCTGAAAACGTTTCACTAGGTGTACAGCTGTATTGTAATCCTGAATCATATGTTTGGTGTCATCAATGTAGACATAAACCTTATACGGTACTAATTAATATCCTACACTTGGTGCGCTACGCGCCTCAGCTACGATATTCTTCTATCAAACATCCCTCCACGAATCAGATTCGGCAGCTGAAAACTATCAGTACGAGACTATAATCCTCTTACGGTATCTCATTTCAGTCGGGAAAATAGTAAATAAAAGAAAATGTGCCCTATCTTTGCCCAGCATCCAGCCCTGCTGCTGAATCAGCACCGGCATCCTCCTTTGGCTCGACCCGTTGCTTCACTTCTCCTGCTCCTGAGATTGACTCCTCCTTCCCGTCTCCAACAGCAGCAGCATCACCACCACCACCGCCGCCAACAGAACCAGCACTACCAGCATCACCAGCACCGATACCACCAGCAGCAGCGTCAGCAACATCAGCAAGAGCAGCAGCAGCCACATCAGCTTCATCTAAAGCAGCTTCATCAACTCCTGCATCATCTTCCTCTAAGTTTAGCCCTGCTGCTGCCCCATCAGTCACCTTCTTTATCGCACTGCCACGGCCACCACCAGCAGCAGCACCAGCAGCACCATCAGCACCAGCCGCAGCACCAGCAGCACCAGCAGCAGCACCAGCAGCAGCACCACCAGCAGCACCACCAGCACCAGCTCCAGCAGCACCAGCACCAGCAGGAACAAAGTCGGTGTGTCGAGGAGTGATCTTGAGCGGGTGTGCCTCGGTGTTAATCACCCACTTGTCCAGATTCAGTGTATCGTCCGGAGAGAATAGCAGGTAGAGGTACTTGAGCGTCTCTGCCAGGAAGAAGCTCTGCTGCATGTTGTCCTGCGGAGGGGGGTTCTTCCCCGCCTGCGGTGGAGAGGGGTGGAGTGGGGTGGAGCAAGGTGGAGAAGGGTGGAGTGGGGTGGAGTGGGGTGGAGAGGGGTGGAGAGCGGGGAAATGAGACATCTGCTAAGGGTAGCTAGCATGGTGAGGCAAGAAGAGCAGGTAGAGGTACTTGAGCGTCTCTGCCAGGAAGAAGCTCTGCTGCATGTTGTCCTGCGGAGGGGGGTTCTTCCCCGCCTGCAGTGGAGAGGGGTGGGGCGAGGTGGAGTAGGGTGAGGAGGGGTGGAGAGGGGTGGAGGGTGGGGGAAATGAGGCATCTGCTAAGGGGAAAATAGGAGATAGAGGTACTTGAGCGTTTCTGCCACGAAGAAGCTCTGCTGCGTGTAGTCCTGTTGAGGGGGGTCCCTCCCCGCCTGGTAGAGTGGTGGAAAGGGGTGGAGATGGGTGACGTGGGGTGAAGCGGGTCGGAGTGCGGTGAGGAGGGGTGATGAGAGGTGGAGAGGGTTGGAGGTCGGGGGAAATAAGACATTTGGTATTTTAGCTAGCATGGCGAGCCGAGAAGAGCAGGTGGAGGCACTTAACCAGGCCTCCTTAACCCCTAAATACACCCTACATAAGCTCAAATGCCCGACCCACTACAAACAACTAAACACTCAAATCTTCCAGCCCAAGATCCGGCCTTCATGTGGCAGTGCTTCTCAAACGCCTGTCAGATCTTCCAACCCTCCTAACCAAGCCTCCCGAACCCCTATATTCTCCCTTTGTAAGCTTCAACGCCCGAGAGTGAACCGCTATTTGAATAAAAGAGCACTCACATCCTCGAGCCCAACGTATCCGGCTTCCACGCGGCAGTGCTTCTCAAACGCCTGCCAGATCTTCCACCCCTCATGCCACCAAGCCTCCCTAACCCCTATATTTACCCTATAAAGGCTTGAACGCAAAGAACTGACTTTTGAGTCGACTCAAAAGTCACCCCTATCTTTACCCTATAAAGGCTTGAACGCAAAGAACTGACTTTTGAGTCGACTCAAAAGTCACCCCTATCTTTTCCCTATAAAGGCTTGAACGCAAAGAACTGACTTTTGAGTCGACTCAAAAGTCACCCCTATCTTTACCCTATAAAGGCTTGAACGCAAAGAACTGACTTTTGAGTCGACTCAAAAGTCACCCCTATCTTTACCCTATAAAGGCTTGAACGCAAAGAACTGACTTTTGAGTCGACTCAAAAGTCACCCCTATCTTTACCCTATAAAGGCTTGAACGCAAAGAACTGACTTTTGAGTCGACTCAAAAGTCACCCCTATCTTTACCCTATAAAGGCTTGAACGCAAAGAACTGACTTTTGAGTCGACTCAAAAGTCACCCCTATCTTTACCCTATAAAGGCTTGAACGCAAAGAACTGACTTTTGAGTCGACTCAAAAGTCACCCCTATCTTTACCCTAGAAAGGCTTGAACGCAAAGAACTGACTTTTGAGTCGACTCAAAAGTCACCCCTATCTTTACCCTATAAAGGCTTGAACGCAAAGAACTGACTTTTTAGTCGACTAAAAAGTCACCCCTATCTTTACCCTATAAAGGCTTGAACGCAAAGAACTCACTTTTGAGTCGACTCAAAAGTCACCCCTATATTTACCCTAGAAAGGCTTGAACGCAAAGGATTGACTTTTGAGTTGACTCAAAAGTCACCCCTATATTTACCCTATAAAGGCTTGAACGCAAAGAACTCACTTTTGAGACGACTCAAAAGTCACCCCTATATGTACCCTATAAAGGCTTGAACGCAAAGAATTGACTTGTGAGTTGACTCAAAAGTCACCCCTATATATACCCTAGAAAGGCTTGAACGCAAAGGACTCACATCTTCCAGCCCAACGTATCCGGCTTCCACCCGACAGTTCTTCTCAAACGCCTGCCAGATCTTCCACCCCCACTCGCGGTACACGGGGTCCTTGGTGGCCCGCCACGAGTACCAGATCGCCTCCACTGCCTCTGGCCTCAAGATGTTGTACACGCGGCCCTGGAGATGGGGGCCCTGTGGGGGAGGAACACACAAGCACAGGAAGGGGGCAAGGAGCGGTACATGGGGTCTTTAGTGGCCCGCCATGAGTACCAAATCGCCTCAACTGCTTCCGGTCGGAGAATGTTGTACACGCGGCCCTGGAGACGGGGGCCCTGTGGGGAAAAGAGCACACACACCAAGGGCACAAGAGGAGAGCGAGGAGCGGTACACGGGGTCCTTGGTGGCCCGCCACGAGTACCAGATCGCCTCCACTGCTTCCGGTCGCAGAATGTTGTATACTCTTCCCTGCAAGTGTGGGCCCTGTAAGAAAGGCCCATCACAGGAAGAAGTAGAAAAGAACAAAGAAAAGAGCGATATTAGGGGCTCTTGGATCCCAGGGAGCAGCAAGACAAGCTGCCAGATCTGCCACCCCCACTCGCGGTACATGGGGTCCTTGGTTGCCCGCCCGCCATGAGTACCAGATCGCCTCCACTGCCTCTGGCCTCGACCAGCGGGGGTCCTTCAGTACTAAGTGGCATGCTGGGAGTACATTTGATCTTTCAGTTACAATCTTAATTGCTCACATCAGAGCGGAAGTTGTGGTCCTCGCCAGCCAGCTTGCACCGAGTGCTGTTGTAGCAATGGTTGCCATAAAGGCCAGGATAATCAAAGACTAACCTGTGATGACCTGTAAGCACGAGACCAGCTGCTCACATGAAGTTGTAGTCCTCGCCGGCCAGCTTGGAGGGAGTGCTGTTGTAGCAATGGTTACCACAGAGGCCAGGCAAATCAATGAATAAACCCCTTTATCTCACATCAGCATGGAAGTTGTAGTCCTCGCCAGCCAGCTTGGAGGGAGTGCTGTTGTAAAACTCGTAGCACGTTCGAGTTAGCTGCATTACACGAATGCGTGCTCACACAAAGTACACACACACATGCACACACACATACATGATACACACACATGCACATATACATGCACACACATACATGCACACACACATGCACACAAAAATATGAATCAGGCACGAGAGAGAGGTTTCTCTTAAGAAAACAGCAAGAGGGTGCATAATAGCAGCCCAGTAAAAAACATACAGAATTTGATTAGCTTGGTGACCTAATTCCTCATTAAGAGCTCACCCCTTCCAAAAGTCCAACTTCATTGAAAGCTCACCCTTTAAAGCCACCCAAACCTCGTTATAAGCTCACCTCTGTAGCAGCTGCCCCAGAATCGTTATAAGCTCACCTCCTTAGCCAAGTCTAGGTACTTGGCAGCGTCAGCAGGCGACGCCTCTGGCATACCCAGTATAAGCATCCCCGGTACAAAGCACGTGAGATGCTCCATCTTGCGAATGAGCCCCCCTCCCTCCATCTCAGGCACGTAGGAGTACCCCTTGTGCCCCCCCTGGTCTGGCGTGCGCTGTACCAATCTGGAATACATTCCATTTATAGACTTCTCCCACATGTCTCTGTGAGGGGGTGAGCGTAAAGGGAAGAATGGGCGTAAATACTGGTCGGCCACCTCTGTCTGTTGTGTGCTGTCCGAAAATGGAAATCATTTTGTTAAAAAAAAGATTCCGCATCAAATTTCCGCAACGGAAATGAGGGTAGAGGAAGAGGGAGGAACGGGAGGAGACATGGATGTCGATTTTTGAGTCGACTCAAAAATCAAAGAGGGAGGAACGGGAGGAGACATGGATGTCAGAAGTCACCTTGCCCTTAACCATCTCAACACCACTCACTCACTCACTAACCTGTATTTCTTGACGATTGGAGTCTTGCCCCCGTGCACCCACATCTTGATCAGATACTCGTAGAAACTGATGGGGGAAGAAGGGGGAAGAAGGGTAGGGAAGAAGGGAATAAGTGCACAAGCTACCCATGGTAGTGGCGTCTTGCCCCCGTGCACCCACATCTTGATCAGATACTCGTAGAAACTGATGGGGGAAGAAGGGGGAAGAAGGGTGGGGAAGAAGGGAATAAGTGCACAAGCTACCCATGGTAGTGGCGTCTTGCCCCCGTGCACCCACATCTTGATCAGATACTCGTAGAAGCTGATGAGAGAGAAGGAGGTTGGGGAAAAGGGTGGGAGGAGGGTGGGAGGAGGGTGGGAGGAGGGTGAGACGAGGGTGAGAGGAGGGTGGGAGTAGGGTGAGAGGAGGGTGGGAGGAGGGTCAGAGGAAGGTGGGAGGAGGACGAGAGGAGGGTGGGGGGAGGGTGAGAGGAGGGTGGGGGAAGGTAGGTGGGGGGAGGGTACTATATAGCATGCGTTGCACGTAGCATGTAATTGGCCACGTAGGATGGGGGGAGGGTACGGGTTACACGTAGCCATACATGGTGCCACAATCGGCTGCTGGTGGACTCCAAAACTCCAGCCAGCCAGCCAGCAGCCCGTACCCGTATTTTGAGGCGTCTCAAAACTCCAGCCAGCAGCCGACTTTTGAGTCGACTCAAAAGTCAACTCAGCAGCCCGTACCCGTATTTTGAGGCGTCTCAAAACTCCAGCCAGCAGCCGACTTTTGAGTCGACTCAAAAGTCAACTCAGCAGCCCGTACCCGTATTTTGGCTGCTCCATGGGCCCAAAGGTGATGTGGCTGCTCGTGGGCTCCCCGTTGCCGACGACGCTAATGAACATGAGCTTGAGAGCATGCCAGGAACACCGGGCCATGCTATGTGCCGATTGCATGAGGTTCCTTACCTGTCCCCCATGGAACCGAACGTGATGTGGCTGCTGGTGGGCTCCCCACTGTCGATGCTGAACGAACATGGGCACGAGACCGTGGCAGATGGATGGGGAGGCTATGCCAGATGCACAAACATACTACAATCACCTCACCTGTCGCCCATGGACCCGAACGTGATGTGGCTGCTCGTGGGCTCCCCGCTGTCGATGCTGATGAACATGGGCACCAGACCGTCCTCTGGGAATATCTTCTCGATTTGCTTTATCACATTCTCCGCCTGTGAGGGGAGTGAGGGAAGGGGTGGGGGAAAGGGGAGATGGGGGGAACGGGAGGGGGAGAGGACGAAGGGGCAACATGGGCACGAGGCCGTCCTCTGGGAAGATCTTATCAATCTGCTTGATCACATTCTCCGCCTGTGAGAGGATGGGATGGAGGGAGGGAAGGGGTGCAGGGGAAGAGGAGGAGGATGGACATGGGCACGATCTTATCAATCTGCTTAATCACGTTCTCTGCCTGTGAGGGGAGGGGGCGGAGGGGGAGTGGGGAAACGGGAGTAGGGGGGCACGGAAGCGGGAGAGGAGGAGGAGCAGCATAGGCACCACCAGGACATCCTCTGGGAAGATCTTTTTGATCTGCTGAGGGTGGGTCCCACACGTACGTTTACAGTTCGTTTACATTTTATCCGCCATGGTGCAAAGCAAAACAATATCAGGCGGGCGGTGCACAGCGGCTTCCAAGCTACAACGTTTTGCACCGTGATGTGCCGCAACAGGGTAAACCTCCCAGGATGAGCTGTGAACGTACGCGCTGGACCTGCCCTTCATCACATCCTCTCCCACATTACCAGGTTGCCTTGCCACTGACAAACCTGTTGACTTTTGAGTCGACTCAAAAGTCAACTCCGTACGCGCTGGACCTGCCCTTCATCACATCCTCTCCCACATTACCAGGTTGCCTTGCCACTGACAAACCTGTTGACTTTTGAGTCGACTCAAAAGTCAACTCCGTACGCGCTGGACCTGCCCTTCATCACATCCTCTCCCACATTGCCAGGTTGCCTTGCCACTGACAAACCTGTTCTTGAGTTGACTCAAAACAGTTTATAGCTCATCACATTCTCCCCAACATTGCCAGGTTGCCATATACCTGGTTAGAGAGCCAGCGACTGACGATTATTGCATACTTGGGGTCGCCTGTCCGCTGAGACAGAGTCACAAACTCCAGCTGCAGCAGCGTGCCGAGATCACCTTTCAGGCACTCCAAAGAGCATCCATGTTACCAGGTTACCAGGTAACAGAGACACTGACTGACCTTGATAGCGTACTTGGGGTCGCCTGTCCGCTGAGACAGTGTCACAAACTCCAGCTGCAGCGTGCCCAAATCCGCCAGCACTGCCGATCCCTGTGGCGGGGAGAAGAAGGGTTGGTTGGCAGAGGGTACTTTTGAGGCGCCTCAAAAGAAGAAGGGTTGGTTGGCAGAGGATCAAAGTCCCCACGCAGAAGGGTTGGTTGGCAGAGGGTTGCAAAGAGATCGGCACGCAGAGGATCAAAGTCCCCACGCAGCACCCGCCCCTAGGCAGCAGCTTAGGCAGTGTTGAGTGCGCATACACCCACCCACACACAAGGAAACTGGAGCGTGCCAAGATCCACCTGCCAGCACTGCCAATCCCTGTGGGGTGGAGAAGACGGGGAAACAGGGATGAATTTTGAAAGAATATGAGCTAGAAATTCAGCACATGCTGATGCATAAATTAGATCAGCTTACCCCAGTCCAGCCGGGGGCGTTGCCTCCTCCTGATGCCAAGTCCACATAAGCGAAAGGAATGCCAGTGGGGGTGTTGAACGCTGGCAAGAGTCGATCTCCCAGCTCCGTCGCCTTGTCCAAGAAGACCTTCTCTCCTGACAGGTCGTACGCTGCTAGCAGCCCGCCCAGCATCCTGTGGAAGAATGAGGAGTGAGCAGGGAGGGAGGGACGGGGACAGTGAGTCTGGCAGCAGTCGATCTCCCAGCTCCCTGGCCTTGCCCAAGAAGACCTTCTCTCCTGACAGGTCGTACGCTGCTAGCAGCCCGCCCAGCATTCTGTAGGGATTGGGGGAACACCAACAATGGGTCGGGTGAACATTGGACTCCTAACTCCCTCGCCTTGCCCAGAAAGACCTTCTCTCCTGACAGGTCGTACGCTGCTAGCAGCCCCCCCAGCATCCTGTTGGGATTGCAAGGAAATGGGAGAGGGAAGGAGGCCAGAAGGGATGGAGGGTCAAGCTGGCAGCACAAAACAGGTTTCCCAGCTCCTTCGCCTTCTCCAAGAAAAACCTTTTCCCCGGGCAGGTCGTATGCCGCAAGGAGCCCGCCCAGCATCCTATGGAGAGGTGAGGGGGGAGGGACGGAAAGTATGAGCTGGCACAAAACTGGTCCCCTTGCTCCCTCGCCTTGTCCAAGAAGACCTTTTCTCCTGACAGGTCGTACGCTGCTAGAAGCCCTTTGGAAGCATGCGCGGTGAGGTGAGGGTGGAGGGACGGCGGCAAACTTAAGAATGTGTTCTTAAGAGGGTGTTGGATGCGGGGCAAAACGATGCAACGAAAAGTAGCAGCAAAGGTGTAGTAGATAGGCGGAGGAGGATGCACATTGCATACCGGATGGTTGTTTCAAAGACGCTGACGCTGGAGTGCCGGTTGAAATTGAGAGACTCGCCCACCCACCTGCAGCAACAGAGGCACACACACACACACATCAGGAAGGAAAAGTCAACTCATGCCAGCTAGTGGAATCCGAAAAGCAACATGGGCATGAGATGGTGTAGGGTTTGGTGAACTCGTCTGTGAGCCCAAGAGCGTGCTGCGTGTCTAGTAAATCCACTATGCTCGCCCCCAGCTATGTCACAGCACCACCATACCCTACAACAGCATTCATCCATCCAGCCCACTCCTGGGCCCTGACTGTCCTACTGCTTGAAAGAATTTACAATCGTTGCCTCCATCCATCCCCCCAAAGTTGTTGGACAGGGGTCTTGCTGCCCCCAGCACTGCTTCAGCACCAAAGCTACTCTTGAGGCGCCTCAAGAATTGGGCCCCATTCCCGCAAAGCTGTCAGACAGGGGTGTTGCTGCCCCCACTACTGCTTCACCACCAAAGATCCTGCCCCAACGTGCACTACCTACCAACCAACACCTGCTTGTCCGGCCTAAACCCTGAACCCTGTGAACATACTTTTGTGCGTCTCTAAACTCGTCCTTGAGTCCCATGAGGTGTCCAGCGAGTCAACAATGGTCGCTCCCAAGCACTGCTACAGAGCACATCACACCCCCCACAAACATGCCTCACACACCAACCAGCCCTGCACAATCCTGCCCTACACAAACATACATACTGTTGGCCTGTGCACGTACTTCTGCGCGTCTCTGAACTCGTCCTTGAGCCCCATGAGGAAGAGCGTGTCCAGCGAGTCTACGATGGTCGGCCCCTAGCACTGCTATGCAGCGAATGCCGCTAACCAACATTCTTCTGGCTGTCTAACTGCTAGCCTGTGAACCTACTTCTGTGCGTCCCTGAACTCGTCCTTGAGCCCCATGAGGAAGAGCGTGTCCAGCGAGTCTACGATGGTCGGCCCCTAGCACTGCTATGCAGCGAATGCCGCTAACCAACATTCTTCTGGCTGTCTAACTGCTAGCCTGTGAACCTACTTCTGTGCGTCCCTGAACTCGTCCTTGAGCCCCATGAGGAAGAGCGTGTCCAGCGAGTCTACGATGGTCGGCCCCTAGCACTGCTATGCAGCAAATGCCGCTAACCAACATTCTTCTGGCTGTCTAACTGCTAGCCTGTGAACCTACTTCTGTGCGTCTCTGAACTCGTCCTTGAGCCCCATGAGGAAGAGCGTGTCCAGCGAGTCAACAATAAGCTCCCCAGCACTGCTACAGAGCACCTCATACCCCACACACCAAGCTGCCCTGCCCCATCCTGCCCTACGTAAACATACATAGTGCTGGCCTGTGAACGTACTTCTGTGCATCTTTGAACTCGTCCTTGAGCCCCATGAGGAAGAGCGTGTCCAGCGAGTCAACGATCGTCGCTCCCATGCCTCCAAAGTTGTTGGACGGGGTCTTGCTGCGTGGCTGGTGTGCGGGAAAATGGGGGAAAGGTGAGGATGTGAGGAAGGTGGGAACGGGTGGTTAGTGACGGCCGGGTTACATCACGCTGTGCTAGTTGCTCTTCTGAGAACTTTCAAGAACCCATTTCCCTCAGGCTTTGTCATGCCTAAACCAGCTTTATCACCTCACCACCACCCCCTTCTCACCTGCAGCTCATCTGACCCCCACGCGTACTTCTTGTACCCCCTCCACGCATGCAGCATACCCTGCTTGATCGATTCTCTCCTCCTCTCCGTCTCATCCTGCCCTCTCAACAACACCCCCTGCCCCTGCCCCTGCCCCTGCCCCTGCCCCTGCCCCTGCCCCTGCCCCTGCCCCTGCCCCTGCCCCTGCCCCTGCCCCTGCCCCTGCCCCTGCCCCTGCCCCTGCGTCTGCTTCTCTGCTGCTCGTTGCTCAGCCACCGATACCTCCTTCCTCTGCTCACTCTGCAACTGCTCTCCCCCCGCTTCAGTCACCCCGCCTGCTCTCCCTCCTCCTCCCCCCTTTCCGCCTTTGCCACCCCCCGCTACAGCCACATCATCCTCCAAATCCGCGTCCTCAAGCGCGTCTATATCAGCTGCCTTCCCCTCGTTACTGTCACCTTCTCCGCCTCCCAGCCCATCATCGTCCAGCTTCCCCAGTCTCTGCAGCTCCGATAACGCCTTCTGCTCCACATCCGCGCTATGAGCATCCCCAGTAACAGGATCCCTTATAATAGCATCCCCAGTATACGCTTGCCCAGCCTGCTCGCCTCCTCTCAGCATCCCCCCTGTAGCACCCGCCTGAACGATCTTTTCTAGAGGAAGGAGCTTTCTCGCTTGCACTTTGCTGCTCGCACGTGCTGCATTTACACTTATCCCGCCACCGCCGCCGCCGCCACCACCCCCTCCCCCTCCTACACCGAGAATAAGAGGGTCTTTTTTAACAGACGCGGCTTTGCCTCCTGCCCGGGCGTCAGAAACGCTGCCGGTCAAGCGAGCCTTCTCCAGCTGGGATGGGACCAAGAGCAAGGGAGGGCAAACGCCAGAAACAGCAGGAGGAGACAGGATACGTAGGGAAAGCCAGGAGGCTATGACTTATAAGCCAGCTTCCTGCCTGGGCTGCGCATAAGAAACGCTGCCAGTCAGGCGAGCCTGCTGCAGCTGAGATGGGATCAGGGCATGTGAACAGGAAATGGCATTGAGAAAGTGCGGTTCACAGCGACGTAACAGCAGCGGAACAGAACGCAAAAGATACCACTTCATACCTCAACAACCAGGTGACTCTTCTCGCCTTCGAGATTATCCAGTTGCGTCGCGAGTTCCTGCAGAAGACACGGAGCAAACGAGAGAATAGGTGGTGCTTTTTGAGGCGCCTCAAAAGTTGCTTCTTGAGGCGCCTTCGAGATTATTCAGTTGCGTCGCGAGTTCCTGCAGAAGACACGGAGCAAACGAGAGGGTAGCGGGTGGCTGGTGATGCTGATTGCGGGGAACCACGTATGAAGCAACCTGTCGTGTAAGGATTGAACTTCGTTCCGACAATTCTTTCGTTTCTAGGACCGCGTGCGGTTTGAAATCGCCGACAAAGCATGAAGATGTAGGGCGGAAACACTGATTTGGTTGGTCGGGACCACAGATCGTAGATTTCTGTCGAAATTCTTCAAGATGTGTGGGAGATTTGAATTGCGGGTAAGCCAAAAACGGGAAGAAGCCTGAGCTGTGACTACGGAAATGAAGGTTTACAGTGACACCAGGATAACCTTGATTTTGCAAGTTACTCCTGAAATTTCTCAAGTTGAACCTGCAAAATTAGAGTGGAATAAGCTTGATTACTAGGATCCATGGCGGCGAGCATAATTCCAATGTCACGGAGAACTGTCAGACATGATAAAATTGGCGAATAACGGCCAGGTTACCTCAACTCCTTTCGCGTACCTCCAGTTCTTTCGCCTGTCGTTGGCGATCCATGACGAAAAAGACGATCCCGACGACGAGCAGAGTGAGCAGCCCTAGTCGCCGGGGTCGCCGGATGTAGTACGACGGTCGCAGGTACTTGAACCTGGTGGACGACGAACTCGACGACGGTCTGCGACCCATCGTGCCAAGTTGCGGTAATTCGTCAACAGACGCTCCTTGATCTCAGGAATTCGGGCACTGAACTGTTCGTGACGCGAAGAATGTCAATGGACGGTGCAGATCAGCGGCGAAATTTTGCTCACTTATCCCTACTTTTGAACACCCTACTAGGGACCTCGCAGCTTTGGCGGATGTGATACACGAACATCCAGACTCGATTGGGGAACAGAGGGGTGGCTCAGTCCAATGACAGGTGGTATCAGTCGAACGACAGAGGTACTGAACGCTCGAGGTTTTTCAGGGAATTAAGGAGCAAGACTCTCCCCGGTGACGAGGAGAGCCACGAGGAAACGTAGCGGAGCGAGTCGCTGAGGTGCCTAGTAGCTGAGAGAGTCCTCGCACCTCTGTTCTCCAAGAGCAGAATTGCTTCTCACTCTCATCAGTTCACAGATCACCAACTGATGAGATCTGTGTTTTTGGTCCGACGTCGGTGTTGGGGAGAAATCAAGGATGCGGTTGGGTGGTAGGTTCGTTCGTTCTGGCCTCGAGAATGCCGGAACGGGCAGAACATATGTTTGCTCCTGGCGGATTTTGAATTACATGGGCGTTATGTACCAGAATTTGCTGCTTCTGGCACAGATGAAACCAGAGCTCCATCATAAAAAGTGCTGTGGATTTGCCCAATGTTGTTCCCTTTTAGTTGTACCCACCCACACCGGCAAGAAGCTTTCTGGTTACAAAAGTTTGGCGGGATTGTCAGACCAGAGTGATTCTTGCCTTGCGAAGAGGTTTGGCGCGAATGTAAATCGGCTCGTCAGGGCACACAGAGGGAGCCACCCGCAGCAACAGCAGTGCGGTGGAGGAGACGGGTGTGCCCTTCGCTGAAACAAGACAGCTAGCGAAACGCAGAGTTCCCCGGTTACCAACGAAGCAATTTGTGACGAAAACAAATTCGCCCTAAATTCCAATTTCCTTTTGGCTGTGAGACCAATTCTTTTTGGCTGGTCTACTTCAGCTGCTGTTGCTTCCCACGCATCCATGGCGACCCACACATGATTCTGCAATACTGAAGGGGAGCACATTCCCGGCGTTGTAATAGTGTTTCTGCGAGTCTGCTGACGGCAAAGTAGAAAATCATGTTGGCGACCTCCAATCTTTCTAGGAAACGAAACCCCACCTACGGATCCTGCATTTACAAGGCACATTATTGACCAGTTTCAAACGTTTCCTAGTTTCGCTGGATCCAAACGTTTTCAGTCGCCCCTTATCATTCCGTCAAATCTTCATTATCGCTGATCTCTCGTCATGGACTCCTCCGGGAATCTCCGTCAACGAAGGAAATCCGAAGCCCAAGGAACCTCGTCAGGCACCCAGCCTGTACCCTCCTCCTCAGACTCCTTGCAGCAGCCAGTGAAGCAGCAGAAGAGCCTACTTATTTCCTGGCGAGCCGCATTCTTTGTCCTCCTGATCTCACGGTCAGTAATCTCTTTACATGTGCACATTTCCCTGAATCCGCATTCCGTTCGCGTTATGCAGGCCCCGCTTTCCACTGTGTTCTTCCTCCGCGGGTTTTTTTTTGTCCTTGGGCTACGGTCGCAGTGCTCATCTCTCCTAATCAATCAACGCTGCGATCAATCGCATGCGAGACAGTTTGAGACGTCGCAAAACCCAACAGTTATCCTTGGGCTACTGTCGCAGTGCTCATCTCTCCTAATCAATCAACGCTGCGATCAATCTCATGCGAGACAGTTTGAGACGTCTCAAAACCCAACTGTTATCGTTGGGCTACGGTCGCAGTGCTCATCTCTCCTAATCAATCAACGCTGCGATCAATCGCATGGGAGACAGTTTGAGACGTCTCAAAACCCAACTGTTATCCTTGGGCTACTGTCGCAGTGCTCATCTCTCCTAATCAATCAACGCTGCGATCAATCTCATGCGAGACAGTTTGAGACGTCTCAAAACCCAACTGTTATCCTTGGGCTACTGTCGCAGTGCTCATCTCTCCTAATCATTCAACGCTGCGATCAGTCGCATGCAAGACAGTTTGAGACGTCTCAAAACCCAACTTTTATCCTTGGGCTACTGTCGCAGTGCTCATCTCTCCTAATCAATCAACGCTTCGATCAATCGGATACGAGACGTTCAAGTACCGAGAGGGTTTTTGTTTTTCGTCCCATAGATTTGTTCACATCCTGTTGTTGCAATGACAGGTCAATAAGCGCAGCCGTGAACATCATCCACGACTGTGACGAGACGTTCAACTTCTGGGAGCCTTTTTCTAATCCCTTGACTTTGTTTTTCTCGTGTCTTGCAAACTTTTAAAAGCAGGTCAATAAGCGCAGCCGTGAACATCATCCACGACTGCGACGAGACGTTCAACTACTGGGAGCCTCTGCACTACCTCCTGCACGAGTTTGGGTTCCAGACATGGGAGTACAGGTACGGTACTCCTTGCTGCTCCCATAGTGTAGCATTCTATGGATTTTCTTGGGAGACGTTCAACTACTGGGAGCCTCTGCACTATCTCCTGCACGAATATGGGTTCCAGACGTGGGAATACAGGTGCTGTGTTTCTTGCTGCTCCCATACTGTAGCATTCTATAACATCTCTTGAGAGACGTTCAACTACTGGGAGCCTCTGCACTATCTCCTGCATGAATACGGGTTCCAGACGTGGGAATACAGGTGCGGTGTTTCTTGCTGCTCCCATACTATAGCATTCTATAACATCTCTTGAGAGACGTTCAACTACTGGGAGCCTCTGCACTACCTCCTACACGAATACGGGTTCCAGACATGGGAATACAGGTGCGGTGTTTCTTGCTGCTCCCATACTATAGCATTCTATAACATCTCTTGAGAGACGTTCAACTACTGGGAGCCTGCACTACCTCCTGCATGAATACGGGTTCCAGACATGGGAATACAGGTGCGGTGTTTCTTGCTGCTCCCATACTATAGCATTCTATAACATCTCTTGAGAGACGTTCAACTACTGGGAGCCTGCACTACCTCCTGCATGAATACGGGTTCCAGACATGGGAATACAGGTGCGGTGTTTCTTGCTGCTCCCATACTATAGCATTCTATAACATCTCTTGAGAGACGTTCAACTACTGGGAGCCTCTGCACTACCTCCTACACGAATACGGGTTCCAGACATGGGAATACAGGTGCGGTGTTTCTTGCTGCTCCCATACTATAGCATTCTATAACATCTCTTGAGAGACGTTCAACTACTGGGAGCCTGCACTACCTCCTGCATGAATACGGGTTCCAGACATGGGAATACAGGTGCGGTGTTTCTTGCTGCTCCCATACTATAGCATTCTATAACATCTCTTGAGAGACGTTCAACTACTGGGAGCCTGCACTACCTCCTGCATGAATACGGGTTCCAGACATGGGAATACAGGTGCGGTGTTTCTTGCTGCTCCCATACTATAGCATTCTATAACATCTCTTGAGAGACGTTCAACTACTGGGAGCCTCTGCACTACCTCCTACACGAATACGGGTTCCAGACATGGGAATACAGGTGCGGTGTTTCTTGCTGCTCCCAAACTGTGGCATTCTATGACATCACTTGAGAGACGTTCAACTACTGGGAGCCTCTGCACTACCTCCTACACGAATACGGGTTCCAGACATGGGAATACAGGTGCGGTGTTTCTTGCTGCTCCCAAACTGTGGCATTCTATGACATCACTTGAGAGACGTTCAACTACTGGGAGCCTCTGCACTACCTCCTACACGAATACGGGTTCCAGACATGGGAATACAGGTGCGGTGTTTCTTGCTGCTCCCAAACTGTGGCATTCTATGACATCACTTGAGAGACGTTCAACTACTGGGAGCCTCTGCACTACCTCCTACACGAATACGGGTTCCAGACATGGGAATACAGGTGCGGTGTTTCTTGCTGCTCCCAAACTGTGGCATTCTATGACATCACTTGAGAGACGTTCAACTACTGGGAGCCTCTGCACTACCTCCTACACGAATACGGGTTCCAGACATGGGAATACAGGTGCGGTGTTTCTTGCTGCTCCCAAACTGTGGCATTCTATGACATCACTTGAGAGACGTTCAACTACTGGGAGCCTCTGCACTACCTCCTACACGAATACGGGTTCCAGACATGGGAATACAGGTGCGGTGTTTCTTGCTGCTCCCAAACTGTGGCATTCTATGACATCACTTGAGAGACGTTCAACTACTGGGAGCCTCTGCACTACCTCCTACACGAATACGGGTTCCAGACATGGGAATACAGGTGCGGTGTTTCTTGCTGCTCCCAAACTGTGGCATTCTATGACATCACTTGAGAGACGTTCAACTACTGGGAGCCTCTGCACTACCTCCTACACGAATACGGGTTCCAGACATGGGAATACAGGTGCGGTGTTTCTTGCTGCTCCCAAACTGTGGCATTCTATGACATCACTTGAGAGACGTTCAACTACTGGGAGCCTCTGCACTACCTCCTACACGAATACGGGTTCCAGACATGGGAATACAGGTGCGGTGTTTCTTGCTGCTCCCAAACTGTGGCATTCTATGACATCACTTGAGAGACGTTCAACTACTGGGAGCCTCTGCACTACCTCCTACACGAATACGGGTTCCAGACATGGGAATACAGGTGCGGTGTTTCTTGCTGCTCCCAAACTGTGGCATTCTATGACATCACTTGAGAGACGTTCAACTACTGGGAGCCTCTGCACTACCTCCTACACGAATACGGGTTCCAGACATGGGAATACAGGTGCGGTGTTTCTTGCTGCTCCCAAACTGTGGCATTCTATGACATCACTTGAGAGACGTTCAACTACTGGGAGCCTCTGCACTACCTCCTACACGAATACGGGTTCCAGACATGGGAATACAGGTGCGGTGTTTCTTGCTGCTCCCAAACTGTGGCATTCTATGACATCACTTGAGAGACGTTCAACTACTGGGAGCCTCTGCACTACCTCCTACACGAATACGGGTTCCAGACATGGGAATACAGGTGCGGTGTTTCTTGCTGCTCCCAAACTGTGGCATTCTATGACATCACTTGAGAGACGTTCAACTACTGGGAGCCTCTGCACTACCTCCTACACGAATACGGGTTCCAGACATGGGAATACAGGTGCGGTGTTTCTTGCTGCTCCCAAACTGTGGCATTCTATGACATCACTTGAGAGACGTTCAACTACTGGGAGCCTCTGCACTACCTCCTACACGAATACGGGTTCCAGACATGGGAATACAGGTGCGGTGTTTCTTGCTGCTCCCAAACTGTGGCATTCTATGACATCACTTGAGAGACGTTCAACTACTGGGAGCCTCTGCACTACCTCCTACACGAATACGGGTTCCAGACATGGGAATACAGGTGCGGTGTTTCTTGCTGCTCCCAAACTGTGGCATTCTATGACATCACTTGAGAGACGTTCAACTACTGGGAGCCTCTGCACTACCTCCTACACGAATACGGGTTCCAGACATGGGAATACAGGTGCGGTACCCCTTGCTGCTCCCATAAAAAGCAATTATTTTAATATTAAAGCTATGACTTGGACATGCAGGTGCGGTACTCCTTGCAAAAAAACAATGATAGTGATAATATTACTGATGATAGCAATAATAACGATGATAGTAAGAATTATTTACATATGAACGCACAAGCAAACCACCATGCACTCCTTCTCATCGCCCTCCTTCCCACCCCCCCGTCTCCTCGTTATCCTACCCCCACAGCTCTGCGTTCGCCCGTCGCTCCTACATCCACCTCTGCCTCACACCCTTGCTGCCCTGCCAGTCACGCTTCACCTCAGCAGTCACTGCAGGCGCCTCTAAACCTTCCCGTTTTCGCCTCTCCCTTCTCTCCCCCCGTCTCCTTGTTATCCTACCCCCACTGCTCTGCGTTCGCCCATCGCTCCTACCTCCACCTCTGCCTCACGCCCTTGCTGCCCTGTCAGTCACGCTACACCTCAGCAGTCACTGCAGGCGCCTTTGAAACCTTTCCATTTCTGTCTCTCTTTCCCCCCTCCCTCCCTCCTCGCTGTCCTATTGACCCCAACAGCTCTGCGTTCGCCCTTCGTTCCTACCTCTACCTCTTCCTTCACGCCCTAGTTGCCTTGCCAGTCACTCTCTTTTTTGGCAACGGTACGGGTAAGGTGAGCAAACAACACTGATAGCTGCGGGAGGTAAGTGAGCAGAAACCCTTCGCTCCTACCTCTACCTCTTCCCTCATGCCCTCATCGCCCTGTCAGTCACGCTCCTGTTTGGCAACGGTACGGGTAAGGTGAGCTAATAGCACCGATAGTTGTTGGTAAGGCGAGGGAGGTAAGGGACCAGACAGGTGTAAGCTGAGCTAAGAGCGCTGATAAGGCGTAACGTATGCCCTATTTCAAGCAATGCGAAGCATGATTTATTATATCTTGTGCCTGGGTTGGCCTCTAAACACCTACATAAACCGTTTCCCTGAGTTTTTTTCGTTTCTTATGGCAGGTTGGCCCCCTCATCCCTGTTCCTACCTTCTCCATCCCACGTTACCGCCTTCTACACTGTCCGCCTGGCCCTGGCTGTTCTCTCTGCCGCATCAGAGGCATCTCTGCCCGGGGCCGTGGCTGCTGCCCTTCACAAGGCCACTCAGACCCCTTCCCTACCCTCCCTCCTCCCCATAACCTCCCTTCCTACCTTCCCCATCGCAGGCTAACGCCTTCTACACTGTCCGCCTGGCCCTGGCTGTTCTCTCTGCCGCATCAGAGGCATCTCTGCCCGTGGTCATTGCTGCTGCCCTTCACAAGGCCACTCAGGCCCCTTCCCTACCCTCCCTCCTCCCCATAACCTCCCTTCCTACCTTCCCCACCGCAGTACACGCCTTCTACACTGTCCGCCTGGCCCTGGCTGTTCTCTCTGCTGCCTCAGAGGCATCTCGGCCCGTGGCCGTGGCTGCTGCCCTTCACAAGGCTTCTCAGGCTTCTGTTCTCTCCTCTTGCCTCCTTCCCGTCACTCCTTTGTACCCTTCCCCATCCCAGGCTAACGCCTTCTACACTGTCCGCCTGGCCCTGGCTGTTCTATCTGCCGCTTCAGAAGCATCTCTGCTCGTGGCCATTGCAACAGCCCTTCACAACGCCACCAATGCTGGCAGTGCCAGTAGCAGCAGCAGTGGAACTAAGGAAGATAAGGAGAAAGGGAAGGAGGAGGAGAAGAAGACGAAGGAAGAGAGGGCTATCCCAGCAGGGATAGGGGAGAGAGTGGGTGTTTGCGGGTTGCTGCTCCTCTGCTTCTGCTCTGGGAACTTTCTCGCGTCCACAAGTAAGTGACGCTTCTTTCTCAGCACTCACGTGTGGAGTGCTGTATTCACCCCCTCAACTCCTGCTGCTCCTCTGCTTCTGCTCTGGCAACTTTCTCGCGTCCACAAGTAAGTGACGCTTCTTTCTCAGCACTCACGTGTGGAGTGCTGTATTCACCCCCTCAACTCCTGCTGCTCCTCTGCTTCTTCTCTGGGAACTTTCTCGCGTCCACAAGTGAGGAGTAATTATCTTGTAATGCATAATCGACAGCTCCCTTCTGTCACGCACCCCCACCCCCTCTTCCTCCTTCCCCGTTTCCCTCTTATCCAGCCTCCCTTCCCAGCATGACCACGATTTGCCCAACCGCATGGGCCATGTGTCTTGATTAGATACAGAGTCTTTGCCCGTTTCTGCCTGTCCTCATGCACTCCCCTCCCCTCACCCTTCCTGCACATCTAACCACAAATCCGTACCCTTCCCCCTCATTCTCCCTCCCCTCAACAACCCATCTCCAGCCTTCCTCCCCAGCACCTTCAGCATGTACGCAATCACCTGGACCACGTCTCTTGCCATCCAAGGCCGCCCCGCAGCAGCAACAGCGGCAGCAGCAGCAGCAGTGGCGGCAGCATCATAAGCAGCAGCACGTTCGACCCACTCTATAAACCCCCTCGTTTTGTGCAACTCTTCTGCCCCCACCCTTCCAGCCTTCCTCCCCAGCACCTTCAGCATGTATGCAGTCACCTGGGCCACGTCCCTTGCCATCCAAGGCCGCCCCGCAGCAGCAACAGCGGCGGCAGCAGCAGGCGTGCTGCTGGGGTGGCCCTTTGCGGGCCTGGCAGCCCTTCCTCTGGTGCTGCACGGGATGATCACTGGAGCCTTTGTGAAGGTGGTCGTGTCTGGTGCTCTCACCACTCTTCTCGTCTCAGTAAGTGGGTACCGGCTGATCGAGTGAGTGACAAAACAGGCACCCATACAGCAGCAGCAGTGGCGGCAGCAGCAGCAGGCGTGCTGCTTGGCTGGCAGCCTTGCCGCTGGTGCTGCACGGAATGATTTGTGGTGGATTTGTGAAGGTCGTTGTCTCTGGTGCTCTCACCACTCTCCTCTTCTGTCAGTGGGCACAGGCTGATTGAGTGAGCCATTGGCCAGTACTGTACTCCTATCAGAGCAGCAGCTTTTAAGAATTCTAAAAGATTACGACTCAGATATGGCCAGTGCTGTACTCCTACAAGAGCAGCAGCAGGCGCGGAGGGGCCACTCTTCTACCTCCGCAGTGGCCTCAACGCTCGCCCTCCCCCTCGCACTCATTGTCCCTCCCTCTCCCCTTCACTCCCTCCCTCCCTCCCTCCCTCCCTCCCTCCCTCCCTCCCTCCCTCCCTCCCTCCCTCCCTCCCTCCCTCCTTCCCTCCCTCCCACCCTCCCTCCCTCCCTCCCATCCCTCCCTCCCTCCCTCCCTCCCTCCCTCCCTCCCTCCCTCCCTCCCTCCCTCCCTCCCTCCCTCCCTCCCTCCCTCCCTCCCTCCCTCCCTCCCTCCCTCCCTCCTTCCCTCCCTCCCACCCTCCCTCCCTCCCTCCCACCCTCCCTCCCTCCCTCCCTCCCTCCCTCCCTCCCTCCCTCCCTCCCTCCCTCCCTCCCTCCCTCCCTCCCTCCCTCCCTCCCTCCCTCCCTCCCTCCCTCCCTCCTCCCTTTCTCTCCCTCGCCTCTCTCTCACCATTCAGGCCCTCTCCATGTGTTTCTACCGCCTGTACTACGGCCAATGGACCTCCTCCATTCTCAACCTAATCCGCTACAACGTGTTTGGAGCCGGCAGCACTCTCTACGGAGTGGAGGAGCGGCTCTTCTACCTCCGCAACGGCCTCAGTAGCTTCACCCTCGCCCTGCCTTCCGCACTGCTGCTACTCCCTCCCTCCCCGCACTCCCTCCTTCTGTCCCCACCCAGGCGCTCTCCCTGTGTTTCGATCGCCTGTACTACGGCCGGTGGGTCTCTTCCATTCTCAACCTCGTTCTCTACAACGTGTTGGGAGGGGGCAACGGTGCGGGGAGCACTCTCTATAGCGTGGAGGGGCGGCTCTTCTACCTCCGCAACGGCCTCAACAACTTCTCCCTCGCCCTCCCCCTTGTGCTGTTCCTCCCTCCCTCCCTCCCTCCACTCCCTCCCCCTGTCCTTCAGGCCCTCTCCCTGTGTTTTGACAGGCTGTACTACGGCCAATGGACCTCTTCTGTGCTTAACCTAGTGCGTTACAACGTGTTTGGAGGGGGGGACGGCGCCGGCAGCACTCTCTATGGCGTTGAGGGGCCCCTCTTCTACCTCCGCAACGGCCTCAACAACTTCTCCCTCGCCCTCATCCTCCCTCCTTCCCTCCCGCCCTCCCGCGGCCCCTTCCTCCACTCTCTCCTCTTGTCCCCATCCAGGGCCTTTCCCTATGTTTTGACCGCCTGTACTACGGCCAATGGACCTCCTCTGTGCTTAACCTAGTGCGCTACAATGTGTTGGGAGGGGGCGACGGTGCGGGGAGCACTCTCTACGGCGTTGAGGGCCCCCTGTTCTACCTCCGCAATGGCCTCAACAATTTCTCCCTCGCCCTCCCCCTCGCGCTTCTCCTCCCGCTGCTGCTGCTGATTGCATGCCTTGCGTCGTCGCCGTTTCGCCGGCAAGGGAGGGGTGAACGGAGAGGGGTGGAGAGTGGTGGAAATGGGTTTGTGGGGTGGAAAGAGGTGGTGGCGCTGGTGCTGCTGCCGGTGGTCATCTGGGTTGGATTCATGTCCCTTCAGCCACACAAGGAGGAGCGGTGAGTTGAATGCAACAGCGCAATGCCACACAATGGGAGGGAGTGGAAAGGAAGAGGGTGGGAAGGGTGCACGGGGGTTTGTGGGGTGGAAAGAGGTGGTGGCACTGCTGCTGCTGCCTGTGGTCATCTGGGTTGGATTCATGTCCCTTCAGCCACACAAGGAGGAGCGGTGAGTTGAATGCAACAGCGCAATGCCACACAATGGGAGGGAGTGGAAAGGAAGGGGTTGGGAAGGGTGCACGGGGGTTTGTGGGGTGGAAAGAGGTGGTGGCACTGCTGCTGCTGCCTGTGGTCATCTGGGTTGGATTCATGTCCCTTCAGCCACACAAGGAGGAGCGGTGAGTTTGCGTGGAATGCAGTATTGCTGCCACCATTGCCATGTCCATCACCCCCCTTCCCCATTCCTTCTTCACCCGCTTCCCCAACTCCCACCCCTTTTCTTCCCTGTTGCTCCCGCCATTTCCATTACCATCATCCCGTACCTCCTCTCATCCGCCTGTGCTGATCCCTCTTTGCTACTCCCCAACCCCCCCAACCCCTCCATACCTCCCTCCCAGGTTCCTCTACCCCATCTACGCACTCATCCCAGTCGCTGCTGCCATCCTGCCATCACCATCACCCCCTACCTCCCTCCCCTCGTTGATCCCCCTGCCTCCGCCTGTGCTGATCCCTGTTCTCTACTCTCCAACCCCCGCAACCCCTCCCTTCTTCCCTCCCAGGTTTCTCTTCCCCATCTATGCACTCATCCCTGTTGCTGCCGCCATTGCCATCACCCCATGCCTCATTCCCTCACCAGCATCACCTGCCCCTACCCCCCGCCCGCCATACCTCCATACCGCCCTCCCTTCTTCCCTCTCAGGTTCCTCTACCCCATCTACGCACTCATCCCAGTCGCTGCTGCCATCGCCATCACCATAGTTCCGTACATTATACCCACAACTCTCCAAGGATCTCCAAGCCAACCATCCCTTCTCTTCTCGGTACGTTATTATGCCAGCAGCAGCAGCAGCAGCAGCAGCACCGCCACCACCATCACCACCTCCACCACCACCACCACCACCACCACCACCACCACCACCACCACCACCACCACCACCACCACCACCACCACCACCACCACCACCACCACCACCACCACCACCACCACCACCACCACCACCACCACCACCACCACCACCACCACCACCACCACCACCACCACCACCACCACCATCACCACCATCACCACCATCACCACCATCACCACCATCACCGTCACCAGCACTGTCACCAGCACCGTCACCAGCACCGTCACCAGCACCGTCACCAGCACCATCACCCGCACCATCACCATCACCATCACCAGCACCATCACCAGCACCATCACCATCACCATCACCATCACCATCACCATCACCATCACCATCACCATCACCATCACCCGCACCATCACCATCACCATCACCATCACCATCACCAGCACCATCACCATCACCATCACCATCACCATCACCATCACCATCACCATCACCATCACCGTCACCGTCACCATCACTATCACCATCACCATCACCATCACCATCACCATCACCATCACCATCACCATCACCATCACCATCACTATCACCATCACCATCACCATCACCATCACCATCACCATCACCATCACCATCACCAGCACCTCCCTACTTTTTCCACTCGCAGGCAGCCAAGTGGGTGCGCCCAGCCCTGCTCGGTCTAATCATCGCTCTCTCCTACACTCGCTCCACTGCCCTGCTCCGCTTCTACTCCACTGTGCTGCTGTATCATAGTCCCACGCCCCCCTTTTCCCTCCCTCCTCCACTCACAGGCAGCCAAGTGGGTGCGCCCAGCCCTGCTCGGCCTCATCATTGCTCTCTCCTATGCTCGCTCCACTGCTCTGCTCCGCTTCTACTCCGCCCCCATGCACATTCTCGAACAGTTGCCAGCAGTAGATGAAGCGAATGAGGACAGTAAGTCTCAAGAGCACCCACTCAAGCGTCGGCATTTGAGTCGACTCAAAAGGCACTGCATCTACTAGCACCTCGCACACGCAAGTCTCTCGCTCTACTGCTCTGCTTCCACTCTGCTTCCACTCTGCTTGCACTCTGCTTCCTCTCTGCTTGCACCCTGCTTCCACTTCGCTTCCACTCCGCCCCCATCCATTTCGCTTCTACTCTGTTTCTACTCCGGTGCGCTATGGCATGGAGTGGCATCGTTTCCCCACCTCCCTCCGCCTCCCCTCAACCCTCCACCACACTGCATTCATCAACGATGGCTTTAATAGGCTGTTTCCTTCCCCACAACCTTCCCCCCAGCCTTCCCCCAACCCCCCAACCTTTCCCCCAGCCTTCCCCCCAGCCTTCCCCCCAACCTTCCCCCCAGCCTTTTCCCCAACACACCCTGCGATTTCTACCCACAATTCCCCTGTCCCTTCCCCCCTCTCCCAACACCCCTTTCTGCCTTCCCTCTTCCCGCCACCATGCTTCCCTATCCCGCAGTGGTCACGGTGTGCTATGGCATGGAGTGGCATCGCTTCCCCACCTCCTTCCTCCTCCCCTCGCCCCTCCATCGAGCCGCTTTCATCGTCGATGGCTTTAAGGGCCTGCTGCCCATCCCCTTCAACCTTCCACCCATCCTTTCTCACAACCCCAACTCTCACCCTATCTGCCCTGACCTAACATGTGCTCTTTCACAGTTGCGATTCCCATTACTTCCATCTCCCCTACACTTCCCCCCACGGCCCCACCCGTCCAACCTTCCCCTCCCTTCCCTCATTCCCCGCAGTGGTCACGGTGTGCTATGGCATGGAGTGGCATCGCTTCCCCACCTCCTTCCTCCTCCCCTCGCCCCTCCACCGAGCTGCTTTTATCGATGATGGCTTTAAGGGCCTGCTGCCCATCCCTTTTGACCCGGAACAAGGCGGCACGGAGTCTGCTCCCTCGTACTTCAACGACAGGAACCAAGCCACGCCCGAGCAATTCGTGAGTTCAGGGTTTTGAGGATTCTTGCTTGTCTCGACATGGCTTGCCAGTATGGTGGTCGAAAGACCTGCCCTGCTGCCCATACCATTCAACCCGGAACAAGGCGGCATGGAATCTGCTCCCTCTTACTTCATCCACAAAAACCAAGCCACGCCCGAGCAATTTGTGAGTCAGTGGTTTCAAGGACTTGAGTGGGTTTGCCGTTGCTGGTGTCTGCTCGTCCCCTTTCCTTGCCTCCAACCTCTCACCCCCCTCTCCCTTGCCTCCAACATTTCTTTGAATCCAACTTCAACCCCCATCTCCCCTTCTACCTGCACATGGCATCACGCCAGCTGGGCGAGTCTCTGTGCGACTATTTGGTCGAGCTGGACAACTCGTGCCTCCCTGCTGTGTACTCATCTCCTTCTCTTGCACACAATGCTCCCCTCTCATCCCTCCCCCACCTGCCGCCCCTCCCTCGCCGTGCACCCTGCATCACGCCAGCTGGACGAGTCTCTGTGCGACTGTCTGGTCGAGCTGCACAACTCGTGCCTCCCATCTATCCGTTCCGCCCCTTACCGTGGTTCCAACCTCGCCCCCCTCTTGCCCCTGCATCCCCCTCCCGCACCACATGATGCCAGCTGGACGAATCCCTGTGCGACTATCTCGTTGAGCTGGACAACTCGCGCCACGTCAGCATGACAGGGGAGCGAGGAAGCATCCTGGAAGGAGCGGATGCCCTGCGAGGGCATGACGAGGACGAATGGGAGGTGAGTGTTTGGGATGGCTGGAGAGGAGACTCTTGAGAATTCTCAAAAGTCACACGAATGGAGGAGACTCTAGGACGAACGGAGATTTAGAGAGCCAGTGTGGGTGCAAGGTAGTTATGAGATGTGTCAAAACATTACACGGATGGGAAGTGAGTGGTTTGGAATTCGTGGGGTCTTGAGAGGGACTGGGAGTGCAAGGGTGCCGTATGGCTAACAGGTACGAAAATGCCTTCACTTGATATTCTTGTCTTCTCTTGCATTCTTTTTTCCTTTTCTTTTCTTTTCTTTTGTCATAAAAATGACGATATTGTCCCTTTCTCACCGTCCCTTCCCCGTCCTCCTTCTCTATTCTCTCCCTGTTCTCCCTTCCTGCTCTCTCCTTTCCCCCAGGTGTTGGCGTCACTCCCATTTGTCGATGCCCAGCGCTCCCCGGCTCTCTACCGAGCCTTCTTCATCCCGGGCCTGTCCGAGAGGCTCGTCAAGTATGGCTCGTATGCCTTGCTGCGGCGGAAGCAGGCTGCAAGCAGGATGGAAGAGCCTGAGGAGGATTGGCTTAAACTGAGTGGCTATGTTGAAGGAGAGGGGTATGATGATGAAACGGCTGAAGGGGAGAAGGAGGAGGTATCTGAGGGAGTGGCAGAAGCTTGAGAAATGGGGGGGAAGCAGGCTGGGAGCAGGATGGAGGAGCCTGAGGAGGATTGGCTTAAATTGAGCGGCTATGTTGAAGGAGAGGGTTATGATGAGAATGAAACTGCTGAGACTGCTGCAGAGGAAAGTAGGGAAACTTGAATGGGAGTGGCAGAAGCTTGAGGAAGGGGGGGGAAGCAGGCTGGGAGCAGGATGGAGGAGCCTGAGTAGGATTGGCTTAAATTGAGCGGCTATGTTGAAGGAGAGGGGTATGAGGAGAATGAAAGTGCTGAGACTGCTGCAGAGGAAAGTAGGGAAACTTGAAAGGGAGTGGCAGAAGCTTGAGAAATGGGGGGGAAGCAGGCTGGGAGCAGGATGGAGGAGCCTGAGTAGGATTGGCTTGAACTGAGTGGCTATGTCGAAGGAGAGGGTTATGATGAGAATAAAAGTGCTGAAGAGAAGAGGAAGGAGATTTTAGAGGGAGTGGCGGAAGCTTGAGGAGGGAGCGGGGGCTACGAGCAGCATTTGAGAAATTGAAAAATGGAAGAATCTGATTGGATATGTAAGGAGAGGGTTCCGATGAGATCTAAATTTCTGTCGAGGGAAGCAAGGAGCATGTTGAATGAAACGGGGCGAGTACCGTAAGAGCATTCAAGAGCCCGAGAAGCCTTGAGAATTAAATAGTGGGAATATTGTGCATGTAGCAGCACGTTTTAACGTATGGTACATGTTGGTAGATAAATAATGGATCCAACCTTGGTTGGCTTGACAGGTCTTCGAAGCTGATGTATGTTGGGGATGAAACATTTCCAGGCATGAGCCTGAAGACGAGGAAAAGAAACGATGGAGGAGGGCTGATGTGATAGAGAAAAGAGGTGTCCAATCCAAATTCAATAAAATCCACACTTCGACAATACTCCCATCGTTTGGAATGCAAAATAGAATCAGTACTGTAGTCAAATAGACAAATCATTCAATAAAGCGTATGCTGGCTCTGCCGGGGAATCTCTCTCCGCAATTCCGGCACTGGGATTGCTGTGTGCCAGCCAGCGAAAAGCGTAGTACTCCAGCAGCCAGCCAGGCCTAGCTAGGATTCGCCTGGAATCGCCAGGATTCGCCTTCTGTTGTTTCACGGTCTAGAAATCTCCGCCGTCTTGCTATTACGGTGCGGAGACTTCCCACGGAACATTGTTCGGATCACTTGTTCGTACAGCGCTGGGTGCTAATGGCGGGTAACGAGAAGTACGTTCAAGCGACAAACGACGACGCGACCGTCAGTAAACTGTGAGTATTGTCTGTAGCGGGTGATAAGATACGAACCGTACGTGAAGTATTGTCAGTATTGTCACGAGACGAGATTATGTGCAGGAAACCCGAGACGACGTCGCGACCGTCATAAAATTGTGAGCATTGTCTGGAGCTGCTCAACTGCAAGGCCGTTTCTCAACCGACAATCAGAAAAACTGCGAGCATTGTCCGGAGTGGGCCAAGCGCAAGGCCCTGGGGCTGTGATGTCATGAGTCCAGGGATTGTGACGTCATGATCTCGGGGTTGTGACGTCATGAGTCCAGGGATTGTGACGTCATGATCCCAGGGTTGTGACGTCATGATTCCAGGAATTGTGACGTCATGAGCCTAGGGACTACAACGGTATGGCTTGAGTCGAAATTTTCAGGCGACGAGCGACGAAGAACGACAAGGAACGACGAGGAACGACAGACAGACGGAAACCACCAGGGCGGGCGCCTGTGAAGTATTGTTACTTGAGTTATTCAAGTTAGTAAGCGAAAATTCCCCCCGAGCAATTCCTGCATCTCCAGAAGCAGCTACTTCCGTATGATTCCCACACACCCCTTCTCCCCTCCTCCACTCTCCCTCTTACGTTACGCCCCTTCTCTTACAGTTCCTGCGTGACCAATGGTTGTTTCCAGGACTCCTTTGTGAAGCTGACTTCTGAGACGAGTCAAAAGTCTCTCCTACTCCCTCCTACTCCCTCCTACGCCCCTACTCTTGCAGTTCCTGCGTGACCAAGGGTTGTTTCCATCCAGGACTCCATTATGAAGCTGACTTCTGAGACGAGTCAAAAGTCTCTCCTACTCCCTCCTACTCCCTCCTACGCCCCTACTCTTGCAGTTCCTGCGTGACCAAGGGTTGTTTCCATCCAGGACTCCATTATGAAGCTCTTTGTTGGTGGTTGTTTTTGAAAACTCTCATAAACAACCTGCTTTTGAGGCATCACAGAATAGCCAACCATGTTTCAACGAACCCTTGTTTTGAGTCGCCTCAAAACACAACCCATTGTGAAGCTCTTTGTTGGCGGCTTTTGAGGCATCCCAGAGCAGAAGAGCGAACCATGTTTCACCCAACCCTTTCCCTCTACCCCTATACTCCCTTGCCAGCTCGTGTGTGACCAAAGGTTATTTCCAGGATCCCTTTGTGAAGCTCTTTGTTCGCCGTTGAGGCGCCGCGCTGTCGAATTAATCAACACTGATTTCAAATTCTTCCTCTCTCCCTTCCTTACCTCTCTCCCTCAACAGATCCTGTGTAGCAAAGGGTTATTTCCAGGATCCCTTTGTGAAGCTATTCGTGCGCCGCCCGGCCAGGCGGTCCCCCGTCATCCACCGAGGCTACTTCGCCCGCTGGGCTGCTCTCCAACAGCTGGTCGACCAGTTCCTCTCCGTTTACGGATCAGCTCATAACGAGGATAAGGCCAGAGCCCCTAGTCAAGGGGAGTCAAGAGAGTCAACGGGGGGACCAGATGTAGCTTTACAGATCATCTCCCTGGGAGCAGGCTTTGATACCCTCTTCTTCAGACTCCAGGTGCGTGCTCTGTGCATGGCCTGGCGGGTGTCAAGGTGAATCAATGGGAGGAGGATTGGGTGTGCCTCTGCAGTTCAGATCATCTCCCTGGGAGCAGGCTTTGATACCCTCTTCTTCAGACTCCAGGTGCGTGCTCTGTGCATGGCCTGGCGGGTGTCAAGGTGAATCAATGGGAGGAGGATTGGGTGTGCCTCTGCAGTTCAGATCATCTCCCTGGGAGCAGGCTTTGATACCCTCTTCTTCAGACTCCAGGTGCGTGCTCTGTGCATGGCCTGGCGGGTGTCAAGGTGAATCAATGGGAGGAGGATTGGGTGTGCCTCTGCAGTTCAGATCATCTCCCTGGGAGCAGGCTTTGATACCCTCTTCTTCAGACTCCAGGTGCGTGCTCTGTGCATGGCCTGGCGGGTGTCAAGGTGAATCAATGGGAGGAGGATTGGGTGTGCCTCTGCAGTTCAGATCATCTCCCTGGGAGCAGGCTTTGATACCCTCTTCTTCAGACTCCAGGTGCGTGCTCTGTGCATGGCCTGGCGGGTGTCAAGGTGAATCAATGGGAGGAGGATTGGGTGTGCCTCTGCAGTTCAGATCATCTCCCTGGGAGTAGGCTTTGATACCCTCTTCTTCAGACTCCAAGTGAGTGGTCTGTGTCTTTCACACTGATGACCAAGGAGAGTCAAGAGGAGTCAAGCGAGTCAACGGGGGGATTGGATGTGACTCTGCGGATCATATCCCTGGGAGCAGGCTTTGATACCCTTTTCTTCAGACTCCAAGTGAGTGCTCTGTGTCTTTCATAAAGCGATGTTGAAGGGGAGTCAAGGGGAGTCAAGGGGAGTCAAGGGAGTCAGCGGGGGGATTGCAGATCATCTCTCTGGGAGCAGGATTCGACACCCTCTTCTTCAGACTCCAGGTGCGTTCTCTCTGCATGTCCTAGCGATTGTCAAGGTGACAGTCAAGTCAAGGCACCTGCTGCTATTCAATCCCCTTCACATTCGTATTTGTTGTTAACCGGCAGGGAAGCTCCTCACCGCTGCTGCTTGTCCCTGGGAAAATAATCTGCTGAGTCACATCCGATCCCGCGTTTGACTCCCTTGACTCAGTTGACTCCCCTTGCCTGTCTTGACCACTCCCAGGAGAAATACCTGGCGGCTCCTCACCTCACTGTGCTCTTTCTCTCTGCCGTGCGTCTTTTGTGATGGCAGACAGAGGGCAGAGTTGACTTTTGAGTCGACTCAAAAGTCAACTGGCGGCTCCTCACCTCACTGTGCTCTTTCTCTCTGCTGTGCGTCTTTTGTGATGGCAGACAGAGGGCAGAGTTGACTTTTGAGTCGACTCAAAAGTCAACTGGCGGCTCGGATCCTCACCTCACTGTGCTCTTTCTCTCTGCCGTGCGTCTTTTGTGATGGCAGACAGAGGGCAGAGCCCCCCATAGGTTCATTGAAGTGGACTTTCAAGAGGTGAGCACTTGATTGAAAGAGGGGCCACTGTGCCATCATGCCACCATGCCATGCCACCATGCCACCATGCACCATGCCATGCCACCATGCCATCGTGCCATCATGCCACCATGCCATCTGCCATCATGCCATATCATCATGTCATCGTGCCATCATGCCACCATGCCACCATGCCTACCATCTGTCCCCTTCTCTCCGTTGCTCTCACGACACCACGCACGAGGCGCCTTAAAAGCCGGTGCTCTCACCACACCACGTGCAGTGAGGTGAATTTTGAGGCGCCTCAAAATTCACCCGTTGCTCTCACGACACCACGCACGAGGCGCCTTAAAAGCCGGTGCTCTCACCACACCACACACACACCCCACGCCATGCTGCCATGTCATGCCATCCCCCCTGTCGTTGCTCTCTCCACGCGCACTATCACCGTCCCCTCAGTTGCTCTCACCGCACACCACCGCTCTCAACCCAACCCACTCCACCAGGTGGTAGCAAAGAAAACCGCCATTAACAATGCCAAGCCAGAGCTAGCAGCGGGCCTGGGCCCAGGCGCCACTCCCCTACCCATGCTGCCATGCCTTCCCCGTCTCACCGCACACCACCGCTCTCAACCAACCCACTCCACCAGGTGGTAGCAAAGAAAGCAGCCATCATCAACGCCAAGCCAGAGCTCGCAGCGTGCCTGGGCGCACGCACTCCCCAAGCCACCCCCCTCCACCATTCCCTCTCTTGTTCTCACCGCACACCACCACACCACACCACCCTTATCCCACCCACACCACCAGGTGGTAGCAAAGAAAGCCGCCATCATCAACGCCAAGCCGGAGCTCGCAGCATGCCTCGGCCCAGACGTCACTCCCTTAGGTAGGTGTGCTGTTCTGCTGCGACATATTTGTGGTTCAATACTCCCTGAGGTTTGAGGTGCTTGGAAAGTCGTCAAGCCATAGCTCGCAGCTTGCCTGGGTCCAAACGTCACTCCTGTGGATATGCATGCATGCATGCCCAGGATGCCCTGTCTGGGCAGCATGCCTATGCCCAGACGTCACTCCTGTGGATATGCATGCATGCATGCCCAGGATGCCCTGTCTGGGCAGCATGCCTTGGGGCTACCCTGTAATCTCTGTCCTCTCTCCCCTCCCTTTCCAAAATTTCTGCTCAAGACATAGCTCGCAGCATGCCTATGCCCAGACGTCACTCCTGTGGATATGCATGCATGCCCAGGATGCCCTGTCTGGGCAGCATACCCTTTGGCTACCCTGTGACCTGTCTGATCGAAACTCTGCCCCCCTCCCTCCCTCCCTCCCTCCCTTTCTCCCCCCTCCCTTTTCTCTACCTCTCCGCCTGCACTCTTCTTGTCCTGTTCTTGGTTAGAGGGTGGTGGTCTGCGCTCCTCAAATGGCTATTCCCTCGTGTCGGCCGATTTGAGAGACACTGATAAACTGTCCCTCTCTCTCCTCCCTCCTCCCTGATAAACTCCCCCCCTCTCCCCCGCTCCCCCACCCTCACCCAGAGAATGGTGGGCTTCGCTCATCGAATGGCTATTCGCTGATGCTGCAGGGTATTTTTGAGAATTCTCTAAAACATCCTCCCTGATGAACTCCCCCCCTCTCCCCCGCTCCCCCACCCTCACCCAGAGAATGGTGGGCTTCGCTCTTCGAATGGCTATTCCCTCGTGTCTGCTGACTTGAGAGACACTGATAAACTGCACGAGGCGCTCGCAGCAGCTGGAGCTGAGTTTGGGCCCAAGTGAGTGAGGGGAGTGAAGGGAGGGGTGGAGAGTGGGGATGGGGGGTGTGGGTAGGGGGAATAGGGTACATGAGGGGTTTGAGAGAAACTGATAAGCTGCAAAGGTTGCTTGCAGCAGCTTGAGCCGATTTTGGGCCCCAAGTGAGTGAGCAGAGTCTAATGAGGGGTGGAGAGGGATGGAGCGGGGTGGAGAGGAGGGGGATGGTACATTTGGCTGAGAGACACTGATAAGCTGCAAGGGGCACTATCAGCAGCTGGAGCCGAGTTTGGGCCCAAGTGAGTGATGGGAGATGAGGGAGGGAGGGGTGGAGAGGGTTGGAGAGGGGTGGAAAGTGGCAGCAGCAAGCGCTCAAATCCATTCATCCTATTCCTTTTCCTTCAACCCCCTGTCAGCAGCACAGCAACCCTCCTCCTTTGCGAGTGTGTGCTCATCTACAGGGGCGTTCCCAGCAGCAACGAGCGTTGTTTCACTGATTTACTCTCCCTCTTCCCCGTCCATCTTCCCCCCACTCTCACCCACGCACCAGCAACACAGCAACGCTGCTCCTCTGCGAGTGTGTGCTCATCTACATGGACGCTCCCAGCAGCCACATACTCGTGGCGTGGGGGGCAGAGTGGGTCTTATCAGCTGCTGAAAATGAAAATTCCACTCGCAACCCCCTACCGCCTACCACAACCCCTCCCGTCCAACCAACAGCAGAGCAACGCTGCTCCTCTGTGAATGCGTACTCATCTACATGGACGCGCCCAGCAGCAGCAGCAGCAGCAGCAGCAGCAGCAGCAGGCCCTCAAATCCATTCCTCCTATTCCCTCCTTTCCTTCGCCCCTTTGCCAACAGCACAGCAACCCTCCTCCTCTGTGAATGCATACATGGACGCGCCCAGCAGCCACAAACTCGTGGCCTGGGGTTCCTGGGTCTTATCAGCTGCTGCAATTCCCTTCCACTTTTCCCCCATGCACCACCATCACAGCACAGCAACGCTGCTCCTCTGCGAGTGTGTGCTCATCTACATGGACGCGCCCAGCAGCCACAAACGCGTGGCCTGGGGTTCTTAGAAGCTGTTGCAAACCCCACTCGCATTTCTCCATCCTGCCTGCATCTTTCCCCATTGCCAGCACAGCGACACTATTCCTCTGCGAGTGCGTACTCATCTACATGGACGCGCCCAGCAGCCACAAACTCGTAGCCTGGGCGGCAGAGAAGTTTGGCACGGCGGCGTTTGTCGTCTACGAGCAGATCCGGCCGGACGACGCGTTTGGACAGCAGATGATCCAAAATTTGGAGGTGAGTTACTGGTTTCTATTATTAGAAACTATTGCTGAATATGGAAAGCACAAGAAGGTGCTGTTGCTGCGTTTGTTGTCTACAAGCAGATCCGCCCCGACGATGCCTTCGGGCAGCAGATAATCCAAAACCTTGAGGTGGGTGGGCGGATGGGTGGCTGTTATTTATGGAAACTAATGCCATGTATAGAAAGCACGACAAGGCAAGGCACTGCTGTGTGAAGTGTCTGTAGTCCACGAGCAGATCCCCGGACGATCAGAGTTTTCTTAGCTAGGGAATTTTTACTCTTTTTCTTACTTGTTAAAGCGTTTCACTAGCACTGCTGCCCTTCCACCATGAGTGACAACGACCTGTGTGAAGTGTCTGTAGTCCACGAGCAGATCCCCGGACGATGCTTTCAGACTGCAGATGAACCAAAACCTGGAGGTGGGAGAACTTTTGAGGCTTCTATTTTTGGAAGGTTTTGCTGGATATAGAAAGTCTTGCTGCATTCGGAAAGCACTAGAAGTACTGTGTTTGTCGTCCACGAGCAGATCCGCCCGGACGGTGCCTTCGGGCAGCAGATGATCCAAAACCTGGAGGTGGGTAGGCTGCTGGCTGCTATTATCAGAAACTGTTGCTGGATATAGACGGCTCTAGCTGCATTCGGAAAGCACTATAAGTACTGTGTTTGTTGTCTACGAGTGGATCCGCCCGGATGATGCTTTCGGGCAGCAGATGATCCAAAACCTGGAGGTGGGTGGGGCTGCGGGGCTGCTATGATTAGAAAGTGTTGCACCACTTCCCTGTTGCGGGGATATAGACGGCTCTAGCTGCCCTTCCCTGTGCACCACTTTTGTACTCCTCATATTCCATGCACCTCATGTCAACACCCCTCACTGTTCCTCACCGCTCTTTACCTCACTGCACCTCCAACTGCGTGCCTGGCTAGGGGTTGCCCTCTCATTGTTGTATACCACTTGCTACCCCTCATGTTCCATGCATTACCACATAAACCACTGCTCCTAACTACTCCACACTGCTCCTAACTGCTCCACACTGCTCCTCACCTCACTTCACCGCTCTTCACCGTTCTTCACCTTGCTGCACCTCCGGCTGCTTGTCAGGCTCGGGGCTGCCCTCTGCTTGGTATCAGAGCCACACCAACACTTGAAGCGAAGGAGAAGAGGTTCCTCGACGGTGGCTTTGAGGCAAGTCTTTTCCCATTCATGGTCCCAGTCTTGTGTTCCACAGTTGGAGCACTGTGTTTCAGGGATGTAGTGGTACCAGCTTCATGATTTGAAGGTACTGTTTTTTTTTTTTTTTTTTAATTATTATTATTATTATTATTATTATTATTATTATTATCTTGTTTGGTTCATATCTGGTGCTGTGGTTGAAGCAAGGCAGTGGACATGGACGTGATGATATACTCACACCACATCGATACTTGAGGCACTTGCACTGCTTTATCCGTTTGGCGTTAAATGAGAGACTGTTTTTTCTTCGTCTGGTGCGGTGACTGTGCAGAGAAGCAAGGCAGTGGATATGGACGTGATATACTCACACCACATCGATCCACAGCTCGTCAGAAAGTGAGCACCGCAGTGCACTTCATTGCACCGCAGTGCACTACACAGCACTTCACTACACCGCACTGCACTGCACCGCTCCGCACTGCACCGCGCCGCACGGCAACACCCTGCACTGCACGTGCCATTCCATTCCATGGTTACGTCTAACGAGTTTTGTTTCGCCCCTGATTGGACCATGTAAACCCCATAACCCCATTCGCTTGTACCTCTGTACCAAAATTTCCTACTGAGAACCCATGTTGTTGCCACTTTCCATCATTGACATCTTCTCTCCTGCTCTCCCATCCTGGTTCCGTTTACATGTTTCGACTCCCTCGTCTCAGTCTCGACTCCCTTTTCTCAATCTCAACTCCCTTGTCTCAACTCCCTCGTCTCAGTCTCAACTCCCTCGTCCCAACTCTCGCTTCACATCTCGTTTCACATTGCGTTGCAGATTGCGTTTCACATCGCGTTTCACATTGCGATTCATGTTTGGTTTCACATCTCCTTCATATCCCCTTGTTCTTGTCATTCCAGAATCGAACCACTGGAAATATTCGATGAGTTTGAGGAGTGGCATCTCATGCAGGTAGGCTTCATCGTTGCTTACTTTTGCCATTTCATGTTACAACTCATTAGCCGTTGGTCTCTTACGCATACACTTCTGACAAATTCCACCTTCATTTCGGTTCTACCGTACTAGCACTTATTCAATCTCAAGGATCAACCCCTTTTATGTACGTACAGGAACACTACTGTATCGCTTATGGAATAAAGGATGCTCTGGTAAGTTATTCCCACTGACCACCCTTTGGCACCATATGGTGCAGCTGGTTTCCGTTTTTTCTCCTGCTAACAGCTTAACATTTTCTTCAATAGCTAGAGTCCTCAGCTTGAGTGATGCAGCATGAGAGATTAATTTATGTTTGTGTTGTATTGTATTTCAGGGTGTTCTACATAATTTGGGATTTCGTAATTTCTCTCAAGACACAACATAACCTGCACAGGTGTAGTTTGTGATGGGCTAGCTGTGAACAAATTTGGACCACCCTCTGATAAGAAGTATTTTCCCTGTGTTATAACAAATTCCATTATCAATTTCCGTAAAATTCACTTTGTACAGAGTCGGAATTATCAAAACTATGAGTATCGCTGGATTCCCAGTCCATTCCGCGACCTGTCACTGATCTCCGCCACCGCCTATCCCGCAACCCTCGATTCCCGCTGCTCTGCTCCTTATTCAACATCAACCAATCTGCTTCTCAAATCTCGATCTAGGAGGCGGCTACAGTACCACCAAAACACAGGTCCCATTCTCAAGCTCTCACAACAGCTTTATTGCCAGCGAAAGCCTCCGTATTCTGAACAACCTCAAGGTTTTGAGCCGAACACGAGAGTTGCCGGTATTCACGGGTGCAGCACGCTGCTAGTTCCATGCGCAGCCACGCAACTTCCGCGAAACAGGTCCTTATTTACAATCTCCGTTCGCGACTTTCCCCCCAGCACGCCTAGCACCAATCGCGGGCCCTTGATCAGCGGGTTGTAAACCACGACTTTCTTTTTCGGATCCGCCGTTGGTAACCCTTTACCCTTGGGTTGCGCTTTCAAAGTAACGTAGTCATAATTGTCGAAGAGCACATTAACCATTGCGATATCCTGAACCTTTTTCGTCTTCCAAATAAGTTGCATTAGAATCGCGGGGTTGATGCTCGCGTTGAGAAGCGCGCGATTGGTTGGAACGAGAATCGTTACCGCGGGAGGCAACTTGCTAGGAGCGTCCTTTTCTGTTTGGGAAAAGGCAGGAAGCGCAGGAAGAGAGGGGGGAATGGGGGTTGAGGGGGAGGCGGGGTTGTGGGGGGGAGGATGGGGGAGGGCGAGCAGGGTGTGTGGGCAGGGGGGAAGGGAGAAGGGGGTGAGACGATACAAGAAGTCCATCTTCTCGAATATCACTTGTCTCAAAAACTCAAAACTCGCATCTATAGGTTACATCCCGACCCCGCCCAGCTGAACGCCCCTGCCGCCTTGTGTGCTAATCTATAGTACTATCTGTTCAAAATACTGCATGAAGGCGCAACCTTTGTATTTGAGGACTCAAAAGAAATGATTTTTTAGTCGACTCAGAACCCAGCTCAACGCCCCTGCCTCCTTGTACTACTGATACTATCTGTTCAAAAGACTGCATGAAAGCGCAACCTTCGTTTTTGGGTCGACTCAGAAATCGCCGCTGCCTCCTGTACTACTATCCTTTGTCCAGACTGCATGAACGAGCACTGACCCTTGTATTCAAGCCCTTTGCTCATCGCAATAGCCATGCCGTCGTAACGCGTTGGTCGTTTCGCCAAAGTTCGTTGAAGCTTCTTCAGGTCGCCGACGAACTGTCGCCACGTGCATCCGACGTCGGGGAACGGGAAGCCTGGACTTACGACGGCTTCGACAGCGGTCTGCCCGATGAGAAAAACTGCGAGCGCTGCGAAAATATGAACGCGACTCGAAACCATGGTCGCAAACTTGAGGCTGCTGACGACGAATCTGACAGAGAGGTTTGGTTGGTCCGTCGAAGGTAGTAGAAGATGGAACGCGGGAAAGTGAAGTGACGCATCATGGGCTTTCACCTATTATATATACCACCCTGCGACTGTTAGAGGCCTTACGAGTTTACAGCAGGTCCGCGTTGACTTTTCTTTCTTTCGTTTACGAAAACACCAACGCGTGCATTCGTTCGTGGTTTCATTATGGGTCAGAAGGAGCTCAGGACTCAGGACGGGAGCAATCGGGAGTGAGTGACGTGAGGAGTCGGGCACTTCCGAGCTGAGTTTGACGAATAGTAGATTAGGGCAGGGGCAGAATGCACTATGTACCCAATGGAAAACGGACGCGATTCGGATTAGAGTTGACTATGCGGGTTTTAATTTTCCTTCCGGTTGCCCTAGTTGACTGTTCATACACGGTGGGCTGCACCTAACATTCGCCATTTTCCACTCCCCCTATTTGACACTGTTTGTCGTGACTTAGGTGGCTTAGGGTGCGGTGCGAGGTGCCAGCTGGTGTGGGGTAAAAATCTTCCAGTGTAAGCGGGAACTGTCACCCGCGATACATACATTTATACATACATAGTCTCTGCAAAATATATATTACACTTCAGTATTTCTGCAAAAAATATGTCACACTTCGGGCGAACTCGAACGAATTAATATGCATATGTTGCATCACTGTATCCCCAGTCGGTTCCCCGACCTGCAAATGCAGTCTTCACAGGAGCCGTTCATCGCTGCCACCGTCAATCTCGCGATCGATTCCCCCCCTTCTGCACGACCAGCAAAAACCTTCGTCCTTCACTATCAAACCTTGAGCTGAGGAGAAGAATTGGGCTGCTTTCACGGCTGAAGCAGTCTGCTGATTCCTTGCGCAACAACGCAATTGCCGCTAAACAGGTCCTTATTCATAACCTCCGCTCGTCCCTTCGCCCCGACAACGCCCAGCGTCATTCCCGTGCCTTGCGTCATCGGGCTATCCTGGCCCTTGTATCGCGCGACCTTCTTTTTCGAATCCGCCGTTTGTATTCCTTGCCCCTTGGGTGTAGACTTCAAAGTACTGTAGTCGTATTCGCCGACGAGCACGTTCACCTTGGCGATACTCTGAACTTTCTTCTTGTTTTGAATGAGGTCGATCAGGAAAGCGGGGTTCAGGCTTGCGGCGAGAAGCGCGCGATTTGTTGGAACGAGAATGGTGACCGCAGGGAGCAATTCGCTTGGAGCATTCTTTTCTGTTGGGGAAGGGGAATGAAGATAAAGAAGGGGGGGGGGGGGGGGGGGGGGGGGGGGAGGAGAGGAATGTGGGAGATGGGGAAGAGCAAAGGGTGTGAGTGTAGGAGGAGAAAGGAAAGAGCTAGGGTAATTAGAAAGCTCGCCTGTCAATGAAACACCTATGTTGGGCTTTCATCCCGAACCGGCGTCAACGCGACTCGGACCATCCTTTTGACCAAACAACACGAGCACTCACGCATTTTTTTTAGTCCTTGTTTCAGCGCGATGGCCATGCCACCGTAACGGATAGGATTTTTCGCCAAAGTTCGCTGAAGCTTCTTCATTTCGCCCACGAACTGGTCCCATGTGCACACGCCGGTTCCGACGCCGGGGATCGGGATCGGAAAGCCCGGGATCAGCCCGGATGCGTCCGCGCTCTGCGCGATAAACAGAACGGCGAGCGTTGCTAAAATTTGCCAGCGAATCCACGCCATCGTTGCGAATTCGACTCCACTAACCTCGAAACTAGCACAATCGGAGGATTCTGGTGCGAGCGAAGGGTGAATTGAGGGAGTTGGACTTGGACGAGAGATTGTTCGACAACAACACCATGAAGGTTTTCAGTTATTCTAGAAAGTATTTCGGCATATATAGCGCCAGGCGCTTGAGTGAGAACCGCTGATTTCTGTCCTCGATTCGACCACATAGGCACTGTGAGATTCCGTCTCATGGCCCGCGCACTCGACGCTTGGATGATCAGCACAATTGCAGCACCTGGAGGAGAAAGCAACAGATCATCTTGCCACCCTCATCCAGCAGCCAAAACCTGCACGCTCCAACGCCTCTTTACCAGGAGAAAACGTATGGTACCGAATCGAACCTCTGTGATTATTCTGTACTCATGTCGGTGGTCAGGGGTTTGCAGCTGCTTTAGCAGTTCGGCCCGTGGGGATGACCCCGAACCAGGTTCGGCAGCCAAATCAATCGACGGTTCTGGATCCCGCCACGCTCGCTGCGAGCATCTCCTGACATGGCAAGCTGTTGCCTGCCTATCACCACTTTCCGTGCATGATCGCAGCCGTCCAAATTTCTCATGTGCATGCATGCCGAAACAAATGCTCTCCCAACCCAAGGTTTTGGTTCAATTCGCGCACTCGATTCTGGCTTCGCCGAAGCGCTGCTGTCATTCGCTACCCAGCCAAACAGCGACCTACGTGAAGCAGCAAATGCCTATTGGTGCGGTTTGTCGGTGTGCGGCCTGGAAAGTGGTTCGCCGCCGATACCCTCGACAAAAACATCCTCGAACCCGGAAGCAAAAATGAGCAGGTGGCCAAGGAAGCTTTAACATTTTATCTTAGTTAACAAGTAGAACCAGCAATGAATGAGCAATCTGCATCTTAGAAGAGTATATTTACTTCACATGATTTCACAGATTGATTCATCCTGATCCTTATTTCCAGCTTCCATACCACCCTGAATGCGCCATCAACTCACCTAGCGTTTCTTAATCCTAAGGTACGTTTCCTGGGTACCGTACCTTCCAATTGTCAAATGTTGTTATTGGTTGTAGGCTGCAGTGAGTAGCACTCTAAGGAGTACAACACTCTTAGGGTTTCTATTTGTATGCCTTGCTCTCCTAAGTCAAACATTCCGTTGCATTCACTTTCTGAGATGGTATCAGAGCGAGGCCGCTCACCAAGGTCGGCGAACAAGAAGGTCAACCAGCGAAGCTCCTGTGCCGCCATGGCACCAGCGTAGATCTCTGCCTCTGCATTGGAAGTAGCCACAGACGACGACCGTGTAGACCTCCACGACACAGCACCAGCTCCCAGACTGAAGCAGTAACCCTGAGTCGAGCGCTGAGTCTCCACGTCGTCAGCGTAGGAAGAGTCGCAGTGACCAGTCAACGCCACTGGCTGAGTCCCTCCAAGCACAAGCCCCATGCCTGATGTAGTCGCCAGGTACTTCGCCACCCTCACAGCAGCTGTCCAGTGGACAGGACGGTGTCTCCCAGTCGCAACAAAGCGAGAGAGGACGCTGAGGGGAAAGGCGAGGTCCGGCCGAGTACAAGTCATCACTCTCTGTCCCTGCGTCTAAACCCTAAACCCTAAACCCTAAACCCTAAATCTTAAAGATCTGGCTGCGCCGCCCTCCTGGCTTCACTGACACCTTCCCACCTGGGACCCAGTGGAGCCTGAGACGGCCAGTCTACGGTCTCCGCCAGTCGCCCCGTGAGTGGCACGACACTCTTCGCTCCACGCTTCGTGGCCATGAGTACAACACTCTTAGGGTTTCTATTTGTATGCCTTGCTCTCCTAAGTCAAACATTCCGTTGCATTCACTTTCTGAGACCAATCTACCTCTTCCATATCCAATCCTCTCTTCCTCCTCCTAACCCACCTCTTACTCCTCTTCCACCCCTTCCTCCTCTTCCTCCCCTTCTTCCTCTCCCTCCTCTTTCTCCTCTTCCTTGTACCCCACTTCCTCCAATTCCTCTTCCTCCATGCACTGCTTCCCTATCACACACGCTCTCGTCCCTTCCTCTCCCACGCCCCTCCCACGCGTCCCAGGGGCTAATCTCCTGGTTGACATTCTGTCGCCGTGCTCCTCCTTTCTTTCCGTCTGCTTCTGAACCCCACCCTTGCCCTCCTTCTCCTCCCCAACTACATCTGCCTCCCCCTCCCCCTCTTCCTTCTCCTCCCCCTTCACCTCCCCCTTCCCCCAGAGCCCCTGTCCCTAGCCTTCCCCAACCGTCATCACCCCCTTTTCCTCCCCAAACACCTCTGTCCCCACATCCCTCTCCCCTTACTGCTCCTCCCCCTTCCCCCCAACCACCTGTTCCTACTGCTTCCCAACCACCCCCACCTTCCCCTTCCCCTGCCCAACTACCTCCGCCCCACCCTCCTCCTCCCCCTTCTCCTTCCCCCTGACCACCCCCTTTCCCCCAACCCCCTCCCCAACCACCTCCACTTCCCCCTCCAACTCCCCCTTCTCTCCCCCAACTCCCCCCTGCTCCTCCCCACCCCTCTGAACCGACTTCTCCTGACCCACATCCATCGTACAAACGCTCCTGCCCCTGTGATTTCCCTTCCGATCGTCCCTCCACTCGCCCTTCTTCTCGCCCTCGCACTTGCTCTTCCCCTAGCCCTTTCCCTACCAAAAGCCCTTCCCCTTGTCCTCCTGCTAGCCCTTCCCCAACTGAATGCCCATGCTTGAACCCAGGTGGTCCCTCCTCCACACCAGCATCAGCGCTTGGCTGAGCTCTGAAGCTGTAAACCCTTCCTTCCCCTCCCCTTCCTCTCCCCCCTCTCCCCCCTCTCCCCCCTCTCCCTCTTCCCCCCCTCCCTCTCACGCCTCTTCCTCTCCCTCCACCTTCCACCCCTTCTCCCCAACTCGGAATCTCTACCGTCTCTGCCCCTTCACCCCTCCATCCCGACCCCCCTCGCTCCAATTCCCTCTCTCTCCCCTCTCTCCGCTCCCACCGTTCCCTCCTCTCCCTGCTCCTACTTCTGCTGCTCCTATCCTTTCCTCTCCTCCTGTCTCTGCTTCCGCTTCTGCTCCTGCTTCTTCTTCCATCTCTGCTCCTACTCCTCCTCCTTTCCCTGTCCCTGCTTCCACTCCTGTGCCTTCCCCTATCCTTGCTTCTGCTTCTCTTTCTACCCCTATCTCTGCTCCTGCTCCTCCTTCCCATTTCTCTGCTCCTACTCCTGTGCCTACCCTTATCCTTGCTCCTGCTCCTCTCTCTACCCCTGCTTCTTCTGCTGCTGGGACCACTCATGTCATTATGGGTGGGCACGTCCGGCCCTCTCCTGCTGCTGGGACCACTAACTCCATTGCTCCTCCTGCCCTCTTCTCCTCTTGTCCCTTGCTCATCTCTTCTTGTCCCTTGCTCCTCTTCTCCTGTCCCTTGCACCTCTCCTCCTGTCCCTTGCTCCTTTGTTCCCCCTCCAGTCCCAGCCACCCCAGATCTCCCTTCCAATTCCACCCCCTCCATTCCCTTCCCCTGCCCTCTCAACACACTGCTGTTTTATTCTGTCACTCCCTTACCATCCTCCCCCATTCCCTTACCATCCTCTCCCACTCTCTTACCACTCACTCCCACTTCTCCCCCTCTCCCCTCGCCTCTCCCACCCACTCTGCCACCAGAGTGTTGTGCCATCTCAGAACCAGTTCCCACCCCCGCTCCTTCACCCGCTCCCACGCCCCCCACTCCGCCCACTGCCCCTTCAGTCCTCCCTATTACTTCACCACCTGCCCTTCCCTCCCCATTGAGCTCTCCATTTCCCCATCCCCCTCCTCCACCCACTCCCATGCCTCCCATTGCCTGTGCGAGCCTCTCCTCTCTCCTCCTCCGTATCCCCAGCTTCAGTTCCATAGAGTCTAATGAATCCTCCTCACTCTCATCATCACTCTCGCCATAGTCACATTCTTGCACATCCTCATCCTCCTCACTGCAATCCATGTCAACACCATTATAGTCACCACCATCACCATCACCACCATCATTATCGTCGTCAGCAGCACCAGCAGAAGCGCCATCAGCAGCAGCAAAAGCAGCAGCGACAGCAGCACCACCACCATCAGCAGCACCAGCACCACCAGCAGCACCACCATCGGCAGAACCACCAGCACTACCATCAGCACCACCATCAGCAGAACCACCAGCACCACCAGCTGATGGTGCTGCCGGCACATCTCCCATTTCTGTTGCCGTTGTTGTTGCTGCAGTACCAGCAGCACCATTACCATCATCAACATCAGCAGCAGCAGCAGTATCAACACCACCACTTACTGATGTTGCTGCCGGCACATCTTCCATTTCTGTTGCCGTTGCTGCTGCAGTGGCTCCTGCTGCTACTGCTGCTGCTGTTACACCTGTCACACCTGTTGCTCCTGCTGCTACTGTTACACCTGTTACACCTGTTGCTCCTGCTGCTGCTGTTACACCTGTTACACCTGCTGCTCCTGTTGCTCCTGCTGCTGCTGTTACACCTGTTGCTCCTGGTGCTACTGCTGCTGCTGGTGTAGTAGGAGTAGCAGCCACCACCCTTCGTTCCTCTCCATGTGCCACAATCTTCAGCCCTATTCGCATAGCCGGTACCATTTCCGTCGATGTTCCCGTTGCCCTTGCTGCAGTTGCTGCTCCTGCTGCTCCTCCTACCAATGCTCCTGCAGCTGTAGCTTCTCCTGCTGCTCTTCCTACCCCATCTGCCGCAACTACTTCCCCCCCAGGTGTTGCTGTTGGCCTTGCTGCTCTTGTTTCACCTGCTCCTTCTGCCTTTTCTGATTTGGCTTCTGCTGCCAATTGCTGCCCTGCTGCTAACTGCTGCCCTGTTGCTATCTGCTGCCCTGCTGCCAACTGCTGCCCTGCTGCTAACTGCTGCCCTGCTGCCAACTGCTGCCCTGCTGCTATCTGCTGCCCTGCTGCCAATTGCTGCTCTCGTGCCAACTGCTGCTGGTCTGCTGCTAGTTTCACCGGCCTCCACTCATCCAAAAGCGACCCCAACCGATCAGCAATCACCGCACCACCACTAACAGCAGCATCCCTCGCATTCCACACAAGCGTATCCCTAAACCCCGCATGGCCTTCCCACTGGTACAACTGAGTAAGTGAGTAGGGCCCCTGAATGCGCCCCTTGGGATCCGTATAGCACCACCATGGTTGGTGTAAGAGTTTGAATGGCACGATAATAGTGGTGACGGTGGCGGGAGCAGCGATTGGGACGGTGGTGGTGGGAGCAGGAGCAGAGACAGGAGCAGGGGCAGGGGCAGGGGCAGGGGCAGGGGCAGGGGCAGGGGCAGGGGCAGGGGCAGGGGCAGGGGCAGGGGCAGGGGCAGGGGCAGGGGCAGGGGCAGGGGCAGGAGCAGGGGCAGGAGCAGCAAGAGTAACAGAGGCGGACGACGCAAGAGGAGAAGGGGTTGAAGTTGTGACAGGAGCAGGCGCAGCAAAGGCAGGTGCAACCGGGGAAGGCATGGAAGAGGCAGGCATGGCAGGGACAGGTTCAGGTGGGGCAAGCACAGTAGGAGCAACAGGAGCAGGCACAACTGTGACAGGCGCAAGAGGGGCAGGCACAGTTGCAGCAGGAGCAACAGAACCAAGAGCTCCCCCCTTCTCCATGGTCCCATTTCCCTCCTCTCCCTGCTTCCACCATCCCTCCTCTCCCTGCTCCCACCATCCCTCCTCTCTCTCCTCTCCCTATTCCCACCATCCCTCCTCTCCTTGCTCCCATCTCGATGACTCTCTCTTCGCATCTCCCTGCTTCGCTCACTCCCCCTTTCTCGCCCTGTCTCCCCCTCCCTATCGCTTCCTCTCACTCTATCCCTCTCCCTGCCCCTCGATCCTTCACTATCCCTCTTCTTCTCTCTTGACCACTCTCGACCCCTCTCCCTTGATCTTTCTCGACCCCTCTCCCTCTCCCTTGATCTCTCTCTACCCCTCTCTTTCTCCCTCAATCTCTCTCTACCCCTCTCCCTCTCCCTCGATTTCTCTCTACCCCTCTCCCTCGATCTCTCTCTACCCCTCTCCCTCTCCCAACTCCTCTCCCTCCTACTCTCTCTCGCCCTCGTCTCATCCCTTCCCCGAACCCTATCGCTCCCCCTGTCTCTTTCTCGCTCTCTCTCCTCATACCTCCCTCTCTCATCCCTCCCTCCATTCTCCCCTCCTCTGCTCCGCTTCCCCTCCCTCTCACTCTCCCCATCATCCCGCTCCCCCCCTTCTCTCCCTCTCTTCCTATCATGGGTGCTCCCCCTATCCGAAGTCTCTCCATACCCTGACTGCTGCTGCTGCTGCTGCTGCTGTTGCTGCTGCGGCTGCTGCTGCTGCTGCTCCTGTTGGCTAAAATTCACTTCTTGCACTTCGCTGATACTCTCCTTCAAAACAACAGCAGCAGCAGCAGCAGCAGCAGTAGTAGTAGCTGCACCACCAGCACCACCAGCCGAAAAAGCAACAGCAGCACTTGCACCAGCACCAACAGCAGGAGCAGCAGCAGCAGCAGTAGCAGCAGCAACAGGAGCAACACGGGCAGTGGCAGAAGCAGAAGCAGAAGCAGCAGCAGCAGGCGCGATTGCAGTGGCAGCAGGAGCAGGAGCAGCAGGAGCAGGAGCAGCAGGAGCAGGAGCAGCAGCAGCAGGAGGAGCAGGAGCAGGAGCAGCAACAGGAGCAGGAGTGGCAGAAGCAGGTGCTATGCCGCTTGCCGTACCAGGCGTGTCCACTAGCAAAGGAAGAGAGTGCGGTGATGTTGACTTTTGAGTCGACTCAAAAGCAACAGCAGGAGCAGGAACAGCAGGACCAGGAGGAGCGGCAGAAGCAGGTGCAATGCCGCTTGCCGTACCAGGCGTGTCCACTAGTGAAGGAAGAGAGTGAGGTGAGGTTGATGTTGAATTGCAAGGTTTCCCCCCTGTGGGGGGAAGTGCGCCCTCTGGGGAAGGCGGTTTCCCCCCTGTGGGGGAAAGTGCGCCCTCTGAGGGAGGCGGTTTCCCTCCTGTAGGGGGATGTGCGCCCTCTGGAGAAGGCGGGTTCCCCCCTGTGGGGGGAAGTGCGCCCTCTGGGGAAGGCGGTTTCCCCCCTGTAGGGGGAAGTGCGCCCTCTGGGGGAGGTGGAAGAGAGTCATTCGCCCCTGAGGTGCAGGGCTTCCCCCATGCTTGGGGGGGAGGAGCGCCCCCTGGGGGAGGCGGAAGTCCCCCTGGGGGCGGAGGTGCCCCCCCTGTGGGCGGAGGTGCCCCCCCTGTGGGCGGAGGTGCCCCCCCTGTGGGCGGAGGTGCCACCCCTGTGGGCGGAGGTGCCACCCCTGTGGGCGGAGGTGCCACCCCTGTGGGCGCAATCACCCACTCTGTGGACGGAGCTGCTCCCCCTGCGGGCGGAGGTGCTCCCCTTGTGGGTGGAGGTGTTATTTTTGGGGGCGGAGCTGCTCCCCCTGCGGGCGGAGGTGCTCCCCCTGGGGCCAAAATTGCCTCTCTAGGGGGGAAAACGGCTGGGGGAAGAGGGGAAAACGTCTGTGGGGGAACGACGCCAGGGGGAAGGAGTTGGTCTTCTGGCTGGTCTTGTGGTGACTGAAAGGTGGAGAGAGTTATGCAGTCAGGAGGAGAAGTCAACTTTTGAGACGTCTCGAAACTCTTTTGAGACGTGTCAAAAGGTGAGTGGCAGCTAGAGAGAGGTATGAAGTCGGGAGCAGTCAGGGGGCTGTGTGTGTTTGGAGGGAAACTGGACGGATGGGCGGAGGCGGGGGAAGGATGCGTGGAGGATGGGGAGGGATGGGTGGGGTAGGGAGAGGGATGGGCGGAGGATGGGGAGGGATGGGCGGGGTAGGGAGAGGGATGGGTGGTGGGGTGGAGTTTGGGAGGGAGTGGGTTGAGAGGAGGGCATGGGTGGGGAGGGCGTATGTGGGGTGGGGGCATTTGCGAAGGAGGCATTTGGGGAGGGGGGATGTGGGGAGGAGGCACTTGGGGAGGGGGCATTTGGTGAGGGGGCATTTGGGGAGGGGGGATGGGGGGAGGAGAGATATTTGGGTGAAGACTTGCAGGCGGGATGTAGGAAGGGGGATGGGCGGAGGGGGGGTGGGAGGAAGGGGGTTGAGAAGAGGGGGGTTGGGAGGAGGGGGCATGGGCGGAAGAAGGAGGAAGTTGGGTGTGAGGCGGTTGGGTGAGAGGCGGATGGGTGAGAGGAGGTTGGGTGGGAGGTTGGGTGGGAGGAGGTTGGGTGTGAGGAGGTTGGGTGTGAGGCGGTTGGGTGGGAGGGGCAAGAGAGGGGTGCGAGGGCGGATGTCTAGGGGCAGAGGAACCGTCAGCATCAACATCAAGGAGTATGGTGCGGTTGAGAAAGGTGAGGCGGTAGTCTGGGCTCCGTATGTCCATTAGGAGACGATGGGACTCCACGAATGTGATGGGGGGAAGAGAGAGAAATAATAGAGAAGAGGGAAGAGAGAGAAAAAAATAGAGAAGAGAGAAGAGAGAAAAGAAGAGGAGAGAATACAGAAGAGAGAAGAGAAGAGAAGAAAGGAGAGAGTGTAGACATGGAGAGGGGAGGAGAGGAGAAGAAAGACGGAGCAAGGGAAGAGGAGAAGGGAGGGGAGGGAAAGGGAGGGGGGAACGGGCAGAGGAAGATTGGAACGGAATGGAGAAGGAAGAGAGAGACGAGAGGAAGAGAGAGGGTAGGGTGGGTGCGGAGAGATGGTCAAGGAGAAACGACAAAGGGTCCCAAGACGACTTTTGAGTCGACTCAAATGAAGAGGGTCACAAGATGCAGAGCAGCACAGAAATGGAGAAATGGAAGACAGGAAGTGGGAGGGTGCGGCGATAAGAAGGGAAGAAGGACGAGAAGGCTCGCAAAGGATTGCTTGAGTTCATGGGTGATTGAAGAAGTGGATGCGAAAAAGACCAGAGAAAAAACTCAGTGAATAAACGAAGGGAAGAAGGACGAGACGAGACGGCACGCAAAAGGGTTGTTTGAGTTTATGAGTATTTGAGGAGTGGAGAGGTGGTTTTTGAGAATTCTCAAAAACCAGCACGCAAAAAGGGTTGCTTGAGTTTATGAGTATTTGAGGAGTGGAGAGGGAGAGCTAAGAGGATGCGAGAAATGCAAGAGAGAAGAGAGCAAAAAGTGAATGGGAGAGAAATGATCGCAGGGAGGAGGGCACAGTTAAGGTGAAGACAAGAGCAAGTGAATAAGCGAGAGATGAGGGCAGAGAGAGCAGAGAGTGCAGAAAGCGCAGAGAGAGGGCAGGGAGGGAGGGCACAGAGTGTGAAGGGCAGTAGGGATAGTGAGGACAGTGACGGTAGTGAAGTGAAGGGAGTGAGGGTAGTGAAGGGAATGAGGGTAGTGAAGGGAGTGAGGGTAGTGAAGGGAATGAGGGGATATTTCTTGGCCTTCTTGAGGTGCTGCACTCGCTCCAGACTTTGATGGTACTCCTGCATGCATGCATGGGCACAGAGGAGTGAAAGGGTAAAGAGATGAAGGTGCACAGATGTGAGTTGGGATGCCAGGAGTTTTGAGGCGCCTCAAATGCTGCTGCACTCGCTCCAGAGTTTGATGGTACTCCTGCATGCATGCATGGGCACAGAGAAGACAGGGAACAAGGTGGGTCTAGAAGAAAAAGTGCACTCAAGGATAAAATAAAGTGCATGTGAGAATGAATGCAGAGGTGCACGTAAAACAGCAGTGCATGTTATTTCAAGTACATGCACATCGCAAGTGCATTTCAACTCAAAGTAAATAGTACACTCACTTGCCGTCGTTGAGATGTCTCAAATCAAAACTCCAAAACTCCATATAGAGACTATGTTATACATATATGTTGTATACATATATCAGGTACGCGTGATATTTAGTTAGGTGTGTATATACGTTAGTACACTCACCATCTCAAAGAAGAAATGCCTTATCTGGCTTTAGTACACTCACCGTCTCAAAGAAGATATGCCTTATCTGGCTTTAGTACACTCACCGTCTCAAAGAAGATATGCCTTATCTGGCTTTAGTACACTCACCGCCTCAAAGAAGATATGCCTTATCTGGCTTTAGTACACTCACCGTCTCAAAGAAGATATGCCTTATCTGGCTTTAGTACACTCACCGTCTCAAAGAAGATATGCCTTATCTGGCTTTAGTACACTCACCGTCTCAAAGAAGATATGCCTTATCTGGCGCACCTGCTCCTCCAACTTGTCCTGAGATGATTGGGAGAGGGGGGACGGGGGAGGAGGTGTTGGTTTGCATTGCAGGGGTTTTAGGTTCAGAAAAAGGGGAAGCAAGTGGTGAGGTGGGTTCAGCATCAGCTGGCGCACCTGCTCCTCCAACTTGTCCTGGGATGGCTGGGAAAGAAAGGGACGGGGTGAAGGGGGTGTTGGTTTGCAAGAATTACGAATAGTTTAGGGTTTACCCTTTGCGACGTCCCACGCCTCCCCTACTGACGTCCCTGCTATGTCGGTGCGATGTAGATGAATTGGGGAAGGAGCTTCTCCTTGCGCCGCTCGGGGACTCGAGTGTAAACTCATCTTCAATAATGATTATATAGCTCGACAACGCGTCCTCCTCAAGCTCCTCGCGCACACCTGGTACCTTCACCATTCTGCGCAACAGATTGCAGCGCTCGTAGAGTCCCTTGATGACGTGGGCGATGTACAAGTACATCGAGTAGTCGATGCCGGCCAGCCACAAGGTGACTTTTGAGTCGACTCAAAAGTCACCCCATTTTGCCAAACAGATTGCAGCGCTCGCGCGGAGTCCCTTGATAATGTGGGCGATGTACAAGGACATCGAGTAGTCGACGTCGGTCATCCGCAAGTCAGCCAAAAGTCGCTTCGCACGATTGCAGCGCTGTCGCAATCTCGTGCTCGTCCATGTCGAGGTTGGTCAACCGCTGCTCGAGTTGGCCAATGCAGAGGTCGTCAGTCGCCTTGTACCTCCTCATGACGAATTGTCAGGCTTGAAAAATGTCGTTGTCATGTAGGCGACAAGGCTTCAACGTCACTTGTTCGACTGGCGAGCAGCACCTTCAGATGACCATGAATGCCAACAAATGCGCGGAGTGGAACAGTGAACAGCGCGCACTGTCGTCGTCCGATGGCATGACCACCGTGTCGGTGCCGAATATCTTAAGCCGCATTCATCCTGTAGAAGCAATTGCGTTACTTACTCCTATGGTTGATACTAAGAGTAATTGTGTTGTTTACTTTTACGGTTGGTGGTACTAAGAGAAAGTGCGTTATCAACATCAAATCTTGATATTGACTCACCATGAAGAAAGGAAGCAGTGACCCTCGTCGCACCAACTCTTTGACCTCCGCCACCTCGGGAGCTCGAAACACCCCGGTTGAGGACTCCGTTACGAATCACCTATCATACCAATTTTTACAGCCATCCAGTACCGTTACTAACATCACATCCTGTTATCGACTCACCATGAAGAAGGGGGGCAGTGACCCTCGTTGCACCAACTCTTTAACCTCTGCTACCTCTGGAGCGCAGAATGCCCCGTCTGAAAACTCTGCAATGCGGCATCGGTCAAGGCGGTTCTTACGGCCGTCCAATACTGTCACCAACATCACGTGGTGGTGGTGTTGCTGCTGCTGCTGCTGCTGCTGCTGCTGCTGCTGCTGCTGGTTCTGAGGTATGTTGAATCCTGGTGGGCCAAAGCCTGGGTTGGGTGCCGCTGATGTGAAATACTCAACATCTGGGCAACGGGAAGCCACGGATGGACAAGGGTAGGAGTCTGGGTTGAAGGTAGCAGACGTAACAACGAGCACGAGCTTACTTGTAACGAGGACCATCATAGTTGTAACAAGGATGGGCTTACTTCTACCAACAAGCATAAACTTACTTGTAACGAGGACAAGCTTGTACCCCGAATAGTTCACCATCTCAAACCCATCCGAACACCGCAGCCGAGCCAATCCGCCCACCAGCATCCCTCTCAACGCCTCTGCACTCCTCTCCAAGCTTCCTCCCGGCTCAGCAGCCTTCTCTAACCCCAGCCTCTCTGCCACCTCCATGTGCCTGCGCCTTAGGTAGATCTGGGAGAGATTGCGATCGTTGATGGCTGCATAGGGCGCTCCTTCTACTGCTGCCCCATCGTCCCCACCATCATTATCATAGTGGGTATGTGCATGTCCATGTGCATGCGCAAGAGCATCACCATGCCCATGCCCATGCACATGCCCATGCCGGTGCCCATGCCCGTGCCGCCCGTGCCCATGCCCGTGCCCATGCCCGTGCCCATGCCCATGTTCATGCCCATCCACATGCCCGTTTCCAAGCCTGTTCCCAAGCCTATTCGCAAGCCTTTGGCTGAGCCCTTGTCCCCGCACATGCCCATGCCCATGCCCATGCCCATGCCCATGCCCATGTGTATCATTAACATCTCGATCCATAGAACCAGCCCTCCTCTGTCCTCTAAACCCATCCTCTTCCTCCTCCTCTACCCCCTCCTCCTCTTCTTCTTCCTCCGCTTCCTCCTCCTCTTCCTCTTCCTCCTCATAAAAGTCATCCTCCTCCTCTTCCTCATCTCTATCACCCCACCCACGACCACCACCACCTCCTCCTGCTCCTCCTCCCCTCCCTCCTCTCCTGCCCCCACTCCCTCTGCCCCACCCTCCTCCTCCTCTTCCCCCTCCAACCCCTCCTCTGCTCCCCCTTCCCCTCCCCCTTCCTCTCCCCGCTCCTCTCCCTCTTCCTCCCCACTCTCCTCTTCCCACGCCTCTCCCCCACCCTCTCCCTCTGCTCACCCCTCTCCCCCTCGTACTTCCCTTCTCCCTACCAATAGAAGCACAAGGCACAAAGTCAGGATCAATAATATCATCCCTGCCAACCCCACCCCACCCTCCTCCACCCCTGCCACTACCTCGTTCTGCTCCTCCTCCCATTCCTCCTCCTCTCCCCGAGCTTCTCTCCAAACTTCTCCCCACACCTCTCCCCGAGCCTCGTCCCAAACCTCTCCCCGAACCTCTCCCTGAGCCTCTCCCCGAGCCTCTCCCCAAGCCTCTCACCACGCCTCTCCCCAGCCCTCTCCCCGCACTTCCCCTCACGCCTCCTTCACTAATCTTCACCCAACTCCCACCTTCCCCACCATCACACCCCAACGAACTCACAAGCCTCCCCTTCGCACCACACGGCAGCAACGTCCTTACACTCCCACCCTGCCTCAGCCTGCTGCTTCTATACCTAACCGCAGCCGCCCTTCCTTGCTGCAATTTGATATTGAATCTTCTGGATAGAGGTACATCCTCTCCCTCATCCCCACTGTCACTCAGAGCCAAGTAGTTACCCTTTGCCCGTCCCTCTCCCTCTTTGCCCTCCTCCTGTGCTGCCGCTGCTGCTGCGGCTGCTCTATGCTTCCTCCGAGGCACGGAACCAACTCCCAGTGTCTCATCCTCACTTTCACTCTGCCTCTCACTCTGTCCTTCTTCCCCTTTGCCGTTCTTCTGTCCTGCTGCTGCTGCTGCTGCTGCTGCTGCTGCTGCTGCTGCTCTATGCTTCCTCCTAGGCACGGAACCAACTCCCAGTGTCTCATTTTCATCCTCATCTACACTCTCACTGTCGCTCAACTTCAGGTATTCAACTGTCCTCCTCCCTTGGCCCTCGCCCTCCTCTTCTCTTCTTCCTCCTTCTCCTCTTCGTTCTCCCCCTCCTTCCTCATATTCCTCCTCTGCTACCTCCTCACTCCCTTCCTCCTCCTCCTCATCTCCCTCTTCTTCCTCCTCCTCTGCTTCCCCTCCTTCCCCCATCATTCCCTCCCCCTCTCCCTCTCCCCCTCCCTCCCCCTCCCCCTCCTCCACCTCCTCCTCCTCCTCTCCCAACATCCCCAGCTCGATCCCACACAGCCACCTCTCTCTGAGAGAGCCCCAGTCATCAGGAGCCCTTCCCACGTCGATCACCAACCGCCCTCGATCGCGCATCACCGAGTGATAGTCCTTGAAATACCAAGCAGGGGAGAATGTATCGTCCATGTCTAGAACCCTCTGTGAGAGGCACAGACAGGGACGGCGACATAGACACAGAGACGCAGAGAGAGCGAGATGAGAGGCGGAATACAAAGAGAGAGACTGATCACCAAGTGAGAGTCCTAGAAGTACCACGCAAAGAAGTCAGTGTCATTTATGCCTAGAACCCTCTGCAGAAGACACGCACACAGAGACGGAGAGAGCGAGATGAGAGGCGGAATACAAAGAGAGAGACTGATCACCAAGTGAGAGTCCTAGAAGTACCACGCAAAGAAGTCAGTGTCATTTATGCCTAGAACCCTCTGCAGAAGACACGCACACAGAGACGGAGAGAGCGAGATGAGAGGCGGAATACAAAGAGAGAGACTGATCACCAAGTGAGAGTCCTAGAAGTACCACGCAGGGGAATCCGTATCATCCATGCTTAGGAGTATAGGACCCTCTGTGAGAGATATAGAGAGAGGAAAACATAAAGGAGAGGAAAAACTCACGCCAGTAGGAGTCCTCTCGATGCCGTGTTGAATCATAGCCACCTTCACATAGCACGCGCCGCACAGCCCCAGAACCTTCCGCCCTCCTTCATCCAGTTGCTCCAGAATCCACCCCACACTCCCTTCCCTCTTCTCCTCACTCTCCCTGCCCCAAAAGATACTCCCTCCCTCTGAAAACCCCTTCTCCCCATTCCCCTCCTCCTGTTCTTTCTCGTCCCTCCCCTCCCTCTCTGTCTCCTCCTCATACTCCCTTTGCTTTGCACTCTTTCTGTATCCCCCACTCCCTTCAGCCTCATTATCCTCCTTTCCCTGTGTGCTCTCTCCCACCTTTTCTCTCTCCCTCTCCCCCTCCTTCCCCACCTCCTCATCCACCCTCGCCTGAACACCCTCTCTCCCCTGCTCCCTCTCCCTCTCATCCTCCCTGCCCTCTTCCATCTCAATGCCAACCACACTTCCCCCCTCCACCTCCTTCCCCCTCGCCTCCTCCTTCCCATCCTGAACAGACCCACTCCCTTCTCCACTTCTCCTCCTGCCCTTCCCTTCCTCCAAGCCCGAAACCCTGCCCCAAGCAAGCCGGGCAGCGAACTGAGCTGCCCGAGAAAGTTTCAAGGTCCAGATTTTTTTCACTCGGGCAGAAGAAGCAGGGTCCATCCAGACATGGCGGTGCAGGAAGCGAAGGCAGCGCCAGCAGAGGGATGTGGGGCAGAGGAGGCAGAGGAAGAGGGAGGAGCGACGACAGCCACGGGAGCAGGAGTGCCACACTGCGTCGGGGGAGACAGGATGGGAGGGTAAAGAGGGAAGGGAACGAACAGAGAGGGAAGGAAAGACAAACGAAGGTGATTCAACGTAGACTGAGGAAGAGGGAGGAGCAACGGCAGGCACGGGAGCAGGCATGTCACACTGTGGGTGTGGAATAGGGAGGGATGGAGAGGGAGGAGTAAAGAGAGGAAAGTTTTTTGAAGCGACTCAAGAAGAGGCAGGGTCAATCCAGACAAGGGGCGGCAGGAAGCCTAATCATATTCAGAACCCAAACCCTAACGAAACTTAACGCATCACAATCACTCACCACAAGTCCAAGCGGCAGTAGACTTGAAAACTTTCTCGGGCAGCCCAGTGCACTCCGGATGGTACGCCTTGGGGCAGCCACTGAAAGGTCAAAAGAAAAAAAAAGGAAGAGTTTGCAGAAAAAAAAGGAGGTCTGTACTCAACCAACAAGAGGGTATATTGATAATTTACTAGCATCCCACCTCTAGATTCGCCTTTCATCCCAACCACCTATCATCTCACTCACCTCTTATCACACGCCACCAGGTCACCACCATCATAGCACACAAAGCAGTAATCTTCACACTGCATATCTCCCCCCCCCACCTCCTCCTCCTCCCCCCTCCCTTCACCCTCCTCACCCGCCACTCCCTTCCCCTCCACCACTTCTCCTCCTCTCTCCTCCTCCCTCTCTGCCACTGCTCCCCCCGACAACAACTCCACAGCAGTCTGTAAGTGCCTTTTTCGAGCATCCCCAGCATTCTCTCGTGACGATGGCGACGCTACAGCACTCTGCGCTTGCCATGCGGCCCCCAGAGCAGCCTGTGCTTGGCGAGAAGAGATGGCAGTTGCTGCCTGTTCCGCTGTCTTGCACGCATCGTGCAGGAGCCGGTTCAGCTCCTTGGAAAGCCTAGGAGCCTTTGGAGGGGCGACTGTTTCTTGAGCCTTGACAGGTGTTGTGTGGGAAACTGGATGTTGAGGCGCCTCAAAAGTCGTGTGGGAGGCTACCGCTGCTGCTTCAGAAGCTGTCTTGCAGGTGTCATGATCCGCTGCTTCTCCCTCCCCTCCTCCCTTCCCTCCTCCTTGCCATCCTTCTCCTCCTCCTCCTCCCCCTGCTTGCTCAGCAGCCTCTGCTTTCTCCGCTTCACCGTCCTGCTGCCCTCCTCTTCCTCCTTGCCCTGTTGAACCTCCCTTCCCTCCTGAACCTCCTTGCCTTCCCGTTACTTCCTGCCCTGCCGTTCCTCTCTGCTCATCTACCCCCCTGCAAGCACTCTTGTCTCCTCCACTCATCTCCCCTCGGACTGGCGCCTCCTCGTTTTCCAGCTCTCCTTCCCCCTTACCCTCCTTACCATCATCTCCCACCTCGCCCTTCTTCTCCTCCACCTCTTTTCTCTCCTCCACCTCTTTTCTCTCCTCCTCCCCCTCTTTGCACTCTTCGCCCTCTTTGTCCTCCCCCCGGTCCTCCCTTTCCTCCCCCCCCTCCTCCCCTTCCTCCCCACCGTCTTTCTCCCCCTCACACTCTCCTCCGTAACCCTCTCTCTCCTCCACTCTCCCCTTCACTTCCATTGCTTCTTTCCCTTCTTCCTGCCAGTGTTTTATCTGCCCGTCCTCCTCCCCTTTGTCCTTCCCTCCCTCCTCCCCCATACCCTCCTCCCCCTTTTCCCCCTCCTCGCCCTGCTTCCCACCACCTGTCTCCATCTCACATGCTCCTCCACAGCCTCCTCTCTCTTTCACTCCTCCCTTCACTTCCGCTGCTTCTTTCTCTTGCACCTGCCTGTGCTTTGTCTGAATTTTTCCCTCCCCCTTGCCCTCCCCCTCCACCTCCTTCCCCTTTCCCTCCTCCCCACTGGCTTTCCCCATCTCACACAATCCTCCACAGCCTCTCCTCTCCCCCACTCCCCCATCCACCTCCAATGCTTCTTCTTTCACCTGCAATTTCTCCATCTGCGCATCCCTTCCCCCCCACCTTTCTTTTACTTCTTCCACCTCCTCCCCCATCCCCCCCCCCTCCTCCTCTCCCTCCTCTCTCCATTCCCCCTCCTTTCCTTCCTGTTGCTGTCTTCGCCCTTCTTCTCCCTCCATTTCTCCCTCTGCTTCTCTCTCCTCTTCCCTCTCCTCTCTTACCACTCCCCTCTCCACCTCCTCTCCCCCTTGCCCTTCCTCCCTATTCCTACCTCCTGCCCCTTCATTGCTCTCTACCTCCATCTCCCCCTCACGTTCTCTCACCTCCAGTTCATGAGGCGCTTCAAAAATCTCTCCCCCCCCATCCCTACCTCCTGCACCTCCATTGCTCTCTTCATCCGTCTCCATCTCGCTTTCTCTCACCTCCCCTTCCTCCTCTTCCTCCTCTCCTTCATCTTCCCCCACTTCACCCTCCTCCTCCTCTTCACCCTCCTCCTCCTCTTCATCCTCCGCCTCCTCTCCCATCTCCATCCCCTCTTCAATCTCTTCCCCCTCCTCCAATTCCTCCTTCCCTTCCTCTACCCCTTTCTTCTCTTCTTCCTCCTTCCCTTCCACCTCCCCTTCCTCCCCCCTTTCTTCCTCTCTGCCCTTACCCCTCGTACGATTCACCTCCGTTCCTAATCCTTCCTCTACCCCACCACCCACCTCCAAGGGTTCCTCCTTTACCCGTCCACCACCCCCACTTCCTCTCACCACTCTCCCTTCCTCCTCCCTTTCCTCGCCTCTGTCCCTATCCCTCATCCGATTCACCTCAATTCCTATCACTCCCACTCCCCCATCACCCAGCTCCTTAGGCTCTTCCTTTACCTTTCCACCTGCACTTCCTCTAACCATTGCGCCCCCTCTTCCTCCTGTTGCGCCCCCTCCTTCCATTCTTCGCACTCCCCCAAGCACACACAGAGCAGTAACACTTGCACCAGTATTACTTGCACCAACATTGCTTGCACCCGTATTACACGCATCCACCTTATTTGCGTCCCCACTACAACGTCTTAAGCACGTTTGGGCCATATTTGACTTGGTTCCAGCTGATCCAGCAGCAGCAGTGCCACCCGCTGTGGTTGCACCCGATCCAGCAGCAGCAGCAGCACCCCCTGTCGGTGCACCTGATCCCGCAGCAGCAGTGCCACCCGCTGTGGTTCCAACTGATCCAGCAGCAGTACCACCTGCTGTGGTTGCACCAGCAGCACCTGATGTGGTTACCACATCAGCAACAGCTGCTCTAGACCTGGCTACACCACCACCGCCACCACCACTCGATGCGGTTACCGCATGAGCAACATCACTCCTCACTCCCTCCTCCCCTAACTCCTCTGCCTCCTCCTTCACATACACAGCCCTTTCTTCCCCTCCTGCACCCATTGAAGCTTCACCGCGCAATGTCGTCTGAGGCACCACCGCACCTGTGCCACTTTTGACGCCTTTCAAACCTGACACACGCACAGCCCTCCCTTTCCCGCCTGCATCCATTGAAGCTACACCGTGAAATGTCTTTTGAACCACCGCCTCACTTCCAATCCCCAGTGCTCCCAGGCCCGTCCGTCCCACGGTCAAACGCTGCTCCCTCGCAGATCTGGCAGGGCTGCCTGCCCCGCTCTCCAAACTCCTCCCCCTCTGTGTGCTGCTGCCACTGCCATCAGCGCCTGCACTTCCCAATTCTCCCAGCCGCATTCGTCCCACCGGCAGCCCTCCCTTGGCAGGGCAGGCAGGGCGGCCGGACACACTCTCTACAATCTTCACTTTCTGCATGCTGCCGCTGCCATCCAAGCGTGAATCTCCCAGCCCTGCTCGTCCCTCCGCCAGATCCCCTCTAGCAGCACAGACGGGCCCACTCTGTACAGTCTTCCCTCTCTGCGTGCTGCCGCTGCCATCCAATCCTGCACCCTGCAGTGCTCCCAGCCTTGTTTTCCCCACTGGCAGCCCACTTTTGGCTGGGCTGGCAGGGCTGGCAGGGCAGGCAGGGCGGCCGGACACACTCTCTACAATCTTCCCTTTCTGCATGCTGCCGCTGCCATCCAAGCGAGAATTTCCCAGCCCTGCTCGTCCCTCTGCCAGATTCCCTCTAGCAGCACAGACGGGCCCACTCTCTACAGTCTTCCCTCTCTGCGTGCTGCTGCTGCCATCCAAGCCTGCAACCCCCAGTGCTCCCAGGCCTGATCCTCCCACCTCCCTGGCAGGGCTGGCGGGGCTGGCAGGGTTGATAGGGATGGCCCCTGTGGGAGCACTTTTCACAGTCTTCCCTTTCTGCGTGCTGCCACTCCCATCCAAGCCTACAATCCCCAGTGCTCCCAGGCCTGATCCTTCCACCGCCAGATGCTGCGTCCTGGCAGCAGGGCTGACACGGCTGCCAGCCACACTCTCAACAATCTTCCCTTTCTGCGTGCTGCCGCTACCATCCAAGCCTACAATCCCCAGTGCTCCCAGGCCTGATCCTCCCACCGCCACATGCTGCGTCCTAGCGGCAGGGCAAACAGGGCTGCCAGACACACTCTCTACAGTCTTCCCTTTCTGCGTGCTGCCGCTGCCATCCAAGCGTGAATTTCCCAGCCCTGCACGTCCCTCCGCCAGATCCCCTCTAGCAGCACAGACGGGCCCACTCTCTACAGTCTTCCCTCTCTGCGTGCTGCCGCTGCCATCCAATCCTGCACCCTGCAGTGCTCCCAGTCTTGTTTGCCCCACTGGCAGCCCACTTTTGGCTGGGCTGGCAGGGCTGGCAGGGCAGGCAGGGCGGCCGGACACACACTCTACAATCTTCCCTTTCTGCGTGCTGCCGCTGCCATCCAAGCGTGAATCTCCCAGCCCTGCTCGTCCCTCCGCCAGATCCCCTCTAGCAGCACAGACGGGCCCACTCTCTACAGTCTTCCCTCTCTGCGTGCTGCCGCTGCCATCCAATCCTGCACCCTGCAGTGCTCCCAGCCTTGTTTTCCCCACTGGCAGCCCACTTTTGGCTGGGCTGGCAGGGCTGGCAGGGCAGGCAGGGCGGCCGGACACACTCTCTACAATCTTCCCTTTCTGCATGCTGCCGCTGCCATCCAAGCGAGAATTTCCCAGCCCTGCTCGTCCCTCTGCCAGATTCCCTCTAGCAGCACAGACGGGCCCACTCTCTACAGTCTTCCCTCTCTGCGTGCTGCTGCTGCCATCCAAGCCTGCAACCCCCAGTGCTCCCAGGCCTGATCCTCCCACCTCCCTGGCAGGGCTGGCGGGGCTGGCAGGGGTGATAGGGATGGCCCCTGTGGGAGCACTTTTCACAGTCTTCCCTTTCTGCGTGCTGCCGCTCCCATCCAAGCCTGCAATCCCCAGTGCTCCCAGGCCTGATCCTTCCACCGCCAGATGCTGCGTCCTGGCAGCAGGGCTGACACGGCTGCCAGCCACACTCTCAACAATCTTCCCTTTCTGCGTGCTGCCGCTACCATCCAAGCCTACAATCCCCAGTGCTCCCAGGCCTGATCCTCCCACCGCCACATGCTGCGTCCTAGCGGCAGGGCATACAGGGCTGCCAGACACACTCTCTACAGTCTTCCCTTTCTGCGTGCTGCCGCTGCCATCCGGGCGTGAATCTCCCAGCCCTGCTCGTCCCTCCGCCAGATCCCCTCTAGCAGCACAGACGGGCCCACTCTCTACAGTCTTCCCTCTCTGCGTGCTGCCGCTGCCATCCAATCCTGCACCCTGCAGTGCTCCCAGTCTTGTTTGCCCCACTGGCAGCCCACTTTTGGCTGGGCTGGCAGGGCTGGCAGGGCAGGCAGGGCGGCCGGACACACACTCTACAATCTTCCCTTTCTGCGTGCTGCCGCTGCCATCCAAGCGTGAATCTCCCAGCCCTGCTCGTCCCTCCGCCAGATCCCCTCTAGCAGCACAGACGGGCCCACTCTCTACAGTCTTCCCTCTCTGCGTGCTGCCGCTGCCATCCAATCCTGCACCCTGCAGTGCTCCCAGTCTTGTTTGCCCCACTGGCAGCCCACTTTTGGCTGGGCTGGCAGGGCTGGCAGGGCAGGCAGGGCGGCCGGACACACTCTCTACAATCTTCCGTTTCTGCGTGCTGCCGCTGCCATCCAAGCGTGAATTTCCCAGCCCTGCACGTCCCTCCGCCAGATCCCCTCTAGCAGCACAGATGAGCCCACTCTCTACAGTCTTCCCTTTCTGCGTGCTGCCGCTGCCATCCAAGCGTGAAACCCCGAGCACGCCCAGCCCCGTACTGCCAACCCCTTTTCCCCGTTCCCTTTCTCCGATACCCGTCCCTGTGCAGGTACTAGGGGTTGCCTCCTGCCTTGCAGCAGTTGCTGTGGCAGCCACAGCCCTGCCCTTCCCTCCACCGGCGCCCACATCAGCCACACTCACTGCCCTATTCTGAAGCACCTCAATACCCGTCCCTGTACAAGGGGTACTTGGCAGCGTTCCCTGCCTTGCAGCAGTTGCTGTGACAGCCACAGCCCTGCCCTTCCCTCCACCACCGCCCACCTCCGATTTTCCATCCATCTTCCCACTCGTCCTCCCAAGCCCCCTTCTCTTCTCCTCCTCATGACATTGATCAGCCTCCTCCTCAGCTTTGGGTAGATCTGGCTCTTGTTTCACCCTCACTTCAGGACCCGCAGCCTCCACATCGGTCCTCCCAATCCTTCTTCTCTTCTCATCCTCCAAATGTTGATTGAAAGCCGCTTCCAATCCATCCGTATCCCTTTTCAACCCCACAGGACCCCCATCTTCCTCCTCCACTTTCCTCTTCTTTTTCTCCTCCTCCTCCTCTTCCTCCTCCTCCTCCTCCCCCTCTTCCTCACCTTCCACCTCCTCCTCTTCGACTTCCTCCCCCTCCTCCATTTCCTCCTCCTTCTCCACCTCCCCTTCCTCCCCTTCCTCCCCTACTTCTATCTCCTCCCCTTCCTCCCCTACTTCTATCTCCTCCCCCTCCTCCATTTCCTCCTCCCCCACTTCCCCCTCTTCCACTTCCTCCCCCTCCTCCCTCATCTCCCCCTCCTCTCCCTCCTCCAATTCAACATACTCCTCTACCACCATCACTTCTTCACTCGATGACTCCTCTCCCTCCCCCCTCCACCTCTCCATCCGCACCCCTTCCTCTTCAGGCTCCGCTTTCACTGCCACCGTTCCACGTGTATCTTGACTCACTGCCATCATTCCACGTGTATCTTGACTCACTGCCACCGCTCCACGTGTAATTTGAGTCGACTCAAAACGCATCCCTTCCTCCTCAGGCTCCGGTTTAACTGTCATCATTCCCTCTCGTAATTCTCCCCGCACCATCTCCTGTCACGATGTAACGATATATTTTTCAAGTCACCTAAGAAAAAACTCCTCTTCAGGCTCCGCTTTCACCTTCACCATTTCCTCTTCCGATTCTCCCCCGCAACATCTTCTGTTACAGTGTAGCCTTCGCCACCTGCTGTAACTGTGTAACCTTCGCCTTCTCCTGTAACGCTTGAAGCGCTTCGTCTTCTAGTCTGTGGTTGTCACACCGTCGGGTCAACTCCTAGATTCTATTTACACGCTCATTAAACCGTCTAATGTCCAGTTACCCATGACCAATCCGTTCTGACCACCACAACCGCCAGTCCACTATTCACCTGTCGACACTTCGCCGCCTTCGCCACTTCCGCGGTGGTAACTTCTCAGTCCGACTCAAAAATCCTTTGGTCGCTGGTCACACCTTACGAGCCACTAGGTGTGCTCTGAGTGTGAGACACGAAACACATCTCTCATCCCTGTTACAACCTTAACCGCCGCCTTTAACGCGGATGTTACAATTGCAGTCAGTCTTCGGTAGGGTTACTTTAACGTCTTAAGCTACCAGTCGAGGTTAGCTCTTGCTGTAGTCAGAGGTCCTATGCTCACGACAAATTTCGCACGCCAGCTCAATCAAAAGTCCTGATTACAGTCGTCGACAGGATCACAGTCACCGATGTGCTAGTCACCGTTCCCGGAAAGGACGATTCAAAACCGCGAATAGCTGCTCAAATTCGGGTTTGTCTCGTGCAGTAGTATAGTCCTGTGCTGTGCGCTTTTACACAACACAACTTAGAAGTTAATAAAAGCTCTCTGCTACGCGAACAACTATTCCTGCACTAGGCCTTCGGAGCTAGCTAAAAGGCAACGACTGAGTAGCGTGTTTAGGCCTCAAGCCTAGAGATCACTGAAAGGCGGCAGAACAAGTGACTCTGACAGCCCCAGCTTCTCTGCGCTTCAGTTGTGACTGACAATTGATGTCAGGCCGCCTTTTGAGGTGCTGAGCTATTAAAGCTGGAGGTGTTTAGAGCACTTGACATTTTGTCATTGTCAACACGTGCGCTGACATATGCCTCCTCCACAACGCCAGCAAGCCCTTAACCGTGTCGATAGTCCGCTCCACCTCCTCTTCATACTTCATCGGGATGAGCAGCGTGATCGAAAAACCAGCACGCGCGGCAATCTCACCCGCCTTCACGGGATCAAAGCGTTCTTCCGGGTCGCTGAGATACCCGTCATCCTCATCCTCCTCTTCGTCTTCCCCTTCAGCAGGAACTTCTGAAGAGGCAGCCGGGGGCGACACCTCATCCGTGTCCTTCTTTTCCTCCTCTGCCTTGTTAGCCCCATCCTCAGTGCGATCCTCCAGGGACGGGAACTTCAAGTCATTCAACTTTTTCACCAGCGAGATGCGCGTGTTGTCAAAACATATGCATATTATCATCTAGGCTATATTGGGGCTAGCCTTAGGGGGTACAGAAACTTTCTCGACACTCTAGTCTTGTACCCCAACCTTGACCTAATCATGCATTCCCTTGCCTTAGTCTTAACATGTTATCAGAGCAGGAGGTCTCTAGGACCTAAGAATCGGGCCCACTTAACTGTGTTACCCTAACTACTGCCTGCCTGCCTTGCCTACTGCCCGCGCGCGCCTCGGCTGCAGCGCGCGTCACTTTTTTTTTCGCGCGCGCCTCGGCTGCTAGCGCGCGCGTCACTGTTTTTAGCGCGCGCCACTACTGCAGCGCCGCGCGCCGGCCCGCGTCGCCCGCGCAGCCCGCGTAGAGCCCGCGCAGCCCGCCGCCGCGCGCAACCCGCCGTCGCGTGCAGCCTGCCGTCGCCCCGCGCGCCGCGTCTGTCGCCAGCGCGGCGCGCCGCTGCGCCGCGCGTCGCGTCGGCCGCCTGCGCGGCCCGCTGCTGCTTAGCGCGCTGCTTTAGGAGCTCGCGTGCGGCCGCTCCTTCGTGCTGCCTGCTGCCTGCTATCTCCTGCATGCTGCCTGCTGCCTCTGTCTTTACTTGTGGCCTGGTGCCTGCTGCCTCTTGTCTGCTGCCTGCTGCCTCCTGCCTCTGCCTACTGCCATTATGACGACGCCTAACGTTCTCGCGTTCGAGCCTGACGGTCGCCCCATAAAGTTCGCTGTGTGGTTAGATGATCTCCAACTGTTCCTTCTGACTGATGCCAAAGAGGGCGTTTCACTGTTCGATTACGTGTCTGGCACTGCCGTTGCTCCTGCTCTCGAACGCTCGCAGTGGCAGACTCGCGATGCTGCTGCACGCTTAGCTATTAGGAACCATCTGCCGATTACTGAGCGCGCGCATTTCAGCCAGCACAAAACTGCTAAGACGCTGTACGAGGCTGTAGTTGCGCGCTACTCCTCCCCGGCCACTGCAGCCATAGGTCGGCTCATGCTACCCTACCTGTTCCCCGACCTTTCCTCGTTCACCACTGCTGAGGACCTCATTTCCCACTTGCGCGCTACTGACACTCGCTTTCGTGCCGCCCTTTCAGCCGAGTTCTGCGCCGCAAACCCCCCCCCCCCCCCCGATGTACTTCACTCTCTATTTCCTCGTCACCCGCCTCCCTGACACTCTTAGCTCAGTCAGGGACCACTTCCTCGCGCTAGACCCCCCCACTCTCACTGTCGACGACTTCGAGAAGCACCTCCTCGCAGCAGAGAAGAACATCCTCGCTGTAGGTGCTGCTCGTGGCACTCCTCGCTCTCCCCTCTTTGAGGGGTGCTCCCCCTCCCCTCTCACCCCCTCCTACGCCTCCGCAGCTGCTGCTCACGACTACCTTGGTGCTGAGGAGGTTGGGGCTGCTTCCGCTCCTAGTGGGAAGCGTCGCAGCGGCAGGGGCGGCAAGTGTGGCAGGGGAGGTGGGGGTGGCGGTGGAGGTGGCGGTGGTGCAGGCGGCGGGGGAGGTGGAGGTGGTGGAGGTGGTGGTGGGGGCGGCAAAGGCACTGGGAGCGGTGGAGGTGGTAGCAGTGGCGGTGGGGGAGGAGGGAGCAGCGGTGGGGGAGGAGGGAGCGGTGGTGGCAGTGGTGGTCAGGGCCAGCAGCAGTCGCTGCCGCAGCAGCACCAGCAGCAGCAGCGTCAGCGCCAGACCCCCACTTCCCAGCAGCTTCTTGACTGGTATGCCGGGCGTGGGGCATCTGGGGGTCCTGGTCGCTGCCCCTATATCATTCGCACAGGTCCCCGCACTGGTCGCCAGTGCACAGGGTTTCACACTGAGCAGCGCTGCTTCGCTCGGCTTAGCGACGCCTGGCGCGCCAAGTTTCCTGATGCTCTTGAGTTCCCCAACTGGGAAGAGCTGCTTAGGCGTGATGTACCTATCTTTGATCTTGACTATGAGGTTATTCTTGCTGCTATGTATGCATTGTCTGTTAGTACTGAGGGTGACTGCTACTTGTGTGTGCCGCCGGACCCTGGTATAGCGCCTGCAGCACTAGGTTCTTGTGAGTCTGCTCCCATTGGTACTGCGCCTGCACAGGCCTTGCACACCCTTACACTTGACTTTGGTGCTTCCCGCTGTTTCTTTCGCGACAGTACCACAGTCACTCCCCTCCCTGCACCTGTTCCTGTCTCACTGGCTGACCCTTCTGGGAGCCCAGTGCTTGCACGGTCTTCCACCGTGCTTCCGCGTCCGGCGGTCCCGTCTGGTGAGTTGTCTGGTCTCCACCTCCCCTCGTTCTCTACGAACTTGGTGAGCAACGCTGTCCTCCAGGATGCGGGGGTTGACACCTTCACCCCTGGCCGGCAGCGTGTGGCGATTTGCACGTGCTCCCGGACCAGCCGCCACCTGGCCACGTTCACTCGTGCGCCAGGGTCCAGTCTGTACACCCTCACCACTGCGTCGCGCTCCGCCCCGTTGTCTCCCCAGTTACACGCGTCTAGTCAGGTAGCTACCCAGTGTGAGTGTCGCCGGCTGTCGCACGACACTCTCCTGTGGCACCACCGCCTTGGTCACCCCTCCCTGCCTCGCCTGCGTAGCATGCACTCTCGCTTCCTGGTCTCTGGTCTTCCCAGGTCTCTGCCTGCCCTCCCTCCCTCGCCTGCGCCGCCCTGCATTTCTTGCGTCGAGGGGCGGCAGCGCGCCGCTCCTCACTCCTCCTCGTTCCCTCCCACAGAGGCTCCACTGCAGACTCTCCACCTGGACGTGTGGGGCCCAGCCCGCGTCCGTGGACAGGGCCACGAGCGATACTTCCTGCTGGTTGTCGACGACTACACGCGTTACACCACGGTCTTCCCCTTGCAGCGCAAGGGGGATGTCACTGATGTTTTGATCCCCTGGATCCGCGCTGCTCGTCTCCAGCTCCGCGAGCAGTTCCAGTCGGACTTTCCTGTCCTGCGTCTGCACTCTGACAGAGGTGGTGAGTTCTCCTCAGACCTCTTGGCGGCCTTCTGTGCGGAGCACGGTATCCGCCAGACTTTCACGCTTCCAGCCTCTCCGCAGCAGAATGGGGTTGCTGAGCGCCGCATTGGCTTAGTCATGGAGGTCGCTCGTACCTCCATGATCCATGCGGCTGCCCCCCATTTTCTGTGGCCGTTTGCGGTCCGGTACGCCGCGCATCAGCTCAACCTTTGGCCCCGTGTCTCCTTGCCGGAGACCTCGCCCACACTGCTGTGGACGGGGAAGGTTGGCGACGCGTCGCGTTTCCGGGTCTGGGGTGCTCGTGCCTTTGTCCGCGATACCGCTGCGGACAAACTCTCCCCTCGCGCCATTCCTTGCTTCTTCCTTGGCTTTGTCCCTGACGCGCCTGGCTGGCAGTTTTACGACCCCGCCTCGCGCCGTGTCTTTGCGTCTCAGGACGTCACCTTTGACGAGTCGGTCCCCTTTTACCGCCTCTTCCCCTACCGCACTGCTCCTCGCCCCCTCCCGCCGCTCTTTCTCGCCCCAGGTCCTCCCCAGGTAGACCCCCTCCCCGCGCCAGGCCCTGCTCCTTCAGGTGTTTCTCAGGTAGACCCTCCCGTCCCTGCGCCTGTTGAGGTCACTGGTGACTCCAGTTCTGCTGGGAGTGGTGCTGTCCCTGGGGGTGCGGAGCTTGGGGGTGCGCAGCGTGGGGGTGCTGAGTTTGGGGGTGCTGAGCGTGAGGAGCCAGAGGGTGCGGAGCCTGGATGTGCTGAGCCTGCGCGTGAGGAGCCTGGAGGTCCTGAGCCTGGGGGTGCTGCGTCTGGGGGTGCTGCGCCTGGGGGTGCTGCGTCTGGGGGTGCTGCGCCTCCGTGTGCGGAGCTTGGGGGTGCTGAGTCTGGGGGTGAGTCGCCTGAGGGTTCTGAGACTGCTGCTCCGCGGTCTCCTTGGAGTAGCCGTCTTCGTCCGCGTGTGCCTCTCACCTCCCAGCAGCTGCACGACAGGTACGGTCGCCGCCAGCGTCGCGCTTCTGCACCTCAGGGCTCTACTGTTGGGGGTTCTTCGGCTGGCGACACTGGAGCTGGGAGTGGTGCTGGTCCTTTGCCTGCTGGAGGTGCTGGTGTCGCTGGTCCCGGAGGTGCTCATACTGGGGGTACTGGAGCTGCTGGGGCTGGCGGTGGTGTGTCTGAGGGTGCTGCTGCTGGTGGCACTGCGGTTGGAGACCCTGGGACTGGAGGTGCCGGTTCTGGGGGTGCTGCCCCAGGAGGGGCTGGAGCTGCTGAGGGTGCTGGAGCTGCTGGAGGTACTGGAGCTGCTGAGGGTACTGGAGCTGCTGGAGGTGCTGGAGCTGCTGAGGGCGCTGGAGCTGCTGGAGGTACTGGAGCTGCTGAGGGTACTGGACCTGCTGGAGGTGCTGGAGCTGCTGAGGGTGCTGGAGCTGCTGGAGGTGCTGGAGCCACTGAGGGTGCTGGAGCTGCTGGTGCTGGTGGCACTGCACAGCCGCGCCTGTTCTTTGCTCCGCCGTCTCCGTCGTCTCTGCCACCGCCTGACTCCGTACTTCGCCAGGTTCTTAGCCTCCCGTCGTCTACTGGTCTTCCGTTACAACCTGGATCACCTCTGCCTGCTCCTTCTCCTTACGCTGAGCAGACAGGGGGCCTTGCTGAGCGTCGTGAGCCCGCGTCGCGTCCTGTCTCACCTGTCCGTTCTGGTCGTTCCAGTCGTCGTGTTCCTCGTCAGCGTCAGCCGGCTGTCCCCGGCCCTTCCCTTGTAGTCCGTCGTCCTTCCTCTCCTCCACAGCGTGTTCCTCTGCCGTCTCCTCCTGCGTCTTCTCTGCCAGTCGTTGCGGACCCTGAGTCTAACGGGTTTCGTGCTGAGCACCCTACTGTCACGCGTCTGCTAGCCACTGTTGTCACTGACCCGTCGTTTGAGTCTACTGATGCGTCTGCCTTTGTCGCTGAGCTGGTTGACTTTGCTGCTGCCTATCGTCTAGACTACGCTGCTAGTCTTGTTGCTGAGTCTGAGTCTGTCTGTCCTCCGTCCGTCGGGGGTGAGTGTGCTCTTGGCACGGACGTCCTTGAGGACAGGCAGGAGGACCTTGAGTGTCTTGCCGCCGCTGCGCCTCATCTCGTGGCCATGCTGCTTGCCCCTGAGGGAGACCCGGATGCACCAGACATCCCGACCCCGCGCTCTTACGCTGAGGCGATCGCGGGTGAGTACTCCTCTCAGTGGCAGACAGCCATGGACGCAGAGATGGCATCCTGGAAGTCCACAGGCACGTACGTCGACGAGGTTCCCCCTCCTGGGGCGAACATCGTCAGTGGCATGTGGATTTTCAGGGTGAAGCGGCCGCCAGGTTCTCCGCCTGTCTTCAAGGCTCGTTACGTTGCTCGAGGTTTCAGTCAGCGAGAGGGAGTTGACTTCTTTCAGACTTTCTCCCCCACCCCGAAGATGACCACTGTTCGGGTGCTGCTGCACGTTGCCGCTCAGCCTGACTACGAGCTTCACTCGCTTGACTTCAGCACAGCTTTCTTACAGGGCAGCGTGCACGAGGAGATCTGGCTGCGCCGCCCACCCGGCTTCACTGGGTCGTTCCCTCCTGGTACCCAGTGGAGCCTCCGGCGGCCGGTCTACGGTCTCCGCCAGGCGCCACGTAAGTGGCACGACACACTGAGGACGACACTTGCTGCTCTTGGGTTTGCTCCGTCGACTGCTGACCCGTCGCTGTTTCTACGCACCGACACTTCGCTGCCGCCGTTCTACATCCTCGTGTACGTCGACGACTTGGTCTTTGCCACTGCTGACACTGAGGCTCTCGCCCTGGTGAAGTCGGAGCTGCAGAAGAGACACACGTGCACAGACCTGGGTGAGCTGCGCAGCTACCTTGGCTTGCAGATCACCCGGGACAGAGCACGCCGCACCTTCACACTGACTCAGTCACACATGGTGCAGCAGGTCCTTCAGCGCTTCGGCTTCACCTGGTCCTCAGCACAGCACACTCCTCTGGCTACAGGTCACTTGCTCTCAGCTCCACCTTCGGACGAGTCCGTAGAGCCGAGTGGTCCTTACCCAGAGCTAGTGGGCTGCCTCATGTACCTGATGACCTGCACTCGTCCTGACCTTGCGTACCCTCTTGGCCTTCTGGCTCGCTACGTGGCTCCTGGTCGGCACCGAAAGGTGCACATGGATGCTGCTAACAGGGTAATGCGCTACTTGTGCAGTACATCGGGCATGGGGTTTGTGCTTGGAGGGCGGAGTCCAGTTGTCCTCACTGGGCACTCAGACGCTTCTTGGGTTGACGACCAGGCTACACAGCGGTCGTCACAGGGTTACACGTTCAGCCTTGGCTCCGGCTCTGTTTCTTGGCGGTCTACACGCTCGTCTTCTGTTCTCAGCTCCAGTTGTGAGGCTGAGATCTACCCCACAGCCATGGCTGCACAGGAGTTACGCTGGCTCACCTACCTGCTGACCGACCTGGGAGAGCGGCCTCGTTCTCCTCCAGTTCTGTACGTAGACAACAAGGCCGCCATTGCCTTGTGTCAGGAGCACAGACTGGAGCACAGAACGAAGCACATCGCTCTGCGTTACTTCCTGGCTCGAGAGTTGCAGCAGCGGGGTCAGCTTCGCCTTGCTCACGTGGCCACTCGGGCCAACACTGCTGATATATTCACCAAGACACTTCCGTCTGGTGACCATCAGCGCTTTTGTACTTTGTTGGGCCTTGTGCCTACGTTTCCACACTTGCTGTAGTCTCTGCTTGTACTGTGATCTATATATATATACCTGCATGTTTGCTCTTGCTAGATAGAGATCACTGTGCTGTTCTTGTTGCTTATATACCTCTGCATGTGGACTGGCTTTGTGGCCGTTTGCTTGTGCTCAGTGTGTGTGGTGACGTTGTGATCCACCCTGAGCTGTGTTTTGTTTCTTCTCTTGACTGGTCTTGTGACCGTTGCTTGCTCTGGCTATCCCCCATTTCGCCTATGGGGGTGTGTCAAAACATATGCATATTATCATCTAGGCTATATTGGGGCTAGCCTTAGGGGGTACAGAAACTTTCTCGACACTCTAGTCTTGTACCCCAACCTTGACCTAATCATGCATTCCCTTGCCTTAGGGTACATTCCGCTGTGGACACATGTCCCAATCGATTTGTCCCAATCGAGTGTACCGCTCGGAACCGAACTAAACCAGAGACGCGAAAATTTCGAAACTAGGGTGCAATTTGGTGTAATACGATGCAGTGCGGTAGAAACGATTGGGACACATCGATTGGGACATGTGTCCACAGCGGAATGTACCCTTCCGCGTGTCGTCCGCGAAAGGTGTCGTCCGCGAAAGGTCCTCCCACCTCCTTCAGCATCGGCCTAGGCGTCGCCGGCTCCGAATGGTGACTTTTGGACGCAGAATCACGAGCTTCATTGTCCGTACGCCTGCTCACTGGCTGAGCAGCCTTCTTCGGCTGGCGCGGCATGGTGCGATGATGACAACAGCCAATACTGAAGCCAGAGAACCGTGACGAGAAAGGGCCTGATGAGCCTGACTAGCTAGTTCTGAGCACCAACTTCTTATAGGCCCGTCGCTTAGGCCTTGCCTTTTTCCTTGGTTGCCTTTGCCTGGAAGGCCTGACCTTGAGATGAAGGCGACCCTTGATACGTGTGTTCCGCGATGAAACCTTAGCTCGACCCTTGGTAATGCTCAACGTTGGACAAGTCAGCCTCGAGACACTCGTCTGGCATTCAAACCTAGGAACTGTCACCGGAAGAAAAGGGAAGCCTGACAATGAACCATAGAATACCATGCTCGCCATTTGAGCACGAAATTAGTATCCTCGTGTTCCTCTTGTCATGTAGACCCCGAATCCGTTAATTAAAAAAGCAACTGGTAAGAAACTGATAGACATTGGTCGTATCAAAGGTGCCTGACAATATCCATGGCGGAGAGCTAGCAGCAGAGATACCAGCTTGGTTAGTTTTGTACTATGCTAAGGGTTGGAAAAGGAACTCTGCTACACTATAAATGACCAACATAAATGACCAATATTGCTTGACATTCTCTGCACTTCTTGATGTGAATCTTATAACCAAACATCACTGAACGTTGGACATTTTTCCAGCTAAGGACATGCAAGAACAACAAGCAACCTCCAAGAGCCAAGTAGTACGGTAAGTCCTCAGGCTGGACGAAGGCCAACAGCTAGTAGTGGTGCCAGGAGGAGAACTAGAAGACATCAGGATGGAAGCGGCCTGACATAGCTGCATGGTTCACAGCATCATTGGCTTGGCGAAGGTGGAGGTTGAGGGCATAGTTAGCCACCTGCACATCAAACGAGAAAAGGGTGAGAACTTTGTCAGTTGCAAAAAACGACGCCAATGCAAAGAAGAAATCCATCAACGTTGAAGGTATGAAAACATATTAGATTGGTTCAGAGCATAGCTTACCTCCAGCTTGTGCACTTGTTCTTGATACTGGGCCAGCGCTTGTCTCAACCTCCCAACCTCCTCGTTCTGCGCCTGATGCTCCTTCTGCTTCTCGTGCTGGATCGCCACTGCTCGCTTCAGAATCTGGTTCTCCTTGCTCAATACACCCACCTGCTGCTGCAGCACTTGAACTTCTGAAGCTGATTGACGTGCCTGCAGACAGAAGCAAAGGTGAAAAAAAATACATTTAGACTCGAGAGTACCTTGAAAACGGCTCGCTGTAAAAAAAAATGTATCCTTCAGAAATGGACATGTACGAATCCGAACACTCAGGCTTTCTGCGTACCTGTTCAGCGTGAATTGCAAAAGCAGTCGATTGATCTGGCTGCTTAGCATCCACAGCCTCCTTCTCAAAAGCTTGCAGCACAAGTAACGCCTTCTGTCGAGCGTCGTCCACGTTTACTGCTGTCATCATCTCCCGCACTGCTGCGTCTGCCCATTTAGCAGTCAGACCAGCCGACTCCGCTCTCTGTGCTTCATCTGCGACTGACTTTCGTGCATCAGCTTCGGCTGACATGCGATCAAATGATGTGCATCCATGATTGCCTGAATGAACGAATGGAGTCTGCGATGGGCAAACTTCCAGGTTAGATCTATCCTGTAATTCTTCCGCGCCTCCAAATGAACCTCCAATTCTCGGATCTGACGCGAAAGCTCCATCTGATTCCTGCTGCTGCTGCTGCTGGATTGGTGTCTGCTGGAATGGATTTGCAGACGAAGGAACCTTGTAAGCAGATGTTTGATGACTGCGCCTGGTTCTTTTCGTCAGCGGAGGGGAGGGGACGTAAACGCTGTCGTCGAAAACCGATCTCTTTCCACAAACAAGTGCCGACATGATGATTGAAAGCGAAGCTCACAGAACAATATCGGCAACTCGAACTACTAACGTTCTATCAAATTAACTGCGCATAGCTTTGATGAATGTTATTAATAGCACATATGAAACGCAAAAAAAGGAGCTCGATGACAGTTCTTAGCTCAGCCGGATATCTGGGATGCTTCAATCTGAGCTTTCATCTGTGTGATGGCTGTATTTGAAGGACTCTGGCCTTGGGTGTGGGATAGATGATGCCTTGCTTCACGATGGTTCTGGTTGGGTTGTGCGTGATTTGCTTGTTGCTGGTGGATGGTGGTGAAGTGGTTCGGTTCGGTGAGGTGATTTGCCAAGGAGCAGCTGGAGATGCGAGGGATGCGTGAGAGCAGAGCATCATACAAGGCATCACATTCACGTTTCTCTCGCTCCTAGTGTGGTGTTCTGTTCTCTCTGTCATGCACAAAACCGGGCAGGAGGAGCTGACTTGACGGAATGGCCCCCATACTGACGGGAAGGCGTACAGTCTTGCAGGTGGGGGGGGGAAGCTTGATGATTGATTGGAGGAAACTAACTGACGACCGTCATGGCATGCCATGCGCTGCAATCCGCCCGAACCACACGGGCTGGTGGTGAAGCTGTTGTCCCGTCCCTGGGAGTCGCGGTGCCGTCAACGGATGTGGTTCGAGAAACTGGCGGGAAACGCTGGTTAGCCGTTTGACACTCGTGTGGCAACCACCCACAATCAAGAACTGCGTTTCCGAAGCAGGTACGTACTGCAGAAGAGGCTAGGAATTGCAGTTCTATGAGGGATCCGAACTAGGTCGGATCTACAGTGCAGCTGGGGTTCAAACTTGGAACAGGCAAGGAGATTCCCGGTTTTGGTGTGGATATCGATTGACTGCGTCTCGCGTGAAACCAAGGGCAAACTCCCGCAACTGTCATTTCGACACAATGTGTTCAGGACGCGGTAAAAGTGCCCGATCGGGGGAAATATCGATCCTTTACCACTGTAATCCCGCTTTTCACATACAAAAATTACAGAAACTATTACCACCGCGTCAGAAAACAAAGCTGAGGCGATCGAACCAACACTTCTACCGCGTCCTCAGTACGTTGTTTGATACGACTTTCGCACTGCATGGCCTTAGCGCTGTTCTTTGATTGTATCACTGCAGGCTTGACTGTCCTTCCATGAGCATGCTAGATGGTCTGCTCTGCAGCAGTCCAGGGCTGTCTAACATTTCCACGAGAAGTATTTTCAAGCAACGCACCAAGCAAACTGCCTCTTGTCCAGGCGTGAACTTCCTCTCCGTTTGATCAACATCGGCGCGATGCCTCACGCTTTGGGTCCGCCTTCGAGTATCTGTGCTCATTTTACAGCTAAGAGTTTCAAACACAATATAGGTCTCAGTTCCACTTCGAACCTAGCTCTTTCTCCGCGGGTTCAGGCAGAGCGCGAAGTCGAATCAAGAGGTTTCATCTCGACCGTCCAGATTCCGCGGGCTCAATCATGGCCGTGGGGTCCGGCTTCGGTAGATAGCAATACAAAATCCGTTGTAGAGGGACGCGCTGCAGTCACGGAACCTGCATTACCCGGAAGGAGCCGCGCAAATGGCGCTACAGTGAAGTCCTCGCGAAGTATTCAACATCCAGCAGAAGCTGCTCCAAGACAAAGTACCACACGGATCATTTCTGGAAATGACGCTCCTGAGAATGCCAAATCGAGTCCAGCTAATGGCTCCGCAGGTAGTCCAGCCGCGGAAAGTCGTGTGGTTGGTTCGGCCGGACCTGAGGCCCAGTCAGGCTCGGCTGCAGCAGTGGAAAGTAACGGGGTCGCTGGAGGTCGCAGAAGAAGGAGAAAACAGCCGATTTCGGACAGACTTGCGAATGCTGAATCAGGAGCTGGGCGCGGGACAATTATCGGGTCTGCTAATAACGGACGCAGAGGGTCGACTGCATTAGACGTGAACCGGCGGCTGACTTCCAACGCTGTGTCGCAGCCGTTGGATGATTCAGTAACCGCGTCTCAGCCGTTGGATGTGTCTGATCCTAGGGTTTGGCTCCCTCCGCCGCCAGACGTGCCCAGGCCTCGAGCGACTCACAACGCAGCCATGCTGGCGTATATCGGGGATGGAATATATGAAGTGAGTCGTCGAGTAATCTGGTATTGTTTTCAGAAACAATCGTTTTTTTAGACGCTACTGGTTATGTTCACGCGCCTGAGCGAATTGTTTTTGGTAGGGCCAGTCTGTGCACGCCCAAATGCAGCCATATTGACTCAACCCTTTCACAGTCGGACTTTATATTGACGATTCAATTGACGGGAGTCGGGACTCCTGGTACTCGTGCTGTTTCCTTCTATTTTTTCCCCCTTTCTCTTGCTCTTCAGCCCCACCTCCTTTCCGCCCTCTCCCCCTCAGGATATCTTTTCCCTCTCTTCCTCTCAACCCCCAATGTTCTGATCAGTCCTCTCATTTACTTCTCCCTTTCGTCCTTCCAACTCCTGTTCCCTGGTATACACTCCGTTTTGTTTTCTCAGGTACTTGTGCGCAGCGCTTCTGAAAAACACCTCACCTGCTATTGTCGCATTAGTGACCCTCCAACTTGTCCTTCCTCCCGTCGTTCTTTCCTTTTCCTCAGCTGTATGCACGACGCCACTTCTTGAACCCCCCGTCTGCTATCGCCACATACTGCCAACGGGTCACAGCTGTTGTCTGTTGTGAGGCTCAGGTGAGATTCGGTTGCCTTAACACACAAGTGTGAGTATGTGCATGCGTGTGCGCCCACCCTCCAACCTTCTTCTTTTCCCCCACCCACAAACACGCAGGGAAATTTACAGATTCACATAGATCAAATGACAATTCCCATACCGCCAACAGTTGCATGAGAGGCCCAGATGGGAACTTACTGATTAGTCTTTGGTCCGCACATGCATTGGGTGCTTTGAGTCGACTTAATACTCATCAGTGCACTGCACACATGCATTCGTCGCTTGCAGGATGCTTTGCTGCGGCGACTGACCTCCTCGAAGATGCTCACAGAGGAGGAAAGGTACGTGCACGCATGCATGTGTGTGTGAGTCCCAGGAATGCTGTGGGTGTGGGGGTATACCATGGTAACTGATGCTTTTTCTGTGGCGACTGACCTCCTCGAAGATGCTCACAGAGGAGGAAAGGTGCGTGCATGCATGCATGTGTCCGTGTCTGACTCTCCTTCTGTGATTTTCTTCATATGCATCTGGGCTGGGCCCATTGGTACGATTTATACATATGTAAACCTAGATTCCTTAAGGATGCTGTGCAGATACCATGCAATGACTGAACACTCCTTAGCCACAGGAGTGTAAAATGGTGAGTGATGCCCCTAACTAGCTGATTTTGTCTGTAACTGTGCGGTGGGATACGGTGCCATGCTGCAGGGACGTGGTGCGGTGGGGAGGCAACGCCTCAACGGGGGCTAGGAAGGCTAAGGGGAGGGCTGGATCAACTGTGTATGCCAACGCCACTGCACTCGAAACACTGGTGAGTGATGAGACTCTCGTCTGGCTGCTTGAATGTATTCAGGTGACCTTGAGAATACACAATAGTACTCAAAAGCCAAGGGAAGGGCTGGATCTACTGTGTATGCAAACTCCACTGCACTCGAAACACTGGTGAGATATGTCTCTCGTTTGGTTGCTGTTGGAATGATTCGGGTGACCTTTGAGTCGATTTAAAGGTCACCGGGATTCTGGATCCACTGTGTATGCTACTAACCGTTACAGCGCTTGAAACACTGCTGAGTGGTGAGGTGACTGATATGGCACTGCGCTTGGTAAAGGACTTGGCGCTGTGGGAGGCAACGCCTCCACGGGGGCTAGGAAGGTCAAGGGGAGGGCTGGACCCACTGTCTATGCCAACGCCACTGCGCTTGGAACACTCGTGAGTGTGACTCATGTCATGTGACTGCTGTTGGATTAACCCATGCATGCCAACAACAGCAATTGGAGCATGTGCAGTCACTACGTACAGTTTGATTCTCCTCTGCCCCAGGCTGACTTCCTTTTGTGCTGTGTTTTGTATCCCCTTGAGGTTTATTGGTCGGGGAGGCTGATGTTCACATTTTTTTGTGAAGTGTTGTGTTTTGTGTTTTGTTTTTTTTTCCTTGCCCTTCTCAGATTGGCTTCCTGTACCTCACCAATCCTTCCCGCCTGGAACACCTGATGTATAAGCTGGGCTTTGTGTGTGATGCCTCTGATCTGCTCCTCCCTTCGCACGCAAAGCGCCAATAGGAAAAAATAATACCGATGCTTTTATTCCCACTTGTTTATGATGTGCTTACTTGTTTGTTTTAAGAGTCTAATCTAATGTCATTGCGTTTTGTAGTCTAAAATTTTAGTGCTGAGATATTCAACTTATATCAGCTCAGTCCTCATCCTCGATACGTGTCCCGCCTAAAGTTGTTAACGAATCAGCCCTTCACAAAAGCAAGCCGACAGGAATCCACAAACCCATTCCGCCGACTCGTCCTATGACGCGGTTCCACCTCCTCCAGCGGTTCTGCCGCAGTGGATCGTGCCGCGATACCCGCCACGGTGGTGTCGCCACCGGAGTCTGGAACCGCGTGATCCGTCCCGAAAGCACGGAATGCACTAGTGGTGCCGCTACCAGCGCCAGCAGCTCCGGTTTTCGTGGTGTCTGCTCCACCATTAGGATCAACGGCTGTGATGACGGAGCAGGGCTGATCAGTGGATCTGGACCGTCCAGATGGGACCATCGGCATCAGGCTGGCCAGTTGAGCACGATCAGATTCGAACTGTTTCCGCGAGTCGAATCTTCTGATCGCGAATCTTGTGACGAGCCTAACATAGCCGATCCACGTCAGCATAGGACCGCGTCGCTAGTCTCGTCTGATTTTCACGCCGCCAGTTACGCATTAGAGGGTTCTTCCACGAGGAAAACGGCAACGGCTGCATTCTCCGCCCCCCAGTTCCATTTTTCCGCGCCACCACCGTATTCCGCCTCTTCCGCCACCCCGCTTCCCCCCTTCCGCTCCGCCGCCTCCCCTTCCGCCCCGCCCCATCTCGCCTTCTTTCGTTCCGCTTCCGCAACGTCCTCCATTCCGCGTAGCGCACCAGGAAGCTTCGCCTTCGCAGCCGCTGGGTTTCACTCCTCTGCTGCTTCCGCGAATGGCGCCGCAGTCGGCGGCGCCTCCGGCTCTAGCACTAGCGACGAAAGCACCAGCCAAAATGCAGCCAGCGAGTCCGTTTTGTCTGACGTGCCTCTTCCCTCTGGTGCTGACGTCAGCGGTGCGGTGTTAGGCGACGGTGCCGCTGACGTCATCAGTGCTGCCACGTCAGACGTGGCGGTGACGGTGGGGTCTGAGCTGGCAGCGGCGGCGGCGCATTGCTCGGCGCCCATTGCCGCGTTGCAGCAGCTGATTGCTGCAGTGCATGACGTGGCAGGCCTGCCCTGGTGAGTGAGTGACGTGTCATGTGGTAATTCGGTCTTGGCCAAAGCATTGCGCATGACGTGGCAGGCTACAGTGGGTGTCCTCCTTTATAAACCTCTAATTATAATCACCATAGCAGCAATGGCAATGGGAATCAAGCTAGCCTTTACAGCCCATTATTGTCACCCTCTCGTTATAATCGCATCACAGGTGGCTTTCTATAGCAGCAGCAACGGGCATCAGGCTCATCCTGCTGCCTGCATTCATCAACAGAACCGTTGCATTATAATGAAACAGACATTTTTGCAACCTCTTTTTTGTGTAATCACAGGTGGCTCTCCATAGCAGCAGCAACGGTGGGAATCAGGCTCATCCTGCTGCCTGCATTCATCTACCAAGTCAGATCAACGGTCAAGATGGCGGTGAGTCAGCATTGGTGGGGTGTGTGTGAGTCAGCATTGGATGTGAGTTAAACGAAAATGGCATGTGCATGCATGCATGCACTCTTGGGATCCATCTAGTTGCGAGCTGCAGCAAAACATACAACGTGACAAAGTTGAGTTTTGAGACGTCTCAAAACAAAACATACAACATTTAATCATCTAACGTCCAACCATGCTCCTCATCCCCATCGCTCCTTACGTTCTGCATTTGACTCCCCATGCCTTTTTCTTGCATCTACCCCTCTTTTTTTCCTATTCTACCGTTCCTTTCACCCCCTTGCCATTTCCCTCTGTGTCCGTTTTTTGAGAATTCTCGCGAGTATTTTTTGAGAATTCTCAAAAAACACTCAAAAAACACTCGAGAATTCTCAAAAAACTCTCTCTGCCTCCCTCTGCCTCCCTCCAATCCCAACCCAAAACCCCACCCAACCGCACCCCACCCCTCCCTCTCAGCTCATCAAGCCGGAGATGGAACGACTGCTGAACAAAGTCCAAGCCGCTGGAGTCAATTCCCCCTCTCTCTCTCAAACTCTCTCTCTTTGCCTTGGATTGCAACCCACCCGACCCAACCGCTCCCGACCCCACTTGTCCCTATCAGCTCATCAAGCCGGAGATGGAGCGACTGTTGAGCAAAGTCAAGGCCGCTGTGTTTGATTCCTTATTTCCCTCTGCGCTCACTCTCCCTCTCTTCCCTGGATTCCAACCCACTCAACCCAACCGCACCCTACCTCTCCCTTGTATCAGCTCATCAAGCCGGAGATGGAGCGACTGCTGAACAAAGTCAAGGCCGCGGTGAGTATTCCTCCTCTCCCCTCGTCTCTCTACCTTGCTCCTCCTACCTTATATACGTGTAAATTAGCTAGTCCCTCGCCCAGCTTCCTACATAACGCGTCAGTTACTTGCCCTCCGACCCCAGCTCTCCAACACTTCAAAATGTGTTTTTTCCCAACCTCCTCCCCACCTCCTCCGCTCCTCCCCACTTCAGCCTGATGCACCGCATGGGCACAACACAGAGGCAGTGACTACATTGGGCTGGCAGGATTCACTTTAAATGGCAATGGCACCACAGTGACTCATCGCAATGGCAAGGAGTTTTTGAGAATTCTCAAAAACTCCCTGCAAGAATTAAACCTCAAGCTGTATCGCTCCTCCTCCCCTCCTGCCCATCTCCCCACCTGATGCACTGTGTGGGTAGGTACGACACAATGACACTGACTCACTGCAATGGTCTGGCAAGAGGATGTTAGAGCTACGCCTCAAATCGTTTTCCCCCCTCGTCCCCTCTCCTCCCAACCTCCTCCGCTCGTCCACTCCTCCCCTCCTCCCCCTGTCTTCACCCTGATGCACTGTAGGGCTACGACACAGAAGCAGTTGCTCACTACAATGGCAAGATGCAAGCACTGCTGAAGAAGTAGGTGTTACGTATTGGCATTGTTTACGAGTTGCAACTGAATGTAGGCTTAGTACGTGGCTCTTCTACCGGTTGCTAGACAGGTAGTTTTGTTCTTTCTTTCTTTTATTTTTCTCTTACAGCACCACGCCCTTTGTCCCTCTGCTCTATTTTTCATTTCAATCCCAACCTTCTCTCCGTCTCTACCTTTCCCCCTCTCAGGCACAACACCAGTCCCTTTGCTCCTCTCCTCCGGATCTTCCTGCAAGCGCCCATCTTCATCAGCTTCTCCCCACTTTCTATTCCCGCTGCACCCTGCTTCTCCCCTTTCAATGCTGTTTTCTCCCCATCCCTCCCCCCCCCTCAGGCACAACACCAGTCCCTTTGCTCCTCTCCTCGGGATCTTCCTGCAAGCGCCCATCTTCATCGGATTTTACTTTGCTGTACGCTTGTATTGTCGCTTGCACTTGCTCCCTCCCCTTCATTCGTTGCTGTTGCACGCTTGTTTCACTTTCTCATCACTGGCTGGGCTAGCCTTCATCTCGCTCATAGCCATACCAGCTTAGCCTCACGAGCTTTGCTCCTCTCCTCGGGGTCTTCATCGGCCTTGTTGCACGCTTCGTGCACTTGCTCTTGTTCTCCCCCCTTCATCACTTGCTTGCACTTGCACACTTTCGCTTGCACACTCACTCTACGCATGTAGCAATGTGCACACTCGTCGAGTATCCACTTGCACACTTGCGCTTGCACTTACGTGTGTACACGTGTTTGCCAATGCACGTGTGTGCTTGCGTCTCTCAAAAGTCGCTGTTCTGCAAGCACCTCTTCTCATCAGCTTTTGCTCTGTCTCCTGTATACCTGCCTTTGCACTTGCTCCTGCTTGCACCACTTGTGAGAATTCTCGAAAGTAAATTTGCTGTCTGCTTGCCCTTCCAAATGCCTTCTCATCCTCCCTCTCTTCCCCCCCTCTCCCCCTTCACTTCTCTCCCCCTGGGATCACAGGCATGGCGGAGCACATGCCCTCCATCCTTCACAACAGGAGGGTTCACCAACCTCACCTACCTGCTCTCACATCCTCGCCCCTTCTTCATCCCCCTTCCACCCCAATTCGCTCCTCTCCTCGCGGATCAGAGGCACGGCAGAGCACATGCCATCATTCATGCCAACCTCACCACACCCTAAACCTTAAACCCGAAACCCTCTCCCTCTCGTCCTCTCCCTTGGGCTGCACAAGAATGGCGGAGCACATGCCATCCTTCACAATAGGCGGGGCCTTCTGGTTTACCGACCTCACCAATCCCTCTCCTCTTCCCTCTCCCTCCCCCTCCCCCTTGTCCAGATCACAGGTCTGGCAGAGCACATGCCGTCATTTGCAACGGGAGGGGCTTTCTGGCTCACAGACCTCACCACACTTTTGAGGCGCCTCAAAAGTCACCACACCGGACACCACCTACATGCTATCACATCTCCCCCCTCTCCTCCCACCCTTCACTTCACTCAGATCACAGGCATGGCAGAGCACATGCCATCGTTCACAACGGGTGGGGCCTTTTGGTTCACCGACCTCACCACACCGGACACCACCTACCTGCTGCCTCTCATGTCCTCTGCTGGCATTCTAGCAGCAGTAGAGGTGAGTTTGCTGCAGGTCAGAGCTTGTGGGAATGATGAGCACGCTCTGCATGTCAGCAAGCACGTGCTTCATGGCTTCGTGGAATGAATCTCACGGATCTCACCTCGCCCCACCTACCCGCTGCCCCTCATGTCCTCTGCTGGCATCCTGGCTGCTGTGGAGGTGAGTTGGTCTCTGGGGAGTGTTAGGGAATGCGCATGCCCGACCATACTTGGTCACCAACCTCACCTAAACTCATTTCACCTCACCCCACCTCACCTCACCCCACCTCACCTCACCCCACCTCACCTCACCTCTCCTCGCCTCACCTCACCTCACCTCACCTCACCTCACCTCACCTCACCTCACCTCACCAAGCAGGTGAAACAGTCGTCTCATTCCTACTACGCCTATTTGTTTGATCTCTGAGTCATGGATCTCCCAAGCCTCAAATGACAGCTGTCATTGCAGCTGAACGCAGCAGAGGGCATCGAGGGATCGCCCAATGCAGCCCAGATGACCTGCTTCCCTCCTTGCATTGTGTGCCCCAACCCAACCCGCCTCTGCGCCCCCCTCTCCCTTGCACCCCCCTCTCCCTTGCACCATATGCGGCCCCTTTGTGTTGTATTGTTGTATTCCAGCTGAACGCAGCAGAGGGCATGGAGGGAGCACCCAATGCAGCGCAGATGAAGTGGTTTATGCGAGGGCTTGCTGTGACCATGGTGCCGCTTACTGTCACCTTCCCTAAGGTAACGCATGTCTGCTTAATGTCACCTTCCCTGAAGTAACTTTCTCTCACTCTGTCACGCTCCTTGCTGTCACATTCCCCAAGGCAAGTTGTTTTGAGGCGCCTCTAAGGCATAGCAGCGCAACTGAAGTGCGTCATGAGAGGATTGGCTGTAAACCATGGTGTCGCTTACTGTCACGTTCCCTAAGGCTGTACACTGCCATGCCACTCATGTCACATTACATACACTGACGTGGTTACTTGCTGTCACGTTCCTTTAAGGTAACTTGTTCTGAGTCGCGTTAAAGGTAGTGCAGTGCTGATGGTTTATGAGGGGAGTGGCTGTGACTATGGTGCTGCTTACTGTCATGTTCCCTAGGGTAGCATCAATTGTGATGTTTGCTAGATATGCACATGTGTTCCTGTGCTCATTCATTGTCAGTAAACCTAATGTATTCATATGTATTCTTGCAGTGTGCTTTTTTCTTCAGTGCGTTGGTTTTGTTCTTCTTCTTCTTAGATTATTCTTAGCTGCCTTGTGTATTACTGTTTTTTTTTGCTGCAGGCTGTGTTTTGCTACTGGATCACCACCAACGTCTTTTCTCTTGTCCAAGGTCTTGGTACGTGCTTAGTGATGATTGTGCTTGTATAATTTGGCTGAGTCAGATATTCGTCATACACCTTACGTCATTCGCAATATAGCCTCTTTTCTTCTTTTTTTTGGTGCTCCCTTGTGGTCCTTGTTTGGTGTGAATTGATTACCTTGTTGTCGTTCACTTCCCTACTAACATCCAATTTCTTTCTTTCACTGTCTCTTTCTCAGGTCTTAAGCGCCCCGGGGTGAGGAAGGCTCTTGGGATCCCTACTCTTAAGCCTCCGTCATCTAATGCGTCTCCTGGAAGTGCCTCCTTGGGATTACCCGTAACGCAAACATCCGCTCTTCCGCCTAAAGAAGCTGCAACAACGAGAGGGAACACAAAGAGACCACCGTCAAAACGGAGAACAAGGTGATGCAGTGGAATTAGTACGACTTCTCTAGCATTTGTGGTATTTTTTCCTGTGGATAAAATATTTTTGTAGAATTATTGCAATCTCACCGTCTTGTAGAATTTTTGTAGAATTGTTCCGCCTTGGAAGGGTCGCACGTTTCTAATTAGAAATATCGGCACTTCTTATCGGGAATGGTGTATCATCAAGGCATTCGGCTGCCGTGTCATCAAGGCATTTGCCTGCCACGTCATCTCGATACTTTTGAAGCTCGAGTACATCGAAGAAGATCTCCCAAGGCGAAGGAAGAAGGTACAGTACGTGTTCGTAACTAGTGGGCCGCGAGAAGGCGCAGGGAAAGACACGCAATGAGAAAATGATACAAAGCTGCTCTGAACAGCTTGAATACGACACAAAGCACTTCCAAACTTCTGTGCACGCCTCTGATCCATGTGCTCGGCTGTACTGACAGGCAGAAAAATAACCGGTAAACACGCCCGCGCACATTCTGATCTCAGAAAATTCCGTGAGTGAGGCTAGCATCAAGCTGTTCCCAAGGTGTGTGAACTTATATCATCACCATCACCACCACACCTCAGTCTCCAGACAGACTCAGCTCTACTGATTTGTGGTCTCAGGCTAGGCGGAGTTCCCCAGGGGATACATAGCCTAGCAGTCACTTCACTCACCACCACTAACCAGCAGAATTATAGAGACTGCTTTCGTCTTCGTGGGTGTGGAAAAGTTTCAAGACTTATCAGAAAAAGCACCTTACGTGTACGCGAGATTGATCGAATTAGGCTCGTGAAGGAACAGAGCTCAGGAAATAAAATATCATCTACGCGTTCGATACTAAATCTTTCCTGTCCGCACCATTTCTTCCTTGCTGAGAACTTTAGCAAAGGATGGCATTGCTAAGAGCGACCGGCTTGCGACTGCGGCTAAACGTCAGCACATCATTACAATGCGTAAGTGCCACCGTCGAATGAGGTTCCTCCAATCCATCTCATTTCTTTCCGTTCACACCTTCTGATACGAAGCTGAAGTTACGCAAGCGGTTTTCTTCCTTTCGTTTGGGAAATATTCATTGGACGGACCTCCACCGCGTTTTGGGGGTGCTTGATAGGAGGGACAGCCTCCCTTGCTACTCTTCAATAGATTAAGTTGCAATGCTCCCCTCTTTCCAGTCACGCAGACGGCCATCGTCCTTGTCACGCCTTTCTATAGTCACATGCCAACTGGGCGATTCAAACGAGGGCGGGGAGTCCGTAGTGGCTCGGCCATTCGAGGCTGAGACGGAGGCTCGGGAACAAGCCAGGCTCGCAGCTTCGGATCCGAACCGACGATACCAGGTGCGAGCAGCAGCTGCATTCTGACCGAACGAGAAGGCTCTACATGGCGGCAACTCCATGTGCTTTCTTTCAGCGTGAATAATGCAAGTTTTAAATGATTAAAATTATTCAACTGCAGACGCGCTCACTGTTTGATTACAGATAGTCTGAGACATATGCTCATTTTCAAAGCCACCACTCTCAACTACTCCCGACCGTTGCAGGAGATGATGCAACGGAGGGAAGAGAGCCGACAACAGACCATGCGAGAGTACGGCGATGTGAGTCACTCTTGGAAGCCTGAGCCATGTTTGTTCCAAATAATTAAGACATTCTTAAAAGCGTGAGCCAAATCCATTTCAAAGTCTTCGAGTCACCCTTGAAAGCGCGAGTCGCTATTCTCTTTCATCTCTGCCTCCCCAACCTCCTTAGTTTCCTCACTTTCCAAATCATCCGCCCGTTTTTTCCTGTACCAGCTGAAGAAGCAGTTGTCTCAGACGGCTATAGGAGTGGGGGCTGCAGGCACGCTCTACTGCTTCCTCGGAATCTCCATTCAGGTGAGAAAGTGTGAGGGTGTCTGAGAGTGTGTGCTTGCTGTGTGTGTTGGCAAGTGTGTTTGGGGGTGTTTTGGCGATTGCTTGCTTGGGAGATTGTGTGAGTACGAGTGGGTGTGTGTGTGAAAACGGGGGACGAAAGGAAAACGAGTGTGTGTGAGTGTGGGTGGCCGACCTCCGCGAGTGTGAATGCGAGTTTCATGGAATAGTTTGGCTTATCAAGTACAGAGGCCGGGCTCGACCAGGTTCTAAAACGCCTCGAAACAAAAACGTTTCCATTACCCCCCCCCCCCCCCCCCCCTCCCCCCGCCCCCCACAAAAAAAAAAAAAAAAAAGCCAACCCCCCCAAGAAAAAGAAAAAAAACACCATCCCTCCCTTGTTCTTCCCATGCGCCTCGTCCCATCCATACTACAGACTGCCATCAGCTATGGCATCGGAAGCGCTGCCAGGTATTTCAGACTGGGTATTGATGATGGGGGAGGAAGGGGGGGGGGGGGGGTGGGAGGGGAGGGAAAGGGATGCGGGAGGGGAGAGGTGAGAGTGTCAGCGTCCCCACTGACTGAATCTAGCCCGCTGGTTATCGCTCGAGGGTTTCACTTGCCGATTGAGGGTTTAGGGTGTCGCTTCAGGGTATTGAATGTAGCTTTGAGATTTGGGTGTAGCTTGAGGGTGTTGGGCGTTGCACGAGGGTTTTGGGTGTTTCTCGGGGTTTTGGGTATTTCCCAGGGTTTTGGGTATTTCTCAGGGTTGGGTGTTTCTCAGGGTTGGGTGTTTCTCAGGGTTGGCTGTTTCTCAGGGTTGGGTGTTTCTCAGGGTTTTGTGTGACGCTTGAGGGGTTTGGGTGGCCCATTATCCCATTATCCCATGTTCCTATCGTCCTTCTCCCATTATCCCAAATTGTTTTCTCCCCCTTGCTCGTTACCGCCCTTCTCCCCCTTGCCCGTTACCACCCTTCTCTTCAACCCCCCCTACCGCCCTTCCATTCTTCTCCCCTTTCCCCCTTAACGCCCTTCCACCCTTCTCCCCTTTCCCCCTTACCGCCCTTCCACCCTTCTCCCCTTTCCCCCTTACCGCCCTTCCACCCTTCTCCCCTTTCCCCCTTCCCGCCCTTCCACCCTTCTCCCCTTTCCCCCTTGCCGCCCTTCCACCCTTCTCCCCTTTCCCCCTTACCGCCCTTCCACCCTTCTCCCCTTTCCCCCCTACCGCCTTTCCACCCTTCTCCCCTTCCCCCCTACCGCCCTTCTACCCTTTTCCCCTTTCCCCCCTACCGCCCTTCCACGCTTCTCCCCTTTCCCCCCTACCGCCCTTCCACCCTTCTCCCCTTTCCCCCCTACCCCCCTTTTCTTCAACCCCCCTACTGCCCTTCTCCCCATTCTCCATATCGCCCTTCTCCCCAATCCCCTTTTTCGCCGTTTTCCTTTTCCCCGTCGCCCCCTATCGCCCTCTCCTTCACACCCACCTGCCTCTACCTGCTGCTTCTATTCAGTGACACCATCACCCCTGAGGGCCTGCCTCCCGCCTTCCTTCCTGCTCACCCCTCCTCGCCCTTTTCCCCCGATCTCCCTTCTCCCTTCTCCCTTCTCCCTCCCACACCCAGCTGCCTCTACCTGCTACTGCTATTCAACGACACTGACACCATTGCCCCAGAGGACCTGCCTCCCACCTTCCTCACCCTCTACTGCCTGCCTCCCCATCTCTCCCTTTTGCCCATTCTCCCTTATCCAGCTGTCTCTACCTGCTACTGCTATTCAACGACACTGACACCATCGCCCCAGAGGACCTGCCTCCCAAACCCCCTCTGCTTCGGCCTTCTCCCCCTCCCCTTCCCTCCCACACCCAGCTGTCTCTACCTGCTACTGCTATTCAACGGCACTGACACCATTGCCCCTGAGGACCTGCCTCCCGCCTTCCTTATTGACCGGAACAAGCCCAAGAGGTGAGACGGGGTGAGGCAGGTATGGCACCGGGTGAGAAGGAATGGGAAGGGGTTACATGGGGTGAGAAGGGGTGAAGGGGGTGAGAGGGAATGTGAGGGGGTGAGGGGGGGTGAGAGGGGATGAACTGGGCAGCGACGGTAAACAGGGATGAGACGCACATAACCCCCCATACCCCCATTCCCTGACCGTCCCCTACCCACCCCCCCCTCACCCCTTAGGCGGGGTGAGAATGGGTGAGAAGGCCTGGGATGGGATGAGTCAGGGTGAGGCGGGGTGAGTTGGGGTGGGAGTGGGTGGGACAGAAAATGGAGGACGTTTCAGACGCATTAAGCAGCCCAGACATGAGATATTTCTGCACCCATCCAAACACCTTCACCCTCATAACCACCTCTCACTTACCCTCCTCACCTCACCACCACTTTCTTGGCTGTCCTCTAACCATGCCTTACCACTCTCCCCAGGAAAGGACCTTTGAGACGTCTGAAAAGTAAACTCCTCACCACCACTTTCTTGGCTGTCCTGTTCTCAAACCATGCCTTCCCACTCACCCCAGGAAGTCCGCGTGCGTTGAGGTGTATTTTGAGGCGCCTCAAAATACCACCTCTCACTTACCCTCCCCTCCTCACCACCACTTTCTTGGCTGTCCTCTAACCATGCCTTCTCACTCTCTCACCACCACCACCACCTTCCTAACCATGCCTTCCCACTCACCCCAGGAAAGGGCTGGTTGACAGCCTAGCATGAGTGGATTGGATTCACCCCAGAAGCTGCTCGCCCTCTCCTCTCAATGTCCCTCTCTCCCGCATACTCACCTCCTACCCACTCCTCCCGCTCACATGAAGGGCCTGGTTGACAGCCTGGAAACAGTTGATTCGCCACAGAAGCTGCTGCAGGGAGCTCAGCTTGCCCTCCCCTCTCAATGTCCCTCTCTCCCACATTTTCACCGTCTACCCAACCGTCCCCTTCCCAGGAAGGGCCTGGTTGACAGTCTAGCAACGGTCGATTCCCCCCAGAAGCTAGTGCAGGGGGCCCAGCTCGCCCTCTCCTCCCGCCGCCTGCTTGTGCCTGCTGCCCTCGTGCTGCTCTGGGCCTTCTCAGTGCAATTCAGTGGCAGCGATCCCAACAGCTTGCACATCGAGGTGAGGGGCTCATGGAGCGGTGGTCAGTGGTGGTGAGCGGTGGTGAGTGGTGCATCCCAGGGGCCTAGCTCGCCCTCTCCTCGCGCCGCCTGCTCGTGCCTGCTGCTCTTGCGCTGCTTTGGGCCTTGTCAGTGCAGTTCAGTGGCAGCGACCCCAACAGCTTGCACATCAAGGTGAGGTTCGGTGGGGAGTGGTGGTGAGCGGTGGTGAGTGGTGGTGAGCGGTGGTGAGTGGTGGTGAGCAGTGGTGAGTGGTGGTGAGTGCTGTATGCAGAGAGAACAGCTCGCCCTTTCCTCCCGTCTCCTGCTCATGACTGCTGCCCTCGTGCTGCTCTGGGCCTTCTCCGTGCAATTCACTAGCAACAATCCCAACAGCTACAGCATCGAGGTGCGGTTTGAGGGGATTTGAGGATGTTTGAAGAGGTTTGAGGGGGGATGGTGGCGGTGAGTGCTGTATGCAGGTAGCATAGCTCGTGATCGGCTCGAGCTCTGCTCTCACCTTTCCTCTCTTGAATGTTTTGCATCCAATATTCGTTTGCCATGCGGTTCGTTCGAACTGCTTTTCTACCTTGATCCCTTCTCACTCTGCATCTCTTCCTTACCTTACTCTCTCCGTTGCTTGCCCCCTTTCCCATGCCTGGTCTTCTGTCTTTCTTCCCTTCCCTTTGTTTCTTGTGGAAACAGTTCGCCCCCCTCTTTATAGGTTTCCTCTCTTACAAGATTGCAGTGTTGCTTTTCACGATTGAAGATGTTACCAAGTAACGCTGGTCCAAGTTGCTACTACCAGTATTTCGCAAGTTGTAATGATGGCTACACTTAAAAAAATACTTGATTGTTGTTTTTCCTAGTACTGTACTGGGCTGTCAAATGTCAATGTTATAATAGGCTGCAGTGAGGTACTCCCTAGAGAGTATAGCTTTTGTAGGATTCCTATTTGTACCCTTGCAAACCCTAATTCCAATCATTCCGTTGCATTCCTATTCTGAGATGGTATCACGAGTAGGTTAGATCCTCGTTCGTTCTTAGCTAGCCTCCGCGCCCTACGCGCCCTCCGTGCTCTCGCGCCCTCCGCGCACTCCGCGCCCTCCGCGCCCTCCGCGCCCTCCCCACGCCTACACCCTCCCGCGCTGTCCAGCCCGTCGCGCGCCCTCCTTAGACCACCACGCGCCCTCCCCCTCCGTCGCGCGCCCTCCTCAACCGTCGCGCGCCCTCCTAAACCGTCGCGCGCCCTCCTTAGACCGCCGCGCGCCCTCCCCCACCGTCGCGCGCCCTCCTCAACCGTCGCGCGCCCTCCTTAGACCGTCGCGTGCCCTCCCCTCCGCCTGTCGCGCGCCCTCCTCCGTCAACCTTCCCGCACACCTGCGTGCACTTACCGCACACCTGCGTGCGCTTCCCGCACACCTGCGTGCGCTTCCCGCACACCTGCGTGCGCTTCCCGCATCCCTTTGTGCGCTTACTGCATCTCTCTCCCCTTCACCTGTGCCCCGGTCCCACGCCATTCCTACTGCACTTGGCTCCCGGCTCAGCGGCTGGCAGCCGCCCTTCCCTCTGGTAGCGCCACCTAGGTTCGGTTAGAGCCCCGCCCCACGACTCTCTTCTCGCCGACTGTCTCTCGTCGGTTTCCCCGCTGGCGTCCCTAGCCTTCCGTAGTTTTCCTCCTCGTTCTTAGCTCCGCCTCCGCCGTGCTCCAGTCGCCTCTAGCATGGGCTCCGCTATGGAGGCCCGTCGCCTCCGTTTCGATGCTGAGGGACGCCCGATCGAGTTCGGTACCTGGCAGCGCCAGACCACAAGTTTCCTCACCAGCCAGCGTCAGGACGGCACCACTCTGTGGGCCCACGCGTCGGGCGCTCTCGCGGCACCCCCGTCCCCCGCCGCCCTGCTGACTGCCCCGGAGCCGACTCCTACGGCCCAGGCGGACTACGACCGTCGGGTCCTGGCTCGGGACGTGTGGCTCTCTCGTGACGCGGCCGCCGCCTTCACGCTATCGGAGCTTCTCCCCCCGACTGAGGCCGCTCACTTTGACCAGGTGGAGACAGCCAAGGGGGTTTGGGATGCTATTGTGGCTCGCTATTCCACCCCCTCCTCCGCCTCCGTCAGTCGCCTCCTCATGCCGTTCGTGATTCCCGACCTAGGCTCGTTTGCGACTGTTTCCGACCTAGTGACTCACCTTCGCTCGCTTGACGCCGGTTTTCGTTCGGCCTGTACCGACGCACAGCTCCTTGTTGCTCCCCCCCCCATGTGGCTCACTGTGCACTGGTTAGTCACCCGCCTCCCTGACCGCCTTGCCACTGCCCGCGACGCGCTTCTTCAGAAGCACCCCACTGAACTCACTATAGACCTCCTTCAGACTGCTCTCGGGACCATCGAGAGCAGTCTCCTCACCGTTGCCTCCGCCACTGATGCGGTGGCCCCCCGTCTCTTTGCGGGGTGTGCCGCCCCTCAGCTTCCCACTTTCACCGCTACCCGCACTTTTGCTGCTGTGTCGGTCTCTGAGGACACCGCTGCCGTTTCTGCCGCAGACTGGCAGAAACGGGGCAAGAGTGGCAAGAAGGGCGGGAAGGGGGGAGGTGGGGGCGGAGGAGGCGGCAGTGGAGGGGGCGGTGGAGGTGGGAGCGGCGGTGGTGGCGGAGGCGGCGGCGGCGGCGGCGGTGGTGCACCAGGGGGAGGGGGCCTTGGAGGAGGTGCAGGACAGACAGTTCCACCCACAGGTGGTGGCCCGACCGGTGGGGGTGTTGCCCCCCAGCAGCAGCAGCCACAGCAGCACCTGCCACAGCAGGGACAGCAGCAGCAGCCGGGACAGCAGCAGCAGTAGGCACCGCAGCAGTTCCAGCAGTGGGGGCCCCCGCTGCAGTGGGGTCCGCAGCAGCACTGGGGTCCCCCGCCGCAGTGGGGTCCGGGAGGCCCTGGGAGCACCGGCCGCAGCAGCAGCTCTTCCGGCTGGGCCCCTCGCCCCCATCGCCGTGACGCTGGCCCCTGCACCCATTGGTGCCTCACCGGGCCGGGCAGCCCTGTCTCTGTGGTCGCGACGACCACTCTGCCGCGCGGTGCTTCCGCCGCCTCGACGACCTCTACCGGGCTCGTTGGGGCCCTCTGTCGGTCACGCCCCGCTGGTCTCGTCTGTTAACCCGTAAGATTGATGTCTTTGATCTGTCCATGGACGATGCGCGTCAGCATGCTTTGTATGTTGATGCTGACTTTAGTGCTGAAGGATCTGTGTGCTCGCGTGTTCGTAGTTTGGCCTGCTTGCCTCCTGCTAGTGTAGCCTTGTGCCTGTCTAGCTTAGGTGCTTGTGTTGCTGCTCTAGGTGCTTGTGTAGCGACTGGGTCAGGTGACCCTCCGGCTGAGGCCTCTCTGTCGTTCACGCTGGACTCGGGCGCGTCTCAGTGCTTCTTCCGCGACCACACGACCCTTACGCCACTCCTCACTCCTGTGTCAGTGGCTCTGGCTGATCCTACCTCTGGACCAGCCGTTGCGCGTAGCTCCACCACCCTCCCGTGCCCTGTGGTCCCCTCTGGTGTCCTGCGCGGCCTCCACATCCCTTCGTTCACTCGGAACTTGGTGGGTGTTGGATACCTCCAGGACAGGGGGTTCACGGTTACCTTCGTGGGGGGTGGGCGGACTGCAGTCTGTACAGACGCTACCACAGGTGCTGTTCTGGCCACGTTCACCAGGGAGCCCCGCTCCGGTCTCTACGTTCTCCACACCGAGCGCTCCCCGGTCGCGTCCTCCCCTCAGGTCGTTGCGTCCCCTCCGGCCCAGGTCCCCAGTCCAGTTGCTGTGTCTAGCCAGGTAGTCGTGTCCGGTCCGGGCGCTGTGTCCAGTCCAGTCGCTGCTTCTTGCTCCTGTCGCTCTCTCACCCACCGCACCGTCCTGTGGCACCACCGCCTTGGCCACCCGTCGATCCCTCGCCTTCGTGGCATGCTCGGTCAGGGACTTGTTACAGGTCTCCCACGCACCTTCCTGTCGCTCCCTCCCTCGCTTGCCCCTCCTTGCTCTCCGTGCGTCGCCGGTCGCTTACGCGCCACTCCCCACTCCTCCTCCCTTCGTCCGGCCACCGCTCCCTTCGAGACTCTCCACTTGGACGTCTGGGGCCCTGCCCCGACGCAGGGGTCTGGGAGGGAGCGTTACTTTCTGGTGGTCGTTGACGACTTCTCCAGGTACACCACAGTGTTCCCTCTTGCGAAGAAGTCCGAGGTGACTGCTACGCTGATCAGGTGGCTTCTAGCCACTGAGGGCACTCGTGGTCGTCGAGTCAGTTGTCTCCACTCCGACCGTGGGGGCGAGTTTCGCTCCGGCATTCTCGGCGGATTCTGTGGCGAACAGGGCATTGTACAGTCCTGGACGCTGCCAGAGTCCCCACAGCAGAATGGGGTTGCTGAGCGCCGCATAGGCTTGGTCATGGACATTGCCCGCACGTCCATGATCCATGCCCGTGCGCCCCATTTTCTGTGGCCCCACACGGTTCGCTACGCCGCACACCAGCTGAACCTCCAGCCGCGTGTCTCGCGGCCCGAGGCTTCACCGACCAGTCTTTGGACTGGTTCCCCTGGTGTTGGGTCGGCCTTTCGAGTCTGGGGCTGCCTTGCGCTTGTTCGCGACACCTCCGCGGACAAGCTCTCGGCACGCGCCGTCCCCTGTGTCTTCCTTGGTTTCCCAGTGGACTCTGCCGACTGGTCCTTTTACCACCCGCCCCTCCACCAGTTCCTAGACTCCCGTGACGTCCGGTTTGACGAGTCTGTGTCCTACTACACCCGGTACCCCTGTCGAGGTCTCCCGGTACCCCCTCCCCCCTTTTCCTAGCACCCTCTCCTCCTCCTGCTCCTGCTCCTCCGGTACCCCCCCCCCCCCCCCTGGTCCTGCCCCGTCTGGTGTGTCCCACGCTACCCCTCTACCCTCGGTCGTGCGTCAGGTAGCGTCTCCCTCCCCGCAGTCCTCATCACAGTCCCCTCAGCAGCCTTCGGCACTTCCGCGACAGGTTCCTGTGGACTTGGTTGGTGTTGGAGCTGGAGGTGCAGCCGCTGGCGGTGCGCGGTCTGGGGGTGCTCGTTCGCGGGGTGCTGGAGCTGGAGGGGCTGGCGCGGGTGGCGCTAGCTCTGGGGGTGCTGGAGCTGGAGGTGCTGGCACTGGGGGTGCTAGTTCTGGGGGTGCTGGAGTTGGAGGTGCTAGCATTGGAGGTGCTGGTTCTGGGGGTGCTGGAGTTGGAGGTCCTGACACTGGAGGTGTTGGTTCTGGGGGTGCTGGGTCTGAGGAGACTGGCGCTGGGGACCCTGGTTCTGCGGAGTCCACTCCGCCTCCCCACCGCCACGACACTCGTCTCCAGGCTGCCCGTCGGCGTGAGCGTGAGGAGCAGGAGCGGTTGGAGAGGGAGCGGCAGGAGCTGCGGGTGCTGGACCTTCTGGAGCAGCAGTGGCAGCAGCAGCAGCAGCAGCAGCAGCAGCCGCAGCCGCCACCGCAGTTTCCTCTGGAGTGGCAGTTGTTCCCACCTGTGAGTGGCCTGCGGGCCCTTGGCCTTTCCTCCTCTTCTCCTGTCCGCTCCCAGTCTCCTCCTGTGTTTGTTCCTCCGTTGCCTCCTCCTGACGACCGTCCGGCGGTCTGGTCTTCTCCTCCTCCTCAGTCTCCTCCTCCTTCTGTCCGTCACGACTTGATCACTCGTTGTCCTCCGCGTGCTCGTCACTCGTCCCCTGTTACTGACCTCCACACTGCCCTCCTTTGTTCGTCTCGTCGTCGTTCTCCTTCTCTTGTGTCCGTTCTCCCGTCTCCTCCTCCGTCCTCTCTCCCAGCCCTCCCCACTCCTATCTCTGACTACTACCGCGCTGTTCGTCCTGTTGCCGCACATGTCCTCGCCACTCTTGTCACCGACTCTCGTTTCCCTCCGTCGTCTGCCTCGGCTCTTACTGCCGCTGTCTCTGAGTTTGCTGCCGCCAGCCGCCTTGACTACGCCACCCGTGTGGTGCCAGCTCCTCCCTACCGTCCTCTGTCCGTCGGGGGTGGGTTTGCCCTTGGCTGTGACGTCCTAGAGGACAGAGAGTCTAAGCTGGAGTACTGGGCAGCCGCTTCTCCCTCTGTGTGTGCCATGCTGCTCTCCCCTGAGGGAGACCCCGACGCCCTTGACATACCGACTCCTCGCACTTACCGCGAGGCAGTGTCAGGGGCGTGGGCCTCTCAGTGGAAAGCGGCTATGGACTCAGAGTTGGCGTCTTGGAGATCCACAGGCACCTACGTTGACGCAGTTCCCCCTCCCAGGGCGAACGTAGTCGATGGCATGTGGCTCTTCAAGGTGAGCAGCCGCCTGGAGCACCGCCGGTGTTCAAGGCGCGCTACATGGCTAGGGGCTTCAGTCAGCGTGAGGGAGTTGACTTCTTCCAGACCTTCGCCCCGACCCCGAAGATGACTACTCTTCGGGTGTTACTCCACATAGCAGCGCAGCGAGACTACGAGCTGCACTCCCTCGACTTCTCCACTGCGTTCCTCTAGGGCCGACTGCACGAGGAGATCTGGCTGCGCCGTCCTCCTGGCTTCACTGACACCTTCCCACCTGGGACCCAGTGGAGCCTGAGGCGACCAGTCTACGGTCTCCGCCAGTCGCCCCGTGAGTGGCACGACACTCTTCGCTCCACGCTTCGTGACCTTGGGTTCAGCCCGTCCTCCGCCGACCTGTCGCTGTTTGTCCGAGCGGGTTCTACTCCTTTCTTTATCCTTGTCTACGTCGACGACTTGGTGTTTGCTACAGCAGACAGGGCAGCCTTGGCTCAGGTGAAGTTCGACCTGCAGAAGAGACACAAGTGCACTGACCTGGGTGAGCTGCAGCGCTACCTTGGCCTGCAGATCACCCGGGACAGAGCCGCTCGCACCATCACACTGACGCAGTCACACATGGTGCAGCAGGTCCTTCGGCGGTTCGACTTCCAGTTCTCCACCACACAGCCCACTCCTCTTGCTGTTGACCACAGACTCACGGGCCCCTTTCCTGACGAGCCCTTTGAGTCCAGTGGCCCCTACGCAGAGCTGGTGGGCTGCCTCATGTACCTGATGACTTGTACTCGGCCGGACCTCGCCTTTCCCCTTAGCATCCTTTCTCGCTTTGTTGCGACTGGGAGACACCGTCCTGTCCACTGGACAGCTGCTGTGAGGGTGGCGAAGTACCTGGCGACTACATCAGGCATGGGGCTTGTGCTTGGAGGGACTCAGCCAGTGGCGTTGACTGGCCACTGTGACTCTTCCTACGCTGACGACATGGAGACTCAGCGCTCGACTCAGGGTTACTGCTTCAGTCTGGGAGCTGGTGCTGTGTCGTGGAGGTCTACTCGGTCGTCGTCTGTGGCTACCTCCAGTGCAGAGGCAGAGATCTACGCGGGTGCCATGGCGGCACAGGAGCTTCGCTGGTTGACCTTCTTGCTCGCCGACCTTGGTGAGCGGCCTCGCTCTGCACCGACCCTGTACGCTGACAACAAGGCCATGATCCTCCTGTGTCGAGAGCCTCGACTGGAGAGCAGAGTGAAGCATATTGACGTGAGGTACTTCCTCCTGCGAGAGTTGCAGCGACACGGCCAGGCTCGACTGGACTTTGTGGCCTCAGAGGCCAACACTGCAGACGTCTTCACCAAGGCCTTGGCGCTTGGTGATCACCACAGGTTCTGTGTGCAGTTGGGGCTTGTTGAGGTAGGCCCTCGGTTGCTGTAGTCTTGTTGCTTGCTCTGCTTGTTGTGTTTTCCTATTTATATCCTAGTGAACTCTTGAACTAGCCTTGTGGCCGCTCGCTTGTGCTCGGAATTTGTGTGGTGTCCTTGAGATCCACCCTGAGCTTGCCTTGCTTCTTGCCTTGACTGGTCTTGTGACCGTTTGTTTCACCTTGCTTGCTCTGATGTCCCTCACTTAGCCTATGGGGGTGTATCAAATGTCAATGTTATGATAGGCTGCAGTGAGGTACTCCCTAGAGAGTATAGCTTTTGTAGGATTCCTATTTGTACCCTTGCAAACCCTAATTCCAATCATTCCGTTGCATTCCTATTCTGAGATGGGTTGCACACTCAAGCAACGAATACAGATGTTGATTTGGCCCTCAAAATTGTGTGGCCCCAATCTTGTGGAATCTTCCTTTTTGTCTCATACAGTAAATGTGGTGAAAAATTAGATGTAGTAAGCAATGAGCCTGCAATACAGGCCCTCAGATGTCAGAGAAAAAAGGCTGATTTAGGCTCTGCAGGCTGATTTTCCAGACATGTTGCTAATGTGTGGGCTGATTCGCCAGCCTTGTTTTTTATATATGGGCTGATATTTCAGTTTTTTTGTTTATGTATTGTCCGATTTTCCAGCGTTTTTTTACAAGTGTTCATTGATTGCTCAGCGTTGTAACGAGAGTGTAGGCTGAATTCACGCTATTACAGATTCGTGCTGGAGCCGTGAGTTTCGGCTGTCTAGGTACATCCCCCGTCCATCACGCAAAAGTTGCCAGGTACAGCGCCGACGCAGAGGGAAAAACGAATTTTCCCGACTCGTCGGTTGCGGTGTTGCCACCGACAGAATGCATAAAGTGATGTGATTGGTTGTTGAATCAATCGCATCACTTATGGACCAATCACCCACCCTCAGTGCAGCACAGCAACGCACCGCACGCCCCCACGACAGGGGTACCCACCTCACCCCATCTCACCCACCCCGAACCTGCATCCAAGTGCGTGCATGGTGCCCCCACGTCACGTCGCGTTGCAGTTGGGTGGTGAGAACGAGAGGTCCTTCTTTTACACCCCTCTCTTGATGACCCCACCGTACCCACCCACCAAGCGAGCTGCACTGTCATTCCCCGCCTCTCGCCCTGGTTTTCCCAAACCCTAGCAGTTTCAGAGCTCGACAGGCTCTCTCCTTTCAGCCATGGATGGCCATGCCGAAGGCTTGGCCAGCGACGATGATGCATATTTAGATGGTGATGAAGTAGACGGCCTCGAGGAAGCCAGGACGGGGCTTGATTTGCTCCTGCGCTCGCTTGGCCCTGGTGTCCTCGCACCCACGCCGCCTTCTGCAAAGCATGCTCGAGTCGAGACCCACGACCACCCACCCGTTTGTTCAAGCCCGGGTTCAATCCGGAGTGAGCGTGCTGCGCCGGCTGCCGTCTCCGACACCGTGGTAGTCGAGCCGCCCTCAACGCATTCGTCTGCCCCGCGCACCTTCAAGCTGAAGCAGTCGACGCTGAGTTGGGCAAGGCCATCCTCCAGCGCCGCAGTCGAGCAACGAGTCGTGAACAACACCTCCCCTCGCCTAGAGTTGGTTATAAACATTTCTGAGGCCATCGATGCCGTCTATGCAGATGCCCTCGTGAAGTTCAAATCCAAGTGGTCAGAGAGGTTCCCGTGGCTTGTTCTAACGAAATCTAAATCATGTTTCCCTGCCTTTAAGTGAAGTGTCTGCACCATGCATGCCGGAGTCAGGGGACGATGTGGCCGGACAGGGCGAGGGGCGACAGACGTGCAGACTCAGGTGTTTCGCAAGCACGCCGGTACGACGAAACACAAGCTGGCGATGGAGAAGCAGGAGGCACCGCTGAATGCGGCGTCCAAGCAGCCATGGATCGACGAACATCGAGCCGCCGTCGATGCAGAGAAGATCTGAGTCATTGCGTTGATCGACTCCATGCTGTTCGTCAGACAGTGCGATGCGCCCATGGGAACATGGGTGAAGCTTGTGCAGTACCTCGCGCGCAAAGGTGTTCACGGCTTCCCTAAGAAGGGGTACGACACCTACTACACAACGTGAGTAGTAGGCGGCTAAGTTTATATGTGCTTGTAAAGATTCTTTCGACTATTCTAATATTTTTCAATGGTTTGTTCTGCTGGCAGGTGAGCTCACGCAGTCTCTTGCCACCTGGCTACAGACAACTCAGGTGGAACACATTTTGACAAGCCTTTTCATCGGCATCTGCATCGATGAAAGCACGGATCGGCTCAGGGGGAAGCACAAGATTTTATACGCCACGTTCATCCGCGACAACCTCCTCGTGACAGAGTTCATGCAGCTGATCACGGTGGAAAAAGCGGACGCTTCTTCTCTTCTCAGCATCCTCCTTTCCCACTTGCAGGCAGTCGGTATCGATCTGCAGAGGATTTCCGGCATTAGCACCGACGGCGCTAGAGTGATGTTGGGGACGAAGGCCGGCCTGGTTGTCCGCCTGCGTCAGAAAATTCCGCACCTTGTCTCCGTTCACTACATCGCTCACAGGTTAGTGCGCGGTTTCGTCTATAGGCCGTTACATTTTCGTGTTTAGGGCACTTTGCTAATGTCACTTTGATGTGTTCCACTTGCAGGGAGGCTCTTGCAGCGAAGGATGCGGCAGAGGAGCTCCCCGTCTTCGACATGGTCGACGATCTTATCCGAGCTGTGTCCGAGTTGCTGGGACAGACGGGGCCGCGCCACGCACGGTTCATGGACCTGCAGGAACTGTTTACCGAAACGAGCCTTGAAGTCCAAGGCATCCACTCGGTTCGGTGGCTGTCACGGGGGGATGTCGTCCGTCGCCTCGTCGCTGTTTTGCCAGCAGTGATTGTGCTGCTGAAAGAGCTTAACTGCAAGATGTATGCTCTGGCAAGCTCCTACCGTTTTCACTTCTTCCTTTACTTCCTGGCTGATGTGCTTGAGCAGCTCAATATCTTGAACAAGACCTTCCAGCACAGACAGGTGAGGTGTTACGAAGTTGTCTACGCATGTGCTTTTACACCACGATTCTAACTATGTCTGTGTGTGCCTTTCGTCTGTCCAGCTCGATCTGGTGTCTGTGCATGCGCAGATCAAGCGGACAACCAATCACATCGAGAGCCGCTACGTGGACTGCGGCGATGAATTTGGCGGTGGCATGAGCCAGTGGCTGTCACCTTTCCTGCAACGCCATGGCCCGGGGTGTAACCGCGACGGCCGACCAGCTTCTTTCACGTTCACTCTTCACGACGAACCCGTGGACTCATATATTGGCCCAGAGGACCACGACGGCTGCATCCAGATGTGCACCGAGTTCGCGGAGAGGATCGTGGCGAACCTGGAGGGGAGGCTCGGTGACCTCGACTCGCTCTCTGGAGTCCGCCTGTTCATTCCTGATGCATGGCCACAAAGCAAGTCGGAGCGGAATGCTCGATGCCATGAATGGCTGAACTCTCTGGTGACGATGTTCAAGGCACAGCACTGCGATGAGATTTTACCAGGTACGTTTTGGGTAACGAGGAATGTTAAGGCTACACCCCTATGCTTGTTTACCATTTATGTTGTATGTTTATTTGCCTCATCTTCGTCTGAATCTCCCTCCCTCCTCCAGGCATTAACAAGAGGCTGGCAGGCAAGGAGCTTCGCCTCTTTTGTTCAGTCGTTGCACGTGCCCCCAAGGAAAAGAGAAGCTTCCACATTGGACTGACGGCGATGCTAAAGACGCCCGACTGGCGGGAGAGCTACCCCAATCTGGTGCAGCTCTGGGTGGCGGTGGCTGTCATTCCCCTCAGCACAGTGGAGTGTGAAAGGGGATTCACCCGGCAAATCGTGATCAAAACATGGCGGCGAGGGGGCCTCAAGGACGCCAGGCTGGGGGACCTCATGTGTATGTCCCTGATGCAATACGAGCCCAACTACGATGAGGTAGTTGAGATATGGTGGAGTTACAAGAAGCGGAAGCCTTTCAGCAATGCCCCCATATGCACCCCAGGCGACACCAGCAAGAAGGGCAAGCATCTGGAGGAGGCGATAGATGAAGATGACGAGGAGGAGCCAGTAGGAGATGCCGTAGAGTGTTCTAGTGATGAAGATGAAGAAATGAGCTGCTAAGACCTTGTAATGTTGCCTTGTTTGTTTGGCCTGCTAAACTTAATGAACAAAAAAAACTTTAGCATGGTTCAGCCTTAGTTTTTTAGTGAGGCTGATTAGTCAGCGTTTTTTTTGGGAACAACACTGATATTTCATCAATTTTTTCGGATACGACTCTGATTGATCAGCCTAGCATAGCCTGTTAAGGCTGACGTTTCAGCCTAGGCAAAAACGAATATGAGGGCCTGCTGCATGTCAAATTGATATTTGCTATGTAGGCTGTAGTGGGGTACTCAACAGAGAGTACAACCCTTTTAGGGTTCCTACATGTATCCCACCTGCCTGCTAGTTCAAACCCTCTTCTACCATTCATTCTTATCGCATAGTTTCAACATGCTATCAGAGCAGGTCGACCCTCCTTGGTCGATCCTGTGGATGGGCCCTACTGTTTCTGCTGCTATCCTGTTAGTCGCGCGCCCGGGGTGCGCGACATTTTCTGCCTGCCACGCGCCCGGCGCACGCGGCGTTTTTTCTTCCCGCCGTGCGCTCGGGACGCGCGGCGGTTTTCTGCCTGCCATGCGCTCGGAGCGCGTGGCGGTTTCCTGCCCGCCGCGCGCCCCGGATGCGCGCGGCGGTTTCATCGCCCGTCGCGGCGCCCCGGGAGCCCGCGCGCTGTCCCCTCCCGTCGCCCGTCGCGGCGTCCCGGGGGCCCGCGCGCCGCCCCCTCCCGTCGCCCGTCGCGGCGCCCCGGGGGCCCGCGTGCCGCCCTGCCCGTCGCCCGTCGCGGCGCCCTGGGGGCCCGCGCGTCGCCCCCTCCCGTCGCCCGTCGCGGCGCCCTGGGGGCCCGCGGGCCGCCCTGGCCGTCACCCGTCGCGGCGCCCTGGGGGCCCGCGCGTCGCCCCCCTCCCGTCGCCCGTCGTGGCGCCCTGGGGGCCCGCGCGCCGCCCTTCCCGTCGCCCGTCGCGGCGCCCCGGGAGCCCGCGCGCCGCCCTGCCCGTCGCCCGTCGCGGCGCCCTGGGGGCCCGCGCGTCGCCCCCTCCCGTCGCCCGTCGCGGCGCCCTGGGGGCCCGCACGCTGCCCCGCCCGTCGCCCGTCGCAGCGCCGCAACTACTGCCCGCGTATCTGCCCCGCGCCCCACGCGCGCCGCCTGCGTTGGGGGTATGGGGTTGGCGGGTGTGTGAGCCGTCCCCTGCTCCTCCTCCTCCTCCTCCTCCGTCTCCCACTGCTGTAGCTGCCGCTGAGGGGGGTGGGTGTGTGGGAGCCGAGGGAGTGGCGCTAGGGGGGTGTCGTGGGAGTGGAGCTAGGGGTGCAGCAAGGGGTGTGTGAAAGGGGGGTGTGGGACAGTTGGGGGAGGTTGAACGGAGGTAGCCGTCGTGTCAAATTGATATTTGCTGTGTAGGCTGTAGTGGGGTACTCAACAAAGAGTACAACCCTTTTAGGGTTCCTACATGTATCCCACCTGCCTGCTAGTTCAAACCCTCTTCTACCATTCATTCTTATCGCATAGTTTCAACACTGCAATATCAAGTATAGGCGAGTTGGTGACAGACTCTTACCATAATACCGTAAAAACGCTGCCTTGTGTGTTGGTTTACTATGTACACACATGTATGCATACGCTGCATGACACCACATAATACTTCACAATCGTAAGGCAGGAAAACCATTTATTACAAACCACATGAGCAGCTTTTCTTATGTACCTACAGTGACAGCTTTAGAGATAGAGTGTCCACTCGTCGCAGTTCCTTCAACACATTCCCACCCTCCCCCCCTGTATCCCCTCCTGCTCCTGCTCTTGCTGCTGCTGCTGCTCCTGCACCCCCTCTTTCCCACGCTCCCCCTGCTCCCCCCAACCTCCCTAATCTTGCTGCTGCTACAGCTGTTCCTGCTCTCTCTGCCCCCACTGCACCCTCTGCCCGCTCTCCACCTCTTAATTCTCCTGCTCCCCCTGCTTCTTTTGCTTCTGTTGTTCTCCCAAACCGCCCTGCTCTTGCTGCTGCTGCTGTTACCCTTGCTCTCCCTGCTCTTGCTGCTGCTGCAGGTGCCTCTGCTGATGCTCTTGCCACTGTTGCATTAGCCGCTGCTTCCCCTGCTCTTGCTGCTGCTACAGCTGCCTTTGCTGATGCTCTTGTTGCTGCTAATGAAGCTGCGTTTGCTGATGTATTTTCTGTAGGTGCTGCTGCTACTGCATCAACCGTTGTTGATGCTCTTGCTGCTGCTGCTGCATCAGCCCCCGCTGATGCTATTGCTATCCTTGCTGCCAGGCTTTTGGGGGGTACTGCCCTGGGTATTGCGGGAAATACACCTACAGAAGCAGGGTTACTGCGAATACGCCCCATGACACGTGCAGCACGAAACACAGCACTTGGAAGGTTGCATCTTGGAACCAAACGGAGTGGACTGGGCTCGGCAGCAGCAGCTGTAGCAGCAGCAGCTGTAGAAGAAGCAGCAGTTGTAGCATCAGCAGCTTTAGCTGCTGGAGCAGCAGCTGCAGGTGTAGCAGCAGCAGCAGCAGCAGGTGTAGCATGTGTAGCAGCAGCAGCAGCAGGTGTAGCAGGTGTAGCAGCAGCAGCAGGTGTAGCAGGTGTAGCAGGTGCAGCAGGTATAGCAGGTATAGCGGCTGCAGAAGTGGGAGTTGTGGGGGAGGCAGGGGCGTCTGTGGGAGGGGACAACTGGGGAAGGTTCATGTGAGGCTCGAAAAGCGAGAAAGAGGAGGAACGGGAGCGATACGGGGTAACAAGCGAGGGCAGTTGGGAGCGAGAGGAGGGTTGGTTACGGGTTGGGGATGAGGGAGGGGAGAGAGGGCAGGAGGCAGGACGGGGGGAATGCGGGGAGCGAGGGGAGGCGGGTGTTGGAGTGAGGATCGAACAAAGAAAGGGGGCTTCGGGAGGCTTGGTTGCTTCCTGTTTCCGAAAAGGCCGAACTTGGCTTTGAGGCCTCTTGGATGTGCTTGCACAGGGTGTGACTGTAGCAGATGCTTTCGACGTGCTGTCTTGTTGGGTTGGTAACATGGTAACTGGAAAGTTTGTGCGGTCGTTGGAGACATCTTTACTGTCTCCATTTGCGGCTTGTTTCCTGCTCGCCTCTTGCACTGTACAATCTGGAGTGTCGTTGCTGAATGTCTTCATGAGAATATCTTCATCTGTATTGTGGGCCTCCTTCTTGATCTTATCAGAGCAGTTCATGTCGGAGCCAACTTCGGCAGTTAGCGAGATCCGCTCCCCGCATTGGCGCGCGTCAGTCTGTTCGGCGCAGCTTGCAGACGCGCGAGGATCCTCGAAACTCTCCTCCTTCACGCGTTTCTGCGGAGGCGCACTCATCTGATCGGGGGAAAGTGGAGGGGAAGCGGAGAACGCGGAAAGGCAGGTTTAGGATAAACCCCGACACTCATGGTCCAAAATTTATTGGTTTTGGGAGGAAAACCAACTTAGAATGGAATTTGCGACAAAACCCCTAGAACCTTAGTGCGTTTCGTTCGAAGCGCTGCAAACGGGACTTACCGATACGTTTTGAGGCGATTTTCTCTTCGACGAACGCGGCAGCAGCGCGTGGTATTTCGATTTTAGCTCCGCGTGCTCCTCAGCCAAATCCCCCATTTCCCGTTTTGCCCGCTCATTCTCTTTCCGCAGTTCCGCCAGCTCCGCGTGCGCTTGCGCCAACTCCGCGCGCAGCCGCGCTAGCTCCCCCTCCCTCGCCAGAGTAGCGTGTTTCACGCGTCGGTTCTGGAACCATACTGCGACCTGACGTGGCTTTAATCGGAGCTGGCTCGCCAGCTTTAGCCGCGTCTCGAGTTTTATTTCGCGCTCAATTTCCGTGAAATGCGACTCGAGCACTTCGATCTGCGCGGGCGATAGGCGCAGCTTGGACTTCCGCTTGGTCTTGGGGGGCTTATTTGAAGAAGCGGGGGACCGTAGCGCAGAAGCGGCGGACGGGAAAGGGGAGGGGGAAGGGAAAGGGGAATCCGTGGCTTCGTTTTCGCAGCGGGGGTTGACACGGGGAGCGCCGTCACCCGGCCGACACAATGGCGACACGTGAAGCTTACGTGCACCAGCGAAAGCCAGCTCAGCAGCATCGCCTCTCTCCGCCGCCTTCGCATGACACACAGTGTAGTAGATGGGCGGCGCGTCACGAGCCTCTTCCTCAGCTTCGTCAGCTTCCTCGTCTTCCTCGTCGTCCTCTCCCTCACCCTCTTCCTCCTCCACGTCGATTTCGTGGCTAGCGCGCCGCAGAAGCGCCGCTGGTTGCGCCGAGAAACGCGCCGCCGCCGGGGCCGCGGGCTTCGGAAATCCTAGCGGGGTCCCGTTCTCGCGATTGACTGTCATAGTAGCGCCAACAACGGCGCTGGTAATGCCAGGACCTCCCACTGCGGCGGTACTATCGTTGTTGCTCGCTTGCCCGGGCCGAGCGGGAAAGTAATATGAAGGAAGCATCGATTGCAAGGTTAGCTTCACACCGTGTCCAGAAATCGGCGAGTCGCCGAGAGGGTTGCGAGATGTGTGAGGTTCGCCGCGATAGCTGCAAGAGCCGCGAGAGCCGCGAGAAGTGCCTTCGGACAAAGGGTTCAACTCCGAAGTGCGTGTCGCGTGCGGCACCTCGCGTGCGACGCCGTTAGGATGGCCGTAGTCGTCGCCGTCGCCGTCGCCGTCGCCGTCGCCGTCGTCGCCGTCGCCATCGCCATCCCCGTCGTCTTCTTCGTCTACGTCGTCGCCGTTCATCATGATGCGATCGTCGTCGTCGCCATTGTCGCTGCTCGACAGATCAAAGCAATCCGGAACCTCGCCGCCGTCTTTGAGGCGCCTCAGAAGTAGAACCTCGCCGCCGCCGCCGTCTACAGGTCCCTCCTCTGTTCGCGAAAACGCTCGGAGGGGGAAGAAATCATGGCGTGGCCGTGCTTGGTGCGACGCGTGGAGGACAGGTTGACACGAGTCTGTGACACGACGACTCGTTTTCCCGCCGTCTCTTGGCAGGTTCACGAGCCCTTGCCGGGGCGCGGCAAGCTCGATGGTCTTGTCGGCGAA